CATCCCCGACCCAGCTCTGCGCGACCGCCTCGACGACGCCCAGATGACGGCCCTCCGCACCATGTTCCGCGTCGGCCCCGGCACTCCCGTCGGTGCCATGCACCTCAACTGCGGCCTTCCCAAGATGTCGGTCCGTGTCAAGATGCTGGCCCTGCAGAACTGGGCCCGCTGGGACGACCAAGTCTCTGACGGCGACAAGATGCTGTCGATGATCCTGCGCAACAAGATCATTGCGCCCTACCACCCCGACCAGTTCCTCGGCCAAGGAGTCCGAGCCGATCCGCACTGGGCCATGGTGGTCCGCCGACAAGAGGCCGACCACTCCCTCACGGCCACGGAGATCTACCGAGGCAAGACCCGACACCAGCCGCCGCCGCCCGGACCGCCCCGACCCCAGCCCGTCCCGATCAAGACCCTCATCTTCGAGGACCACATGAAGAACGGCTTCGACCGCTCCAAGCAGCTCACCGCCGCCTGCACCCCGTCGACCAAGATGTCGGGACTCTGGGAGGCTCGCGGGTACCAAGGATCCATGATCATGCTCATGTTCATGGTCCGATGGCGACTCGGTGCTCTCCCAGGCCACTTCAGATTTGGCTACCGCAAGTGCAAGAACCTGGCTCGACACGGATCCGGGATCGACTTGACCAGGACCCACGCACAGCAGTGTGTGGATCCGCATCAAGTCCTGGTCCGCAAGGTCGCAGCCCTCAAGACGGCCCACCCGACTTGGGTGGAAAGTGGTATAGCCGGAGTGGGACCAGTGGACAAGCTGCTGGACCTGCTCAGTTTCGATCGCACTCCCCCTCGCAGTCGCACCCCTCCCGCACTTGGATCACTTGCTGCTCATGTACCCGCTCCCCGCACTGCCTTCCGAGCATTCGCACTTGGTGCACACCCAGCACCACCACCCACTCCCACACCCAGTGTAGTCCCACCCTTGCAGTCTCTCCCTGCACCCTCATCACAGCGTAGTATAGTGTCAGCACTTGTCATTCCTCCACCCCGACCCCCCCTCGATCCTGCTGTTCCCTTGTGGGAACTGCTCGAAAATGTGTTCACCCGCTTGGTCTCAGACCTTGTGGGCAGCTGAGGCAGCACTAGGCTGCAACAGGAGTAAATAGGCTTGCCTGTGTACTCAACGTGCCGGGGTACCAACCTGTTGGACCTGATGGCTTGTCTTCTTGAATAAAGTTGACTATAGTAACAAAAAAAAAAAAAAAACCCGGTCTACAAGAACAAGGGTTCGATCCTCGATCCGGCCATGTACCGGCCCATCGGGTTGACCCAGGTCCTCCGCAAGATCGCCGAGCGAGTCCTGCTGCCGTTCCTCACCCGCGAGATCGGCATCATGGACATTGCCCAGGGAGGCTTCCGCCCGGACCGAGGCACCCTCGACCAGGTGTACTCGCTCGACGCTCTTGTCCGCATGAACAAGATCTGCGACGACGAGTACAGCCTGGTCTTCCTCGACATCAAGGCCGCCTACGACACTGTCTGGCGGGAGCGCCTCTGGGACAAGATCGCCGCCCGAGGTGCTGGTCCGGTCGCCGTCGGGGTCCTCAGGGCCATGTTCGACCGCACTCTTGTCCGCGTCGCCAGCAAGGGCCGCACGTCACAGCCTGTGTGGCTGCAGAAGGGTCTCATCCAAGGCTCGGTCCTGAGTCCCCTTCTGTTCAGTGCCCACATTGACGACCTGCCTGGACTGCTCCGAGCCGAGGACGGACTTGTGCTTGCCTCCAGTCGCCACCACCGTCTCCGGGTCAACTCGCTCTGGTTTGCCGACGATGGTGTCCTCATCTGTCCGGCTGGCCGCACCCAGGCCATGCTGGACATCTGTGAGCGTCACAGTGTCGACAATCGCTACCGCTTCTCGCCTCCCAAGTGCGAGGTGCTGTACTCGGCCTGCAACGTCGACCAGCTCCATCCCGCCAAGCTGTACGGCACCGAGCTGCCCAAGGTCCTCCAGTTCCGCTACCTCGGTGTCATGGTCGACATTGACGGATTCCGCCCGGACCTCCAGTTCGACAAGCTCCTCCGCAAGGTCCACATGGTCACCGACACCGTGGTTGGACTTGGCATCACCCTCGGCAAGGTCTCGGCCAAGACCATCACCCAGGTCTACAAGACCTTTGTGCGGCCGACCCTCGAATACGGGATGGCCATGGACATCCCGGACCCGGCTCTGCGCGACCGCCTCGACGACGCCCAGATGACGGCCCTCCGCACCATGTTCCGCGTCGGCCCCGGCACTCCCGTCGGTGCCATGCACCTCAACTGCGGCCTCCCCAAGATGTCCGTCCGTGTCAAGATGCTGGCCCTGCAGAACTGGGCCCGCTGGGACGACCAAGTCTCTGACGGCGACAAGATGCTGTCGATGATCCTGCGCAACAAGATCATTGCGCCCTACCACCCCGACCAGTTCCTCGGCCAAGGAGTCCGAGCCGATCCGCACTGGGCCATGGTGGTCCGCCGACAAGAGGCCGACCACTCCCTCACGGCCACGGAGATCTACCGAGGCAAGACCCGACACCAGCCGCCGCCGCCCGGACCGCCCCGACCCCAGCCCGTCCCGATCAAGACCCTCATCTTCGAGGACCACATGAAGAACGGCTTCGACCGCTCCAAGCAGCTCACCGCCGCCTGCACCCCGTCGACCAAGATGTCGGGACTCTGGGAGGCTCGCGGGTACCAAGGATCCATGGTCATGCTCATGTTCATGGTCCGATGGCGACTCGGTGCTCTCCCAGGCCACTTCAGGTTCGGATACCGCAAGTGCAAGAACCTGGCTCGACACGGATCCGGGATCGACTTGACCAGGACCCACGCACAGCAATGTGTGGATCCGCATCAAGTCCTGGTCCGCAAGGTCGCAGCCCTCAAGACGGCCCACCCGACTTGGGTGGAAAGTGGTATAGCCGGAGTGGGACCAGTGGACAAGCTGCTGGACCTGCTCTCTTTCGATCGCACTCCCCCTCGCACTCGCACCCCTCCCGCACTTGGATCGCTTGCTGCTCATGTACCCGCTCCCCGCACTGCCTTCCGAGCATTCGCACTTGGTGCACACCCAGTACCAGCACCCACTCCCACAACCAGTGTAGTCCCACCCTTGCAGTCTCTCCCTGCACCCTCATCACAGCGTAGTATAGTGCCAGCACTTGTCACTCCACCACCCCGACCTCCCGTCGATCCTGCTATTCCCTTGTGGGAACTGCTTGAAAATGTGTTCACCCGCTTGGTCTCAGACCTTGTGGGCAGCTGAGGCAGCACTAGGCTGCAACAGGAGTAAATAGGCTTGCCTGTGTACTCAACGTGCCGGGGTACCAACCTGTTGGACCTGATGGCTTGTCTTCTTAAATAAAGTTGACTATAGTAACAAAAAAAAAAAACGGGACTCATCATGGTCCCACTATCCACCTCGCAACGACGCAGACGGCTGCTCGGGAACGGGCTCTCCGGGATCACGAGTAGTGAGGAAGGATCCCACAACCGAACAAACCGACAGAGTACCACCACGATGAATGAGGACGCTGTCACCACACCCATCAAGGAGCTCATGCTCACTGAGCATATGAGAACAGCGTTTCGAGGGAATCAACAGCTGACGGCGGCATGCACACCGTCAACCCAGATGTCAGGTCTCTGGATGGCGGAGGGGTACCAAGGATCCAAACCCATCCTCGAGCTCATGGTTCGGTGGAGACTCGGAGCCTTCCCGGGCCATCACACAGGCCGGCTTCAAATATGCCGACAATGTTCGACAAACGGAGCCACCGTGGAGTTCAACCGCACCCACGCACAGCGGTGCATCGACCCAAGAGGGATCCTCCCGAGGAAGGTGCGCCAACTTCAACGATCACACCCAGCATGGGTGGAGCCTCAGACCATCGGAGTGGGACCAGTCGACAAGCTGCTGGACCTGATCACCTTTGAGCAACAGAAGGCAAGACAGAAGAACCACGAGGACACTGACGGTGGAGCGGATTGCAGGCCACCACCAATCGTGTCCGACACCACGTCGGATGGGGAGACCAGCATTGACGAAGCAGTCTCGGATGACGACGGGGAGTCGCTCTGGTACCCACATCGAGAGGTGCTGGCACGACTGGAGCGACTCCGGCTGACCGACGACGACTCAACAGACCTGAGCTCCGAAATGAGCTCGGTGCCAGACTGGGAATTGAATCTGGAGAGAGATCTGGACTTTTCCTTCCTCACCAACATCGACGACGACCTGCCCAGCCACGGATGGGATTGGCAGAGCGACCAGAGTGTCGACTTGCTCTCGAACACAACACCAAGCATCGATCTGATCGACGATGCCGATCTGAGCCCGGACCTGGTCTCGGACGACGACCTCGGACTCGGAGACACACCGTTCCCAACGACCAGCAGGAGAGGCAGCCCTCCCCCCACACGGAGCAATGACAGAGTGACTGGAGTGCTGAGAGGCATGAGGCCACGACAGCGAACCCAACGAACAAAGCCGTGGATGGGCTTTGAGGAGATCCCGGAGAGGAGCTCCCATGGCCAGAGAGAAAGGGTCCCCGAGCGGGACCTGGAGACATGCGAGTCCCTGTGGGACCTATTGGAGGAAGTGTTCACCCGCATGGCTCGCCGTGTGGGCTGGAGAGTCGGCGAGAGCCGCAACAGGGGCGTGTGAGCCTGCTTGTACGCCCACTGCCGGGTACCGCATGGTACTGATGGCTTGTTGAATATTCCTGAATATACAACTATTGTAAACAAAAAAAAAAAAAACCCGCATGGCTCGCCGTGTGGGCTGGAGAGTCGGCGAAGGCCGCAACAGGGGTGTATGAGCGAGCTTGGCCACCCACTGCCGGGTATCCTGCGATACTGATGGCATGTTGAATATTCCTGAATATACAACTATCAAAAAAAAAAAGTGGACTTGCAAAGTGGTTCCGATAAAGCGGCAATGACCGAGTGTTGTTGTATTTGACATTCAGTACATCCAATACATCCAATATGCAAATAGTGCTGTCCCATATCCATCGCTGATGTTGATCGACCGAGAGGAAACATCCGATGACCCGACAACGACAATTCGACATTCACAATCGATACTCGTTCTGCAACCATAGCTGGCGAGCGCGACCCAGACCATCCCTCGCCACATGGTACCGAAGAAAGCAGGCAGCAAGCCACCAGCCTCCCCCGGCACCAAGACCATCCTCCCTCGATCCGACACCAGGCAGCGTGCCCTGATCAGCATCGATGGACCGACAAAAGGATGGCAACGGCGACGAATGGCCTGGATCCAAACGAGCATAGGTTCGCCTCTTCAGCCGCCAAAAGAAAGAATATGGCCACACTGCAGCTTTCTGGTCACCCTCGATCCGACCCAGGGACGCCGGGGCACGCCGGCGTATGTGGTAGGACCATGCGAGGATGAAACCAGTCCACTGCAGTGCAGCCTGGACTCATGGGGGCTATATCCGTTGTCACGAGCGGCCTCTTCCGACGCAGCTCTGGGTGTGGGTCCGGCACATCGCGACGAACTCTCCTCGGCTCTTCGTGCAGGAGATGCACAGCCGATAGTGACCATACGGGTGTCCAGGAAAGGCACCGAGGGTCCATCTTACCATCATGTTGTGATAGTATCGATCTCTCTTGGGCCCTCGCTCGGCCCACAGTCCCGACATGGTCGTCGTCACGGTGCGGGCCGAAGTCAGTTCCTTTGACCTGTCGAAGCTTTGTGCATCATCGATGTGAATCTGCAGCTTGACTGGTGGTCCTGGGAGCTGGTAGTAGCCGTTCCTGAACAGCTCCTTCATCGGGTAGTCCGGCTGGCACTGCTCTTTCAGCACGATCAGCTGCCGCCAGTACTCGTCGAGGTAGAACTGGGAGCCGAGGGATGTATCCATCGGGCTGGGCTGGGTGCGGGAATATCTCAACACCAGCGAGACCATCTTGCCGTTGTGGTCCAGACGGTCTTCCCAGACGGCTCGGTTCTGGAGGGCCAGCTGCTTGAGGCGGTTGGGCAGGGTGATGAGACCGCATCCGAGATGCATCGCTCAATAGGATGTGTTCCGCACCACTCTGAAGAGTCGGGTCAGACAGTGCATCTGTGCTCGTCTGAGTGTCACGGCTTGCTGCTTCTGGAGTTCCTTCCTCTCCTTGGTCAGATGACGGATCTCGACGGTGAGCTCCGGGGTCTTCCAGATCAATTTGACCTGTGTTTTGCCCAGGACGCTTTCTGCCACCGTGGTGGTTGTTCGATCCTCCGATGTCGGCAGCGCGATTGACCTTCCTTGGAGCCATGGCTTTCCGGATCCAACAGAAGCAGCAAGGCAATACTTTGTTCTCGGGATTGCGGTGTGAGGACTCGCAGCCTCGACATCGTTCCTGTCGCTCCCATAGGAACAGCCCTGAGTCCAGGACACAGACCCACTGCGGCATCGACCTGCTCGTGATACGGATCGCTTTCTCCCGGCGTCCGTGGACGAACTCTTTGTCCTATCGAGCCCCATTGCGTGCCCTTTGTGCTGGCGGATCCGGGTGTCCCAATCAGGACCAATCGGGTTGCCGAGGCCGAGCTCTGACGACGCAGCAGATTGCTCAGGCACTGGCTCCGTTGTCGAGGTGTTGGGCAAATGGCACTTCTGCAGCTTGATCGATCGAAAGCGGCGCATTCGCACCCACGAACACAAACCCCCCGGCAGATCCTCGGCTGCCAAGTGCTTGGCGGTCAAAGTATATTTATGCAGGGGGCAGCCCCGTCGCTCTGAAGCGCTTCCAGCTCGAGCACCACCACCATGTATCCGTGCCCCGCCAACTCGACCATCTGGTTCTCTGACAGCCATGGCTTTCTCGTCGTCGACCAGTGCTTCGAACACAGGTGAGTCTTATGGTTTCGCGATGCATTCCATTTGTATTAGCATTGCCGCCCTGTCGTGGTAGCATCGCATTCAACCAGGACGGCACCGCATTCTATTCGCCCTGGCCGCTGCTACTTGGGATATGTCGTCGCTGTCGGTCGAGTCATTCCCTGACTGGCAAGTTATGATCACTGTCGCTTTCCCAGCTATGCCGTCGGCATCCTCCCGCTGGCCCTGATCGTCGCTGCTGTCCTCTGGGCCGCCAAGGACATTGTCCATCCCGCCGCCTCCTCGGACGGCCCCGACACCGCCCTCGTCAACAGCGAAGATGGATCCACCCGCAACCGCTACGGCGCCATCTCTGCCGCCGACCAGCCTGCTCCTCCCGCCGTCGTCGCCCAGAATCCGGCCCTCAAGTGGACCTGTCTGGCTATCCTCGTCCTCGAGCTGGCTGTCTCTGTCGCTGCCTCGTTCCAGGACCTGAGCCAGTCTGGTTCTGGCTCCTTCGTCTTCTTTGGCTCGGCTGCCTGGGCTCTTGCATGGGTAAGCCATCGCAGCAGCATTGCTCGTCTCCTCTCACTCTCTCGCCGGATGCCATGCTCAAGCCCTCGCCGGCATCGTGCTCTCCCACATCGACTGCATCATACTCACACCGCCCGCTCATCCCGCCAGGCCATCGCAACCATCGTCTTTGCGGCCTCGACCGGTCCCGTCCCGGCCAGCATCCGCCCCAAGCTGAGCAGCCCCATCCAGCCCTTCGCCCTCGGCTGTGCCGTCCTCAAGGCTCTCCATCTCCACAACACCCTGCTCAGCAACAGCGGCGATGCCGTCGCCCCGATCGTACTCGCTGTTGTCCTGAGCACCATCCTGTTTGTGGCCAACTTTGCTCTGCGTCTGAGTCTGCGCGAGCAGGTCGAATCGTTGCATATTGTGAAGCTCAAGGGCCCCAAGAACACCGAGGTGAGTGCAGATCCAATGTATCGAACGAACGCACGAACAGCGACGCCTCTCTGGCACACATGATGATTCCATGCCACCGCCATGGCATCGCTGGGTGCGGCTATTGCCCCGCTTGTTGCATCGATGGTGCTCTCGCAGGACTGACTACATGTTCTACTACTCCCACACATGTGCGTGCTGTTGGCATTCCCATTTGCACCCACAGATGCTCCCTGCCCCCGAGCCCGAGTCCACCTGGTTCGAGAACCTGTTCTTTGTCTGGATGGACGGCCCTCTCAGCCGCGGCTACAAGACCCCCCTGACCAAGAATGACCTCTTTGACCTGCTCGAGAGCGACAAGTCTGCCAGAGTCAACCGTGTCTACCGCGAGCAGTACAAGAACAAGCACAAAAGCCTCATCTCTGGCCTGTTCATGATGGAGTTGAGAATCTTTCTGATCCAGCTCGTTTTGGGCTTCTTTGTTGCCCTGCTTGTGTTCTCGCCGGCATACTGTCTGTACCAAATCATGAGCTACATCCAGAACCCGAACGGCCGTCCCATTACCGTTGGCTTCTTCTGGGTGTTCCTGGCTCTGTTCTTGGCAAACCTGAATGCGGTTGCCAACAACCAGGTAGGACACCGCCAGTCTCAACGCCGCAACGGCTCTGTTTGTCGCTGCTGCATGTCTTGCCTCTGTTTGGCTTGCTTGAACCCGCTATCTGGCACTATAACAGTCGCTGATCTGCTTGACGAATCTTTCCAGCTCAACTATACAGCTAGTAGCATTTACTTTCAAGTTCGTGCTGTCCTGATCAACGAAATCTTCCAGAAATCTCTCCGCCGCATCTCTGCCAAGGGCAAATCCAAGAAGGACGAGGACCAGTCGACGGGCAAGCTCGTCTCGCTCATGTCCATGGACACCGAGAAGCTTGCCGAGGCCAGCCATTCGGCCGAGCTTGTCCTCACCACCTTCATGCAAATCGTCGTTGCGATCGGTGCACTGTACAGCTTCCTAGGCTGGTCGGCGTTGATCGGTCTCTCCATCATGGTCTTCACCATTCCCCTCACCAGCCTCATCACTACGAGACTCAACAAATCTTACGAGGCCCTCATGGAGAAGGCCGACAAACGCAACACCCGGACCCTCGAGGCTCTGCAGGCCATCCGCATCATCAAGTTCTTTGCCTGGGAGCCACAGTTCCTCAAGCGCATCGGCGAGACCCGTGATGTCGAACTCAGCGAGCTCCTCTCGTTCTTTGTTTCGCTTGGCATGAACGTCATGCTCTGGTCGTTTGTGCCGGTGATTGTTGCGGTTGTTACCTTCCTGAGCTACACCCTGATCGCTGGCCACGACATGGATGGTAAGCGATGCGCTCGCACCACCCATGGCCTCGGATGTCTGGTGCATGTTGCTCGGAGTATCTCCAATCGACTCGAAGCCGATTGAGTGAATATGTCTCAGCCTCCCACGCAATCTCCAGTCGCTGATGTGTGCTGACCGCGCTGATGTCTCACTTTCGACTTGTGCATGTCTCCCATCCAGCCACCACGGCATTCACTTGCCTCAGTCTGTTCAACGCTCTCAAGTTCCCCCTCGCAGTTTTCCCTGACACACTTTCGGAGGCAAGTGCTCCTCGCATGGCACCGTTCTTGCCTGTTTATCCGTCGCCATCCTCTTACCCACAGGACTGCCGCTGACACCCGTCTCCCCTCGCAGTTCTTCCAAATCTATGTCTCATCAGACCGTATCGAAAAGTTCCTGAACGAGCCCGAGCTCCAAAAGTTCTCCGACGACCTGCCCGTTTCTCACCCCACCGGCAACACCGAGCCCTGGACCGACCCTGTTGCCGTCGAGTTTGTCGATGCCTGGTTCGAGTGGCACCAGGCCACTGCCGCTCCCGACAGCAAGTCGCCCCAGCTCCCCTGGCACAAGAGACTCGCCAATCTGTTCAAGAAGCAGTCGCAGCAGACCTCCGAGACCACGCCGCTCCTCGGCTCGGAGCAGCCGGCTTCTGGTGCGGACGACTCGTCCGAGCCCAAGTTTACCCTGCGCGGCCTCAAGATCAGCTTCCCTCTCGGCAAGCTCAGCACCATCTGCGGCTCCACCGGCTCCGGCAAGTCCTCGATCATCCATGCCCTCCTCGGCGAAATGAAGTCGCTCCAGGGCAGCGCCAACCTGACCCGTCTCACTCGCAGCCACCGCTCCAAGGGCGGCATCGCCTTTGTCGCCCAGACCGCCTGGCTCGCCAACGCCACGATCCGGGACAACATCCTGTTCGGCGAGCCCTACGACCAGCTCCGATACGCCCGCGTGATCGAAGCCTGCGCCCTGTCCAAAGACCTTGCCTCCTTCGAGTCCGGAGACCTGACCGAGATCGGCGAGAAGGGCATCAACCTGTCGGGCGGCCAGAAGCAGCGAGTCTCGCTCGCCCGCGCCGCGTACTCCCGGGCCCACTACATCCTGCTGGACGATCCGCTCTCAGCCGTCGATGCGCCCACAGCCAAGCATCTCTTTGACAAGTGCATCACGGGCCTGCTCAAGGACCGCACCCGCATCCTCGTCACCCACGCCACCAGTCTGGCCCTTCCCGCCACCGACTACCTCGTCGTCATCAACCAGGGCCAGATCCTCGACCATGGCTCGGTCGCCGAGGTCTCCCAGAACCGCGAGGTCGAGACCATCATCGCCAAGGAGAACCTCGAGGCAGTCTCGCTCCAGCCCGAGTCCGACCCCGACGCTGGCGAGCTCGACGTCGACCTCACCGACGAGGAGCTCCTGAGCCGCAACTACTCCAACGGCAAGACGCCCGAAGACGCCAAGAAGCTCATCGATGCCGAGGCTTCCAGAACCGGCGCAGTCCAGGGCAGCGTCTACTACTTCTATCTGACTGCGGCAGGCGGCTTTGGTGTCATCGTCGCCTACCTCGGTATAATTCTTGTGCAGCGATCGGCCCAAGTGCTGGCCGACTACTGGCTCAAGGTCTGGGCCGATGCCTACAACCATGCCAACGAGCTCAACACGATGTTTGCCGTGACGCTCTCGGCCCCGCTGTCCCTCAGCTTCCTCAACCCAGTCTCAGGCAACGACAGCAACACCCTTGTCGATGGATCGTCCGGCCAGTCCGTCAATGTTGCCTACTATGTCCTTGTGTACGCCCTCATCAATTCGTGCGTCCTCTTTCTCATCATCACCAACTTTGCCTATCGCAGCTGGGTTGGCTACAAGGCTGCCAAGAAGCTGCACGACCAGCTCATCACTCGCATCATGTATGCGCCGGTGCGCTGGTTCGATGTCACCCCGCTCGGCCGCATCACCAACCGCCTCTCCAAGGACATTGGAACCATCGACCGTAACCTGATCAACACATGCGCAATGTTTTTCCTTATCCTAGCAAGCGCCATCACCACCCTCATCGTCATCGGCACCGTGACACCGATCTTCCTCGCCGTGATTCCCTTTGTTGCCTACATTTACTACAGGATTGCAATCTACTACCTGGCTTCAAGTCGCGAGCTCAAGCGAATCCATAGTAACAGCCGCAGCCCCATCTACAGCACCTTCAGCGAGTGTCTCGTTGGCGTGTCGACCATCCGCGCCTATGGACACGAGGCCCGGTTCATCGAGGACAACATGATCAAGGTCGATGAAAACAACAGGGCATATCGCATGCTAGGTCTTTCGAATCGCTGGCTGTCGGTCCGGATTGCCCTGATCACCTCGTTGATCACTTTCACTGCCGGTGTTGCCATCATTTGGTCCAAGGACCTGATCGGCGTGGGACTTGCCGGTCTCAGCTTGACCTGGGCAGCCACCATCGCAGAAAACTTGCTCTGGATTGTTCAGGTTCACTCGCAGATGGAGCTGGTAAGTGCCAGTGTTGAAGTGCGACTGATATGGCAGTGGAGTCGATGCTCACATTGTCGCTCTGTTGTTCGATGCGGCTGTCGCTGTGACGGTTCGGGTGACCCACTTCGTCTCGCCTCACTCCCTTCGCTCCGTTTCACCATCGACAGAACATGAACTCGGTCGAGCGTGTGCACGAATACCTCGAGATTGACCAGGAAGCCCCCGCCGTCATCGAGACATCGCGTCCTCCTCCCGGCTGGCCTGCCAAGGGCCACGTCCAGTTCAACGACGTTGTCGTCCGCTATGCCCCCGACCTGGATCCCGTCCTCCGCGGGGTGTCCTGCGAGTTCAAGGGCCGCACCAAGGTCGGCGTCGTGGGACGGACCGGCGCGGGCAAGTCCACGCTCACCCTGGCGCTGTTCCGCATCATGGAGCTTTCCGGCGGCAGCATTGTCATTGACGGCGTCGACATCTCCAAGATTGGGCTGCGCGACCTCCGCCAGAAGCTCACGATCATCCCGCAGGATCCCGTCCTGTTCACGGGCGACATCCGCAGCAACCTCGATCCCTTTGGCGAGCACTCGGACGACCGGCTCTGGTCGATCCTGGAGCGCGTGCGGTTCCTGAACACTCTGCAGGCCAAGCTGGACGGCAGTTCGTCGAGCGACAACCTGCCCGCGCAGACATCCGAGAACCAAGGCCAGACCCAAGTCCAGGGCCAGAACACCCGTGCCGCCGCCGAGGCGTCCGGGTTCTCCCTCGACACCTCTGTCTCCGAGGGCGGGTCCAACTTTAGCCAGGGCCAGCGCCAGCTGCTGTGCCTGGCCCGAGCGCTGCTCAAGGAGTCGGCCATCACCGTGCTGGACGAAGCCACGGCCTCGGTCGACAACGAGACCGACGCCTTCATCCAGGAGACGATCCGCGGATCCGAGTTTGCCAACTCGACGGTGGTGTGCATCGCCCACCGCCTCCGCACGATTGCCGACTACGACTCGGTGCTGGTCCTCAGCCACGGAGAGGTGGCCGAGTTTGGCACGCCCTTTGAGCTGATGCAGCGCGAGGATGGAGTCTTCCGCAAGATGTGCCAGGACTCGGGCGAGTTTGAAGAGCTCGAGAAGATGGCCCGAGCCCGGGATCAAGCCAAGAAGGCCCTCTGAGCCCGCCCTCATCCCGGCCAGTGTGCTGGTCAACAACAATCCGAGCGGGTGCCCAGCTGCTGTGATTTGCGATTTCTGTTTTTGTTATTGTGTTGGGATACCGGACTGGTTGGAGCACTGTGCCTATTAGACACCGATGTGCTTGTGTGGTTGACTGCTTGTGAGTGATTGGATGTTTCAGTGTGCCGTTCTGGTGTAATAGGGTGGTTTTTGGTAGATTCGATCGCTCGACTGAGAGCTCTGTCAAATGAGAGTCTTTGTGACATCTATGATATTTCTTATGTTCATTCAAATCAGAATGCCCCATGAATGATAATAAACAACCGACTTGGCGACGACATCCCAGATTGTTTCGTGGATGTGTGCTTGAGAGTCCCCAAACGACCCGGCACCGCAATCGCACTCACGCTGTCCGCTAATCGAGTGAGATCGAATGGTGCAAGTGTCGCTCGTTCAAAGTATCGGCAATCACAGCCATCGGAATGATGCTGGATTGCTGCTAGGCTGGGACGAGACATCCTGGACCTGGATCGATGGGCTGCTTGCTCTGGCCATCCAGAGAACACTCGTCAAATCATGAACGGGACACCGGAACCCCAGGAACAGGATGCAGATGATATCTTCCAGGATGTGAGTTGGAGGATGGAATGATGGAATGTGTGGGAATGATGGAGTGATGGAATGTGTGGGAATGATGGAGTGATGGAATGTGTGGGAATGATGGAGTGATGGAATGTGTGGGAATGAGGATGAACACAAGCAATCGATCCATGGATCCAACCATGTTCCTGGCTTGGTGGCTGTGCCACTCGCATTCCATTCCACCCATCTCGTCTCATCTCGTCTCATCGTCGTCTGGACATCATCACAATCCACTCAATCCACATTGTCCATCATGGCTCCCAGTGTCCATCCCTCAACTGACACGGTTCGACCGGCCATCAACGAGCACATCCCAGATATCTTCACCATCATCTGCTGCAACGACAGCTTCCAACTCGCACTCGATCACAACACCATCAAGACTCTCCTCCGAGTGTGCAAGCGGGCCCGGCCTCTCCTGAGCTCCAAGCTGCCTCGCTTCTACAACTGGTGTCAGAGTATGGAGCTCCTCAATCCAGATGGACAGTTGCGGATCGGTCTCACTCTGAGCGACGAGATTGCCATCTCACTTCACTGCGAGGGTCAACAGACGGCCGACCGAATCTGGCTCGATATTCAAGCAGATCAAGGCAATGCTGCTGCGTCGTATTTCCTGGCCCGGATCCTCCAAAGCAAAGTCTCCCGACGACAGACCGATGACTCTCCCGACTGGGACACCATCCATCAGCAAATCACCACTCTCCTGCAAACGGCCGCAGACAACAACCACCCCATGGCCCAGTTCCATCTGGCCGAATGCTATTACCAATGTCTCGGAGTCGACCAGGACCATGCCAGGGCTGCCGAGCTGTATCGCCAGGCAGCCATCCAAGGATATCCGCGAGCTCAAGTCGGACTCGGTCGCTGCTTCGAGGGAGGCGAAGGTGTCGATCAAGGCTTTGACTCAGCCATTGAGTGGTATTCCAAGGCTGCAGATCAAGGCAGCGAGGATGGTCGACTCCATATCGTGTTCCTCCGAGCCTGGTTCTCGTTCATCGGCCATGGTGTCGAACAGAGCGACGCCGATGCCTTCCACCACTGGCAGGAAGTGAGCACCCAGTCCACCGACCCGGTCCTCAAACTCATCGCCACCCACATGCTCGGGTGGATGCACTACCTTGGCCGAGGCACCATGCGCAACAAGCAGAAGGGCGTCAAGCTCATCCGAGAAACCAAGTCCGATGATTTTAAGCTCGGAGAGGACGAGTGTCTGGCAGCGTATTGGAACGACACCAAGTCCGATTCACCCATATCCCGCAAGTTCTTCGATCTGTGCCAGCTCGGATCCGATCGAGACTGGCTCTGCAGATATCTGATGGCCGTGTGTGTGTTCCAAGGATTCGGAACCACCGAGGACGAGAAGAAGGCAGCTGGTATATTCGAGCAACTCGCCAACGACGGTCACAGCGATAGCCAATTGCGGATCGGAGGGTGCTACTACTGGGGTCGCGGAGTGTTGGTAGACAGCCAGAAGTCATTCGAGTGGTATAGCAAGTCGGCCGACCGAGGCAATTCGTATGGACAGTGGTGGGTTGGTGTGTGCTATTCCAACGGATACGGAACCGCCAAGGATGTTGCCAAGGCAGTAGAGTGGTATCGCCGGTCGGCCGAGCAAGGAAATCGATACGGACAGTGCTGGATCGGTTTCCGCAGCGAGATGGGCTATGGTGTCCCTGAGAACGTCGACACTGCCGCCTTTTGGTATCGCAAGTCAGCCAACCAGGGTTACGATTGGGCCATGGACAGCCTTAAGGACATCGACCAGTGGCCCTGATCCCCGAGTCCCTCCCGAGTGCAACTTCTAACGCTCAAGTCACTCCAGCCAAACATGCAACCAGAGCAGCCGAGCAGCCACGCCGTTTTCACCATCCCAGCAACCACGGTCCCAAACAGCAGACTTGCGGGACGGTACCATGTGGCAGCAGCAGTTCTCGAGGGGCACTGTATTTGACATTCAATATATCACGATATACAAAGTGATGCTGTCCCATGAGCGGTGGCTCAGGTTGGCAGATCATGAAACACCGACCAATTTCCCGAATCTGCATGGAGACACGCGGCACTCGATCTGAAGCCATACTTGCGCGAATGTATTTGCATGACCCAGATCACCATCGCCACGTCGCTGTGGGTATCTAGCACCGCCGATATCCTCCCAGAGTCGCCCGACGTCGACTGAGGTCACCGAGAGGAAGGGCCGGGGAGAGGTCAGGGAGGCGCTCCGTCTTGGGCTCGCTGTCGGCGAGGGTCGAGAGGTCGGGCAGCAGATCTTTCCTGAGATTCCGCTTGGCAATCTCCTTGTTCTTCTGCAGACAGTATGTCTCCTCGATCAGGGCTATCTGTGCCTCTGACTCAGCGTGCTGGTCAGTCAGACGAGCACGGAGCTCGGCACCCTCTTCCCCGTCATATATGTCGGACTGGTCCCACAGGTCGGTTGAAGATATGTGAAGCAGTACCATCCGAGGCTGGGTGAGAACGTGCACCGTACTGAGACACCCTCGTTCGCCTAGCCCGGCTTCGTGCTGCCGAGGCAAGACTCTTTGCCAGCATGCTCACCAGTTTGATCTTGAGGTACTCGCCCTTCATCGCAGCGACAAACGAAACGTCTGTGGGTGCATGGATGTCCGGCGAGATATACGGAAAGGAGTCGCCCGATTTGAGAGATCGGATGCTGAGCAGCTTCTCCTTGACATGGTCCGAGTTCCTGTACAGCGACTGATATTCATCGCTGCGAAGCCTGACCAGCTGGTAGTTGTCGTCGTGGCGGGTGAGATATATGACCTTGATAACGTCGACGGTTCCTGTGAGAATGATGTACAGATACCGGATGGGGTCGCCTGTGGGGTCGCAAGATCGACGCCGATGGTCAGGGCCGTGCATCGAATCGACGTCATGCACTGCCATCTGTGCATCGCAAAGGTCTAGGAAGCGGAGAGCCATCGCCAGAACAATCAGCACCTTGGGTCAAAACAACTTGCTTGGCATCGACAAAGACGGTCTCGCATGCTTGGGCGAAAAACGACATGGTCCTCCACGAGCATCCGCTGAACAACGGCAGTGTCCGGAAGAGCTCGATGATGAGATCGGCCTTTTTGACCGCATGACCCTCGATGTCCATGATCTCCAGAAAGTCGTTGCCCCCAATGCGCATCATGGCACAGTCGGATTGGCAAGCGATGGTGTTTGGGCGTCTGCGGACCTACAGGAGAATCGTGTGATATGTGACGTGTACTTGACACAACTGATATGTGGACAAGCTTCGAGTAGTGGCGGTGTATGGTGGTACATGATGGTGCATGGTGGTGCATGAACTTGTCATGTGGCGACTTACCGTCTTGTCCTCGACCGAGAATTCGGTCTCGCCGATCATGTCGCCGGGTCGGAAGAAGTCTTTGTTGTCGGCTCCGGCAGCCTTGCACTGTGGTCCAAGCATCAGTATCAACCACGACAGCAGCATGACTCACTTCGCACCGCACCCATTTCCCACCCGAGCCACGCCAGCCATCCGCATACCTGTCCCTTGATCAACAGATAACAGCCTTCGGCGCGATGGCCCTTGCGAAACAGCACCGTCCCAGACGTGTGCATTTCAAGCGTCATCCGGGCAATCAGCATTTCCCTGATCTCGTCCGTGAACCGCATAGTCCATCCTGGAACGGCATTGAGAGTGTTTTTGAGCTTCTTCCAGTCCTCGTTTGTCCATGTAAACTGGGGCCGCGCAAACAGCGCTCGGACCTCCATCGAGAGCACCGTGCTTTCCCACATTCCCGATAACCCATGGCAGACTTCGGCGCCGTCATGTTGGAGCGAGCACTTGAATGCCCGGGCAGTGAGCCATATGATGATGGCTCGTCGCACGGCCGCCTTGAACTTTTTGATTGTCGCCGAGGATCGCTGGCTGCCCGTGATGGATAGCTGCAGGTACTGACGAATGGACATGCCGAGGCTCTGGAGGCGGGATGATATTGTCGGCTTGGGTGTGGTGGTCAGTTCCAGGAGGTCAGTGACGATGGACTTTCTCCTCGGAAGGGCACTCTCCTCGCTGAGTGAGGTTCTCTTGGATGCATCGATGAGGCACGAGATATCGTCATCCGAGGTCAGCGTTTCAGCATATTTCTTGAGCTTGACGAGCAGTCGTTGCTCGAGATTCATGGAGTCATCGTCGCCAACTGTCTTGGATCGTAGTTTCAAGTGGCTTGGTCGTCTTTCTCCTGTCGGTACCGAACGTTGACTCGCCTCAAGAGTTGTCTGCGAGCTCCGTGAGGCTATAGCCGATGCACGGCGAGACACCTCCGGAGCAAGAGGCACTATTAGTCCCTCATGAACGGGAGTGGTGATGCCACTTGCCCGCCGTCGGGGGGTGCGCTGTGGGCTTGGAGTCCCGGTGTCGGGGTCCAGAACAGCACTATCGCTGCGGGTACGGATCCTTGGCTGGCTGGGATGCAGCAGCTCGGCTTCGGCCTTGACGATCCCAAGGGACGTGCGTCGGAATGCAGCCCTCGGTAGCGTCGCCGGAGAGGCTGGAGAGGCTGGGGGATGGATCATCAACGAAAGACGCCGGCTCGGATTGATCTCGGGAAGCTTGTCGACACTGTTCGTGGTTTGGTACAGATTTGAGTCGGGGACATCTGGGTGGTTCCTGTCATATATCTGCTTGAGCGGGTTTGACCTGGTGGACAGAGTGGACAGAGTGCGCGGCGACGAAGGATCCATTGTGGTTGCTGGTGGTCACCAACAAACTGGTCTGGTCGAGGTGGCTGGCAGTTTGTTCTTCGCAGCAGTGAGAGCTGGGTTACTTCTGCTCGACTGTTCCGTCGAGTTTGTCCGTGCTGATCAGTGCGACTCGATATTTGGGCAAAGTCGATCGCTCGGTGCCAGAGTCCAAGAGGCTATTGATGGCATCTACCGATTAGTCGATATCAACCAGCGGAGGTGCACGAGACTCCGTGGTGCTGCTGCAATAGAAACGCTGACTATATCAGACGGAGCGACAGGCACCCCGAAGCACCTGAACGAGGCGGCAGAATCGAAAGTGACTGGAGAAACGCAAGAGTGTGTACCAGATCGATGCCAGCAGGACCAACTGCGAACATCGGCGGTCGATCAGCGTATGGCGCAAACTTGGCCACTCTCCGAGAGCCCATTGAGAAGAGGCGCCTGGCTCGGCATCCCAATACGAAGCAATCTTTGAGCAGTGTAGTTTGTTGGTCGCTGACTCTCGATTGGTTGTCGGCCGCGAGTACTTTGCCCAGTGTACCAGCCATATACCCGCAGGCGGCTTCCCATCGACCACTTGCCCGTAACAATCATTTGGGGCTCGTGCAGGCAGGACGGTTGTTCCGAGCTACACAATCGGATTGCATCGGTGCGGACAGCCGAGTAATTCAGAGTCACTGTTCCTCCGATATGCAGCCACTGTCCCTCCGAAATGGAGTCATTGGGCTCTAGCGCATTCTTCCGGCGCAGTGAGCTCGATCATCAGCCGTGATTGGACTATTGGTCAACTCACTGCCAAGCTGCAGCCGACTTGCCAGTGGACAGACTGGAACACACCAAGCTACAATACGAGAATTGCTCGCTGGACAACAACATCCCCAACTCAGGTTTCGAGAGTCGCAGATTCGTTTACATCGAGTCCGCACACTACAGCCACTCACTGCGGCCGATCCTATGTATCCAGCACAGTGAAACTCTCCCTCGGGATCGAGTAAATCAACAGTTTTCAGGTTCATTCGTGTTGGCGATGAATTTTGCGAATCAACGTCGGACTGATGGTCAGCTCTGCCAGCACAATATCTTCGCCGCGCTCCAGCCGCTCAATCTGGGTGACAATGTCATCCAGACTTGGGGGAGGAGCGGTTTCTTCGTCATCGAAGCTCGACAGCGCCTTTTCGATATCATACATGTCCTTCAGATCTTTCAGCATCCCCAGTTTCTCCAGATCAATGACGTCGTCTCCATAGGCTTGCCACTTGATCTCGTCGAGATCCTCTAGGTCCAGGAATGCTTCTTGCTTGACGAAAATGCTATGGAGCCGAAGATAGTATGTGCATGCAATCAGCAACTTTAATGATCTCCGCACGTGCGGCTCTTGCGGCGTTTCTATCAGTGCCCGAGTTTGTTTTCGGGCAAAAGTCCGGAGTTTGCGGAGCTGGGCAGTCAGCCGGAGGTCCTGAGGGCCTTTCGCTTGTGCTAGCGCCAAGAGCCGGCGGACGGTCTCGGCTGACTTGTTCCATGACTCCTGGATGCCTTCGATTTCACTCTGGAGGAAATCCACGCTCTGCCGTGCCAGGAGGAAGCGGTAAGCTTCGTTATCGACCAGGAAGATATTGTCTTCCCGGATCTGAATATCGACGCCGGACTCTTCCCGGATCTGCTGGAAGAACTTTTCCAAAGCAATGGTGGTATCACCCATCCGGAAATACGTCACGCGTGCTTTGGTGAAGAGGAAGACCATGCTCTCGATTGCGGCACGGTCAAAGTTCTGCAGCAACTCGAGGATGCACAGCCGGAACCAAACGGTGAGATGGCTGTTGTTGGTGGGAAGGGCAAGAACAATTGCATGGATGCTGCCGATCCAGGAGGCATATCGAACGATGTTGTCCATGTTGATCTTGTCCTGGGCGATTCCCCGGGTGTCGCCCATGCCTGGAGTGTCGATGATCCTGATCTTGGTTGGGGTGCCCGCTCCGTCGTTGAGGCAGAAGACATAGGACTGGGGGAACGGCGTCCCCGACTGTCCCGCAGCCAGCCTTGCAGTCTCATGCACGACTGTATGGTGCGACAGTATTGTATCGAAAACCAGAGTTGAAAGGTTCGGGCAGGGCAGGGATGACCATGGTGTAAGTGCGCTGCTTGCTCAGTCCATACGAATCGACAGCTCGTCGGGAGACTCACCACGCTCTTCCAGTGCCCTCCAAGCCATGTACTTACCTCGGCCGGGGTTCTTGAGATCGATTGTCTTGGACTCGACAATTACATCTTCAAAGGTTTCGGAATCGCAGAGGGTAAAGCGGGCTGGAACCAAGGTTATAGGCTCGTCGCTCGCGAGCGCATCCTCAAAGCTGTCAAAGCTCAGGTAGTTGGCGATGGCGTTGATGAGGGTCGACTTGCCCACCCCAGTCTCGCCCAGAACGAGTATATTGATGGCATCGGGATGAGCGGAGACGCTTGGAGGCGGGCCCCACTCCGAGTCTTGCTCTGCCGGGAGAGAAGCTGCTGGATCGTTGCCACCATCTTGTTTGCAACCAGTTCCGAGGTCAACTACGAGTTTATGAAGGTGGTGGGGAGGAGAGAAGGAGGGGATGCAGCCAAACCCAGAATGAGAACCAGAGGCTTCTGGACGGGGGCTCGTTGCCGGGATCTCGCCATTTACCTGTGGGATGATCATCGCTGTCGTCATCCGAGTCCGAGTCAGCTGGTGGTTGAAGAGTGCTCCAATCCTCGAGGAAGACGTCGACGCAATCGATGTTGCTGGTGTCGAGGTCGCTCGCGCCCTGGGGCTGAAAGCTCGGCATGCCGTAGTCGTCCAGGTCGTAGTCGTTCGGCAGGTCGGCTTGACTGGAGACCGCATCGCCGTTATGAGGGCCGCATTGACGGCTGGCTATATCGTCAGTTTCCTCGGGCTCCGTCTTGGCGTTCGTGTAGAAGGTCTTGAGGGGAATATGGCCCTGCGGGTGCTGGCTGTGACTATGCGGCATGTCTGCGACGAGATTCTGGGGGGGGGGTGGCTGTTGTCTTGGGACCGAGACGAAGGCCGCCCGGACGGGCTCAATGCAAAGCGGCGGGTATCAGCGCCGGCGTGTGCGTGCGGCTGTGGTGGTGGAGTCCTCAGCTGATGTCTTGAACAGCATCTTGGCAGTGTCTTGAACAGTTGTATCTCGAGGGTATCCCCCGTGTGATACGTGTTTCATGCTCTCGCGTTGTCTGCCGCTCCCGCTGCGTCGCTGTTTGAACCGTTGGCCCTCCTGCTGCTCATCTCCAGCCTCCATCGATCGGTCGCAGCCATGTCCAAATCCAGGTCTGGATTCCTGTTCTCCCGCAAGGCCACTGCCAACGCCGCCTCCAACGAAGCGACGCCCACCGAGACGGCACGGCTCGAGCTGACCCTGGCCGAGCAGCCCGCCAAGGAGCTCAACATCCTGGTCATGGGCGAGACTGGGGTGGGCAAGTCAACCCTCATCAACGCCATCGCCAACTACCTGAGCTTTGACAGCCTGGACAGCGTCCGTTCAGACGACGTCCTCTCCCTCATCCCCACAAAGTTTCACATCTACCCCGACAACAGCGTCGTCCCCGTCGAGATCTCGTCCAAGACCCTCACGGTCGAGAAAGTCGCTGAAGGTGAGGGAAAGGGCACCAGCCCCATCGTTTGCCTCAGCCAGCAACACCCCTGTTGGCAACATCCCCTGTTGGCAATATCCCCATCCGCGGTATCTCTGTCGGCAGTACTCGTATTCACCCTTTCGACTCCCCGCTCTGCATCCTTATGCTGCTTCTGCTCCATCTGTCCTAGCCAACTTGAACGAGGAGCTGGTCCAGGGTCAATCCTCGACCCAGCTTGCCCGCACCTATGTCTTCAACACCAGGCTCACCAGCGGCGACCTCGTCAGGGTGCAGCTCATTGATACCCCGGGCATGGGCGACACCCGCGGAATCGATCGGGACAAGCAAAATATGCGGCACATCATCGGCTATATCTCAAACTACCCTCAGATCAATGCCGTCCTGATCCTGCTCAAGCCAAACAACAGCCGGCTGACCGTGTGGTTCCGATACTGCCTCCAGGAGCTCCTCAAGAGCCTCCATCGCGAATGCATCAAGAACCTGTATTTCATGTTCACCCACTCCAGAAGTACCTATTATCGGCACGGCGACACACTCCCTGCGCTGAAATCCCTCCTTGAGACCATCAAGCATGACATCGGTCTCGAGATCCCCATCAATAACACCAACACCCTCATGGTCGACAACGAAGCGTACAGGTTTCTACTTGCCAGGGACGAGGTCGCATTCGACCCGAGGCAGGAAGCAGACATGCGAGAGTCATGGAGACGTTCCTCCGAAACCCTCCACCGCTTCCTAAGGAGCATTGCCGACACCGCCAGCCACAACACCGAGAAGACCGTTCTGCTCTTTCGCGTGCGGGCCCATGTCCTTGAGCTGTTCAAGCCGCTGATGGATGTCACAGCAAACATCGCTGCCAACAAGCGGTCCCTGGATCAACAGATTGAAGCCATCAGCAACAAATACGTCACCGTCCACCAGCTCCAAGCCGAGCGCAAGCTCACTCTACTCGTGCCACAAAAGCGCGACCTTGACGAGCCTGCCCTGGTTTGCGCCCATCCGGACTGCATCAAGCACGTCGAGAAGAAGGAGGACGGAGAGCTGAGAGAATTCAAGCAGAAATGCCACGAGGTCTGCTACCACGGCAGTTGGACCAGCGGCTGGATCATCTTCAGCCAGGTCCCGATCTACTTTTGCCCATCCATCAATTTCTGGGGTTATTGTCGTGAAAGCCAGTGCGGACATCACATCACATGGCACAGTAACGTCCGCTACGATTACACATTCAGCGTCGTCGACATCATCAACGAAGAGATCCAGCGCCGCCTTGACAGCGAGCACGACGAAAGCAAAAAAATAGCTCTTGCCATCTGGGAGCTCGAATCAGCCCTGCGGGACCTGAAGGCCGAGGAGAAGCGGATCACCGCCATTGCCGCCAGATTTGCGGTGTTCATTCGGCATAACGGCATCGTCGCCTACAACGATGCGCTTCTCGAATACTTGGCCAAGCTCACCGAAGAAGAGACCCCTGTGTTGCAAAGACACTCTTCCGAGGGTCCCATCCAGCCGTTGGACAGCATGCAAAGCCTGAGGAGCATGAAGGAAACATACGAGGAAGAGCAAAGGCTGTTGGACAACAGCGATGGCGAGGCGAACGTGCCACTCCTTAGTGCGGAGGAAATTGAGGCGCTCATCAACGAGCTGCCCAGGCTCAAGCACTCTGGCGAGTTTTTCTCAACGTTCCAGGAATCCCAGGCGCTTCGGACCCAGGCTGTGAGTCTCGTTGTTGTCCAGCCCACAGTGCCAAAGCGCCCCGTCATTCGGTGATCCAATCGAGTCTGCAGGCCTGTCATGCGGCTGGTGCGTTCGCCATGGAATACAGCGATTTGGGAAGACAAGGGGACAAATCGTCTCGTTCGGACCAATACACGCAGCCGTGGATCATATTGCGCACGACGATCGACCAAGTGGGGGCGGCGAGCGGGGCTGGAAGCCAGGGCAGAGAGGGCATCGGGGAGTGGATCTCATGAGGTTCGGGTGCCGATCCGAGTCAGATCGATCAATGTCGTCCTGCCCACAGAACCCACCCATCCCCGTGTTTTAGTGTTCGGTTTCGAAGTGCCCAGGCAGGCCGGAGGATGGTTGGGTGAAGACTTTGCACAGTGCCCCAGTATTGCGCTGACCACCAGATACGCATCGTCGATGGCTGCGACGATTCCGTTCCGTTCCCGGTCGCGGTAATGGGTCGGCTGGAATACGCTGAGCACACCAACTGCATCGATCACACCAACTGCATCAACCACACCAAGACCAGCCGCTGATCGCGCATAGAGCCTGCTCACGGCACCGATTGTGGCTCCCAATCGTCGACTCGACGTGCCTTGCCGTCCGTGGGGCAGGTGGGTGGATGATGGACAGGTGGTGTTCGGGTCCAGAAAAAAAGTGATCAGCGACCGCGAAACAGCGTGTCCCGTCTCATTGTGTGTATTAACGAAGTTGGGAACGAGAATGTTCTCGATGACATTCAATCACACTCTCTGCTTCCTTTCCCTTGGAGAAAACAGCTTATTGTTGAGCACGAGCGGGGCGGCCGAGTCCACCACGCTGCAGGGCGAAACAGAGAGGCAGATGGGGCTGTCAGTGACACTTGATGCGAGACGGCGCTGCAGCGGGCTGAAGACAGCAACACAGGCCGGATGACGAGGACGCATAACCAGGGCCGGATGGAGAGCAACAGAGGTGCTACTTACGAATTCGGGCTTCCAGTCACCACCAGCACCGCCCTCCTTCTTCTCGCCACGGTCGTCTCTGCGGCGGTACTCGCGGTCACCGCCCTCACGGCGGGGAGCACGCTCACCATCTGCGTAAGGGATGCCCGATTAGTCGATTTGCGGACTCGCTGTCGGCTTCTTTCGCGAATAGGACACGGCTGGCAGCGCTGCAAGGGTCCCGACAGCAGCAAATCGGCATCCAGAATCCAAAATCCACTTACCACGCTGGGGACGGGGAGCGGGGGCCTTGACGGTGCGGATGTGAGTACGGGGGACAATCTCCTCGGGGAGGTGGAGGTACTCACGAAGGTAGGTGATACCCTCGGGGGTGAGGTAGTAGTAGTAGTACTGCCAGGAGAAGCGGGAGGCAACAAAGCCCTTGGACTCCAAAGACTGCAGGGCCTTGATGACGTGGAGGTTGGGGACGTCGATGTCCTGGTGCTTGGGGGCGTTGAAGTCCTTCTTGGCGACCAAGCAGCCCTCCTGGAAGAGGTATCTGCACAAGCACAGACAATAGCGTCAGGCGCCGTCGTTTGACCAAGCCAACGGTGGGGGGATCTGCCGACTGCTGTTGCTTATGGCGCCAAGGGCGGCCGTTCATCGACACTTACTGGTGGATCTTGGTGCGGTTCTCCTTAGGAATAAGCATGGTGGCTAAGCTGCAGGAGACGGCACAGAGAGATCAGGGTCGATTCACGACGGATCCGCAAGAGAAAAAAAAACTAGGGCCGCCCGCCTCCGTCCGTCCGTTCTTGTGGACCAGACAAGTTCCGAAAATAGGGGTGCTCCAGTGATGAAGATGGGCCCATTCCAACCGTGCCCGCAATGTTTCCGCGTCTGTCGGGCTGCAGAATGTGGCCTGCTTCCGAATGGTGTCTCGTGAGTCTCGTTCGGCCATCGGCTGCGTTCCGCATCGTTTTGAAGTGGATCCAGGTCCGTGATCCCGAGGTGAGCAGAGTCGAACTGCTGCTATACATCCGACTGGCGACGATGTTGGCCTGCCACTCCGTCCAGAGGTTTGATCCGCTGGATCTGAATCGAGACAAGGAGCCGGGATGTCCTTTCCTCCAGCACATCCGTCCGATCCCATGTGGGAGCTCGATGAACGACGACAGCGGTAGCCACGACCGCAAGACATGCCGCCAACGCCGAGTTGAGATGCCCTCGTTCTGTCGAAGATACGGTCTGGAGCTTGAATCGGTTTGCCAGAGTTTGGGGCCGGACGCTGCGCCGTTGCTGCTGCTCCTCACACCCACCGATATCTTCACATGATGGATGGATGGATAGGTGGATGGATGGATGGATGGATGTGTGGATGCGCGGATGTTGCCATTTACCTGACGAGACCTGATTGAATATGGGTCTAAAGGTCAAAAACTGAGAGGAAGGAAAAGCGCAGAAATGCCGGCGGTGTGTGGTCTTTGCCTGCATTCCGCCGCACCCAGCCGCACCCAGCCAGCCGCTGGCCGGCCGCCATCCAGCCGTGCTGCGGCCAGCCACATCCGTGTGACCTCGCTGGCCACAGACACGGAACGGCACGGATCGATCACGTGGCAAGGGCCAGTCAGGTGCCCACCGCAACAGCCTCCATGGCGCCGTTCATGGCAAGTCATTCGCCCGCCAGAGACAGCTACGTTGGATCCAAAGCGATCCAAGGCACCAGCCCCGGTGCTCTCAAGCGCACCGTCGCCAACCTCTCAGGGCACACACACATGCAGACATATTCAAAAGTGTCTATCTATTCCATTCTGCACCGCCCTATCCCATTCCATTCCATTCATTTTGTAACCTCTCACAGAGTAATCGCTGCCGTCGGTGTCTCTCCGTCGCCGGCCACACTTTCCTCGCCATTCTCGTGCTGGGCTACTCCTCCTGGCAGGCTTTCTCCTTCCTTTGCTGCAGTCGAATCACCCGTCAAGCCAAGCTGCTCGTGTGGTGCCTCTTGCATCTCAGCGGTTGGGTCCTGTGGATCGTGTCCGGCGTCGGCATGGTCGGTGTGGTCGGCGTCAGGGAATGGAGTCAGCGACAGAGGCTGCTCGGCTGTTGGCAAGGGCGGAAGCGATGGGTCGGGTGGCTGATCCTTGGAAGGCGCTCCGGCCGCAGCCGGTGGATAGAGCCGCTTGAGGTCGTAGAGCTTGCCTCTGTTCTGAGCGATAAAGTCTCGCTTGACCTGGGACAGCGACTTGTCGAGGGCGGAGATGGAGTGCTTGTACTCACGCACCTGTGCCTGGTACATGTTGAGCTCGGTGCCCATGTGCTTGAGCTGCAGAGTCTTGTCCTTGAGCAGCTGCTGGAACTCGGAGATCTGCTCGAGTGCCTCGGGGCCGACCTGCTTGGCCAGCAGGCTCTTGAGAGTCAGGTAGCTCTGCTCCTTGGAGTGGATCTCGGCCTCCTTGTCGAGGTCCTCCTTGGTCTTGCCGATGAGGCGCTTCTGCAGCGTGTGCAGCAGCTGGATCATCTCAAATGCCTTTGGGTTGCTGCCCTCGAGCTTGCGCCAGCGGTGGACGTTCATGGGGTTCTCGAGCTCCTCCTCAAGGGCCTTCATGCGGGTGCGCTCCCTGACGAGGTCGCTCTGGAGGTGGTGGAGGGTACCCTTGATGTTGTCGAGGGTTGCGGTCTGGCTGGAGAGCTCGGCATGGCGATGGCGGAGGCCGCGGATCTCGTCGCGCAGTCGCTGGAGGGCAGCGAGCTTGTCCTGATAGAAGCGCTCGCTGCGGATGAGGGACGAATGCTGGATCTTGATCTTGCCATAGACGGTCGCGAGCTCGTCGTTCTGGCGGATGAGCTGCTGGCTCAGGTTGTCACGCTCCATCACCAGGACGCTGAGGGCATGCTCCTGGCGATGGCGCTCGGCCTCGGCTTCCTTGACAAACTGGTTGAGCTTGGACTCTTCGAGTAGCTGGCTCTTGAGGTAGGTGAGCGAGAGCTGGTTGTGGGACTTGAGCTCCTGGATGCCCTTGGTGATGAGCTCAATGTCGCGCTCGAGCTTGCCGTTCTCGACAATCTCCTTGAGCAGCAGCGACTCCTTGGTGTTGATCTCTTCCTTGTATCCGTTGATCTGGAAGTTCATGATCTTGAGCTTGCGCTTCATTTCCATGATCTCGGCCTGCGACTCGATGAGGTGTTTGGAGTGCAGGTTCCGGTCGCTGATGACGGCCTCGTACAGGTTCTGCTGGTACTTGAGCTTGGTATCGGCGACGACCATCTTTTTCTTGAACTCGTAGATCTCGACCTCCTTTTGCTTGATGTGGTGCAAGGCGGCGAGGCAGAGGGCCTGGACGCGGGTCATCTCAGAGACATAGCCGTCCTTGAGCAGGCCGCAGTCGGCTATCTGGCGGCGCAGGGCCTGATGCTCGCGCCGGTAGCGCTCGAGCTCGAGGTTGATGTTGTGCCGCTGCTGCTGGTGCAGCAGCGTGAGGTGGGCGTGGTTGGCGGTCTCGCCCGAGACTCGCTTGAAGTTCTCCTGGACAATGTCGTGCTCGCGGACGAGGTCGTCGATGACCTTGCCGTCGAGGTCGATGCGGCGCTGGAGGACGTTGATGGTCGAAAGGGTCGAGTCGTTCTTTTGCCGCAGGGTCTTGCGCTCGAGCTCGGAGGCGACCTTTTGCTCCTCGAGGAGCTTGCTCTTCTTGACAAGGGCATCGCGCAGCTTGACGACGCGCCGGACTTCGGCATGGATCTTGACGAGATCTTGCTCCTTCTCGACCAGCTCCTTCTGATAGGTAGTGTTTTGCTCGGCGAGCTCGGCCGAGAGGGTCATTTGCTCGTCGCAGTCCTTTTGCAGCTTGAGGGTGCGGGAGACGAGGCTCTCCTGGTCCTTGGCGAGCTTCTCGAGCATCTGCTTGTGGTTCTTGATCTGGGAGAGCAACAGCGAGACGTCCTCGTTCCCACGGTTGACGGCGTCCTGCTTGCCGCGGACTTCCTGCGACTTGACGGCGACGACAACACGGAGCTCACGCAGGTCCCGCTCGAGCCGCTCCTTGTTGCGGGTTTCGGCCTCGATGTCGGCCTTTTTGGTGGCGATCTTGTCCTTGAGCTCAAAGATGTCCTTTTCGAAGCCGCGCTTCTGCTGGTCGGTCTGGCGGATCTTGTCGGTGGCCTCGACGATGGCGTTGCGGTAGTGCACAATCTTTTCGAGCTCCGCGTCGAGTTCCTTGGTGCACTGCTCCTTGGTCTGGATGAGCTCGTTGAGGGTGCGCTCCTGCAGGGCGCTGAGGCCGACGCCCTGCTTGAGGATGTTGCCGAGCGAGGCAATCTCGGCCTTGAGGCGCTGGAGGTCTTCCTTGGAAGACTCTTCGCGCTTGTTGGACTGCAGGATGAGGTCCTCGGCATCCTTGACCTGGGTCTTGAGCTGGCTGATGGTCTGTTGGTCGCCAATGGAGGTTTTGATGGCCTCTTGGGTAGAGTTGGAGTTGGCGACGTGTTCAGAGTAGAGCTCCTCGTACTGCTTGAAGAGCCGGTGGACGTGCTCCCTCGACTTGAGGACGGCCTGGCTCATTTTCTCGTACTCCTCACGGAACTTTGAGTAGTCGTCATGTTTGAGGGTGATGAGGGTGCGCTGGTAGTCTTCTTGGATGGAGAGAAAGTCCTTTTCGAGCTGGTCCATCTCTTTGGAAAGCGGCAGCGCCGCTCCGGACTGGAGGCCGGGACGCGAGCCCGGGCTTGGGCCATGGGTGAGGGCGGTCTGCACGACGGCGGAGAAGTCGGTTGGGTTTGGGGACTGGGTGCGGCGAAGAGGCAAGTTTGGAGTGCCCGTTCCTGTGCCGGGGCGATTCTTGTCGCTGTCCATGGAGACGCGTGGGACTGGATGAGGAAGGGGCGGCCGTTAGTCTTGGATGGGGTGTGCTGATGAGAGTTGTGGACAGAGTTTGATGGTGTGCTGGTGGGATTCTGAATGCTGGTGTCTGCAGGGGGGCTGGTTGGAAGCAGTGACGTTCCTGGTGACCGTCGAGGGTCAGGAAGGGTCGGTTCCAGCATGGGAACAGAGACGGATTGGGCCAGGGCAGCGGACCACAGGCGAATCGGCAGAAACAGCACCAATGCAGTCAGAGCTGTATCTGTGTGACTGTGTGTGACTGCGTGTGATACGATCTGACCCACACTGTCTGAGTGGCGTGGATTTGAGTTGGCAGAGCCGTGGGAGAGCGGTTGTTCGCCAGCAGGCCACAGCCCCACGATGCTCATGAATGCGGTGTTCATCAATGCGATCGCAGCAGCAACCGTAATAACAACGACGCTAATTATATCAGGCAACAGCAACAGCAACAGCAACAGCAACAGCAACAGCAACAGCAACAGCAACAGCAACAGCAACAGCAACAGCAACAGCAACAGCAACAGCAACAGCAACAGCAACAGCAACAGCAACAGCAACAGCAATAGCAACAACAGCAACAGCAACAACAGCAACAGCAACCTTGGCACAACTCTGTCTGCTGTGCAACAGCGTGGCCCGGGCTCGCCCGCGGGTCCGTTCAGCCGAGCGATCCGAGATTGACAAATGCGTCGTCTTCGCCCCCGGACATCAAATGCGTCGTCGTCGCTCTTGGCCATCAACTGCATCGGCGGTTTAATCATCGCATCTCTCCATCGCCGATATCACATCTCTCCATCGCCATCGCCATCGCCATCGCCATCGCCATCGCCATCGCCATCGCCATCGCCATCGCCATCGCATTTGCATTCGCATTCGCCTTCATCGCTGCTTTCCGACCCCGTTCCTTCGCGGCTGCTGTCCCTCCGACCGCTGCTCATTTCTGGCGAATCACATTCGCCCGCCCGTCCCGATACTTTCCTGCCGTCCTCCCATCCGTATCGATCCACTCGCTCTTAACACTGTCCTGCCCGTCGATTTGTTCGATTCTTCGCCGCTTGCCGTCCCGCATTACCGCCTCGTCTCGTCTCGCTTCACTTCACTTCACCGCCTCACCGCTTCCCTGCCCATCGGTGTCTGCCCGGCCTGCTGTTCGCTCCTCTGCCGATCTCGCATCGCTGCGTCCTGCACCTTCGCCCACCCACTCGGCTCCCCTGAATCGCTCTTGAATGGTGGCCGCCTCTGTCGTCTTCCCTCCTGCCCGCTGCTTCCTCTGGTCCTGCTCTGGCTTCCTCCTTTACTCGGTCAGCAAAGCCAGATAACATTGGCTTTACTCTTGTGTGATTTCTATCTATTGCTTGCCTGCCTTCAGCTCCTCCCCACGACTGGGTCGCCCTCGGCTGCAGAGCAGTCGTCGCCCATCCAACCCCCATTGCCCTAGATCCAGCCCGATCTCGCCCATCATCCCACCCACTCGCCCATCGCCCTTGACTCGCATTCCGCCAGAGCAGACCAGATTGTTTCAATCTCCATTCCACCGGGCCTGCGATTCGGCTCCTCCAAAGTCCGCCCCCATCCGCTCTCTCGCTCGCCAATCCGATATCGTCCACTAGTTCAGTCTCCCCTCTCAACCCAACCCCGATTGGACACTACTCCCTCCGATTCGACAGCATCCACCCTTCCCATCCCCCGGTTCGCCCGACCATGATCTTCTTCCGCACCGGCATCAACGATGTGCCCTCGACCACCGGGCTCGTCGGGGCCTTCATCTGTCTCTTTGGATTCGTCTCGCTCATCTGCCGCGACAAGCTCTTTATTTCCGAGACGCTGCTTGCAACCCTGCTCGGCATCGCCTTTGGTAAGCCCGATCAACCACCGTCATCTGAAAGCAGTTTTGATTGGGATCGCCGCTCCCGTCACATGGACCCCGGCATGTCCTTTTCCGCCCACTCGCTGCCGAGGACCCGTCGCTGCCGTGGCGCTGTTCCTGCCTGTGGCTGTGGCGGTGCTCCTTCCGTCCGCATCGATGTGTTTCGATGTGCTTCGGTCGGCTTCGATCGGCTTCGATGTACTTTGATGGTCGTCCGTGGTGCTCGACCGGCCGCGTGATTTGCACGCTGCAACCATGACACCATTCATGACACCATTCATGACACCATCCATGACACCATTCATGGCACCTTCCAGGGCACCTTCCACGGCACCTTCCACGGCACTGCTCATGACGCCAGCCACCAGGGGCATCATCTGCGCCCGCGGTACCGTCGCTCTGCAAGACTGATCCCGTCGCTCGTTCTGCACAGGCCCCATCGGCATCAATCTCGTCAACCCGTTCCAGTGGGATGTCGATATCAATGAAGTCACGCTGCAGTTCTCGCAGGTCGTCATGGCCATCCAGGTTACCGCCGTCGGTGTTGTTCTGCGCCGGTATGTCTCCTTGGCTCCCACAACTTACAACTCGCGGCATGTCGTTGATGCCATCCACTGCCGGGCCCCCTCTTCGGCTCCATCAGCATCTGCTTAAGCACTCGATTTCAATGCGTATCGTGTACACATGGCCATAGCCACTCACCATCATTTGTGTCTCTGTGGCCGGCCCTGTTATTGAAACAACAGCAAGTTCTGGGTGTCGAATGTTCGACCGCTGGCTGTCCTTCTCGGCCCCATCATGATCTCCACCTGGCTGATCACCGCCGTGCTCCTCTGGGCGCTCGCCAAGGTGAACATCTACCAGGCTCTGATCATTGGTGCGTGCACGGCCCCCACGGACCCTGTGCTGGCAAACTCAATCGTCAGCGGCAAGTTTGCCGATCTGTATCTGTCCATTCCCATCAGAGATCTGCTCTCTGGAGAAAGGTATGTCGCCTTCTCTCCCGCCTCATGTTGTGTTTGCTGCTGCCATTTCATAACCGGCCCCTTGCGGGCATCGGGCTTGGGTCTGAGTCTGGGTCTCGGCTCGTGTTTCACCCTCTCCGCGGCCACCAAGCATCCGCTCACTCTGCCATGACGCCTTTGTCGTCTCTCTCATCCCCCCCCTTCAGTGCTGTCAACGACGGATTGGCCGTCACGCTCTTTTCCATGAGCGTCATGGTCTCTCAGATGAGTCCCAAGGACGTCGCCTTCCACTGGACGCTCGAGACTGTTCTCTACGAAATGGGCGTTGCCATCATCATCGCCATCCTGATCGGCCTCGCCTCAAAGTGGTTGCTGCGATTCGCCCACATGAATCGATACATTGACCGCCGCAGCTTCCTGTGCTTCATTCTCGGCATGGCGGTAGGTCCATCTCTACCTCTCGAGCTCGAGGAGCAATGGACAACACGACGTCCGTCAGTCTCCCGAGCCAAGCTCTCGGCTGGCCCCGCCTTCCCTCTTCCCTCTGTGGCTGCGGCTCGTCAAAATGCAAAGAAGGATCGGCTTTCGCCCGGACACGGCCAAGTTGCTTGTTCTCATTTCTGTCTTTGCATGTGCTTGCTAGCTCTTCACGGTCGGAATTTGCTCCATGCTTGGACTGGCCTCTGTCTTTGCCTGTCTTGTGGCCGGTGTGGCCTTCTCATGGGTAAGCAACGCTCGACCCATTCATCACAGGGGCACTGCACACCGACGGCACGCTATCGTCCAGCATCTTTATACCCTCACTTGACCAACAGCTTTCGGGGAAGCCGCTCCCACGCCCGTCTTGCTCACGAAGCCTTCTGACCCGCCCGACTCTTTCATCCTTCCTCCTTGACGTGCACAGGATGGCTGGTACGACGAAGAGGGCGAAGACCACGATGTCAGCCAGGTCATCGACATGGTCCTCAACATGACCTTCTTCATCTTTGTCGGCGCCTCGATTCCGTGGTCGTCATTCCATTTCGAGTCGGTTTCGACCGCGACCATGGTCGGCACCATCGTGCTGATTCTGATCCTGCGCCGCCTGCCCCTGGTGCTGATCGGATACAAGCTCATGGGCCTCGAAAAGATCTCCTTCCTCGAGGCTTTCTTTGTGGGCTGGTTCGGGCCCACCGGCGTCAGCGCGCTGTGGTACATGGTAAGCTCCGTCGCCTGGGAGTTGGTGCCAAAGCGCATCGGACCTCTGATCTGCCGTCCGTTGCTTTGCCATCACGCTGTTGGTTCGTCTGTATACTCGCCTGCCTTGGGCAACAGCATGCGACCGACTCATGCCGTCCTCCCGTTCATCACTGGCACTCTCGCTTCAATCTTTGATATCGACTCTGGCGTCCTGTTGATGCCAGAGCATCGTGTGTCCTGTGCTCACCGTGTGCCTCCCTTCGCTCTCCTGTTCATCAGGCCGCAGCCAAGCTCGAGTTTGCAGACAACAGCACCGTCGTGCCGATCACCAGGTTGGTACCAATTCGATCTCAAATGTCGCAACCTTGCACGTCAATGTTGTATCAAGCCACTGCACTGGTCGCAGATACACCACGCTCGAGACCCGCTCGCTCTCTGGATCTGTATCTCATTCGCAGCCGTCTCTCCGCTCCAGCTTGATCGTCCTTACTTCGATTCTGATGCACGGCATCACTGTCCCGTTTGCGCACGTGGGCATCCGCACCGTGACCAAGTCGAAGCCGTTGATTTCCGCTCACTGGCCTGAAAATGTAAGCTTCGTTGCGGGCTCTCTGCCGCTCCAGCTCTCGGATTTCGTGCGGGTATCATCTTGGTGATGGAGTGCGGAGAGTCGCTGGTGGATTGGATCGATTGTGTCGCCGCTCCTGCACCCTGTGCTGCGGCCAGTGCGGCCCATCTGCAAATCCTGATCGAGCCTCTGACGCACTTTCGCTCTCCCATCCCTCCCCCCCAGGTCAACGTCAGCGCCACCGCCATCTCAGGACCTATTCCCTTGGACATCACCTTCACGCCACCTGCAGACGAGTCGAAGAGAATCCAGGGATCCTCGCTGTCCTTCCGCCCGTCTCCCCGGGTGGAGCGCAAAGCCGTCACCGCCGCGACCTTGAACGACATCTATGTCGTTCCTGACGGGCCATTGTATGCCACTGCTATTTCCGAGCGTGTCGGGTCCAGAGACACCATCTCGGTCATTCCGCCGCAGATCCTGCTCGAGCAGCCTGCCCCTACTTCTCAGCCTCGCGGCGAGTCGCCGTGGTCGCCCGAGACGCTTTCAGACATGCCCCCTATCCCCGAAGCTGCCGACGGTCCGCTTGCAGATTCGCTCGATGAAGCTTACACCTCCTTCCACGAGAAAGCCGTCGAGATTGCCAACGCCGAGGCTGATGCGCCTTCTCAGGATAGCGTCCCTCAGGTCGCCCAGGCCACAGTCACTCCCGGTCTTGGCCCTGAGAACGATGCCGAGGCCCCCGAGCAATCGCCCTTCGAAGACGTAGTTGAGACTCCATTGGTCCCCCAGCCCGCCACCGAGCAGCATGCGACCAAAGTCGCCATGGACACCGATACTGCGCACCCTGATCAAACCGTCGAGCCCGTTCCCGCTGACGATGTCACAGCGTCCCCGCCCGCACACGAGTCCATCGCTCCCTTGGCTGCAGACGACATGCCTGTCGAGATCGTCCCGGACCCTGCCCACATCGACCCCGAGACTCTACCTCCAGCATCTTGAAGAGTCACGACATAGCAACACATGGATGCTTCCCGGGGTTGCGCCACATCGGCGATATCCAAGCTGAAAGTCCTCCTGGAGCAACCCCGTCGCCTGCCGGCATAACCGTCGGCAGCACCGTTCTCCACTTGGACTCTAATCCCACCTTTGACTGACCTCCTCAGTTCCTCTCCCCCCCCCTCCCGCCTTCCCGGCTCACCCCCTCCTTTCACCACAAGCGCTCCTACCACTTTAAATGGTGCTCCTTTTCAGCATCCGGCACTGGTCCTCATCCATTTCGGTTTCGATATTCGACATTCTGCGATCTTCATTTCGCCGACCTGTGGACAACCATCTCCGCCGCACCGACTCGATCCTTCTTCCATCACCCGTACCCACGCCTAACATACACTTGTCCCATTGTCCGGTCCCATTTGTTTCTTCTTCTTCCTCTTCTTCTTCTTCTTCTCACTCGAGCAAAGACTCGCCTCAACAATGCAACTTGCCCATGTCCCAATTTCATCGACACCACCGCTCCTCTATAACGTGTTGCTCTTCCTTCCTTCCTTCCTTCTCTTTGTGATTACACTTTTCAAAGATTGTTTCTTCGCCAAATGGAGTTACAACATTCAAAAATATACATACATATGCCGCTGTTGGCTTTTTTCATTTGAATTGCACCTCTTGAATGACCCAACCCTCCCCTCAAGTGAGCCGAGTGGAACAAGGCCCATTGCGGGAAAATCGATGCTCGCGAATCGATGCTCCCCTCTTCCCCAAACTCGATGCCGTAAGCGATTTCGGAATCTAGGTGCCCGTGGAATAGGCTTCATGAACTATATTTGAGTTCCATTGCGTGTTGGAGATGGCGATCAAAGCCGGCAAGGGCGGCCCAGAGAAATCAGCGTCGAGCTGCGCCGGCCTGATACTTCACTCGACCAACCAAGCCCACTCTTGCTTGCAGGTGCCCGTGCCCGTGCCCGTGGGCATGCACAGATCTCAGCGGGAGGGCTGTCCTTGTATAACTTTGCCCATCCCTGCCGCTCGACACTGTCACACGATTCTAAGCATGACTGCCACCCCCCGCTTGGCCGAGCCTCAGTCGCGATGGGCTCGCTTGCGGGACGATCCGACGCCCACATCGTCTGCAGTTCTCGCAGTCGCCTTGCCCTTGCTCTGGCCTGCACGCGAGCCCTTGCCAGCGCTCTTCTTCTTCACGAACGACGATACGTCTTCCGTCGGGTCGCTCTCGTCGTTGTTGCCTTCGGCCTCGTTGGCGTCCTCGTCGTCCACCTCCTCGTAACCATCCAAACCACCAGACTCGCCCGCACGTCCAGCGCCTGCACCGCCGCGGCCAGACTTGGACGTGGCGCCGGTGGTGCTGAATGGCATGGGATGGGACCCTTGGTTGTACCTGGAGCAACGATCACGGTTCTGGAGTAAGCAGAGCACGAAATGGCAGCCGGATTGCGGTGGGGTGGGGCTTGATGGTTGATGGCAGACAGCGCTCTTCGGACATGCACACAACAGTGTCGCCCATTGACTCACACTTTGGTGAAGCTCGTCTTGAGATTGCGTGAGATCTTTGCAGCCTTGGCGTCGCCCTGGAGATCGAGCTCCATGACGTTGTCCCAGTCGTCTTTGGAGAGATAGTAGCCATCCATCATCGAGATAACATCTCTGATTCCATCCTGAGACCGTGCGGATGCATCGAGCACGTAGGCGTGAGTAGTTTCTACCGTGAGCAGTGGCAGGAGACGACAAAGGGAATGAAGCAGCGAATGGACGAAAGCGGAAAGGAGCAGCAAGAGAGCATTTCTACAGTACATACATCGTGTGAGTCGATGATGGGCTGGCTGAGGACAAGGCTCAGAGATGGAATGTACGTCTGTCGCACTTCTTTCTTGTCGCCACTGATGCGGAGTCCCATGTGCATCTGGATCTCACGCAGGAGCCGGTATCGCCGCTGTTGGGTCGAGTTGTTGCCGAGGAACCTGGCGAATGGAGCGCAGTCGATTGATCAGAACAGAGTCGAGCCCAGATGCACATTTGCAAATGGTTGAAGCTGGTTGTGCGAGAACATGCTCAGCGGCCCTCGGCAGTCATTTAGAGGCAGGTCGAGCAGTTTCTGTGGTAACAGTCCACTGACCGAACCAGCCAACAGCCAGCCAACAACCAGCCAACATCCAGCCAACAGCTACATACGATGAAAAGGCAACCTGGCCAGTGAGTCCACCGTGGGTGAAGAAGGCCGGGCGGACGGTCGAAAGCAGAGCATGGGCCGGCATCAAGCCCCAGTTGTTCGAGGAGCGCAGAACCCGATCGAGGATGTCGCCGTCAGATATCGAGTCGGCTGCGTTGCTGAGCAGCTTCAGGGTTTCGAGAGCCATCTTCCTGGGCGAGGCCCCGCCGACTTCTCTGGCGATGGCCGGGGCGGATTTGAGGTAGTTCTCCTGTTACCAGGTGTACGCACCGAGAGAGCATCAATCTCAGCCCAGAACACTCATTTCGCGTTCACGGACGCACGAGCACCATTCGACACATCCCGTGATCAGCACGCACGCACCTGGATCATCAGCGGAACAAGAGAAAAGTCGTAAAAGTAGTACTCGAGCTTCTCGGCCATGCTGGCGCTGCGGTAGATGCCCTGGTTGAACAGCTTCTGCGTGACCTCGAATGGCCCGACAACCACATCCTTCTCGGACATTTTGGTACTGCACAGGGCAGTTCGTCGGTGACAGCAACACAAGCGTAATAGCATCAGTACCGCAGACTTGCGGGGAATGACTCGGTCGCAGTCATACCAGCGGCAATGGCAAAGGAGAGTGCTCAACATACAGTTCCTTGGACTGGTCGTACGACAGACTTGTGGCCTTGAGCCGGTACGTGGACAAGATGTTGAGAATCTGGCGAACGTCGCTGCCAGTCGACTGTACCAGCTGGCTGACCACATTGGGCCGCAGCAACAGCCCCTCTCTAACGCGAGAAACACACCACACCGAGCTCTGTGTTAGCAGGGTCCTCCAATCAGGCGCTGCAATGCTAGACAGTTGTGCAGCCAGACGACTCGTACCGCTCAGCAATATCCCGCAGCCGGACTTCCATTTGGGTATCCGTCGGCCGCCTGAATCTCAAATCCAGGCAGTAGTTGGCCAGCGATCGAATCTTGGGCGATGCGCGGTCGTTGCATATACAGATGATCGGAACCTGGCACCAGAAATCCGGTGATGAGGACCCTGGCATCCCTTTGGTGCGGAGCATCGACGCAAGGGGTGATCACAGAGCAAAGGTGAAGCAGTAGCTGCCGAATCTGCTCGTAAAATTAACTCTCACCTTGGATCTTTTGAGGATCTGAATCAATTCAGCAACGCCGCCGCGATCGCCAGCCGACATACCGTCGACTTCGTCCATGATCACCACATGTGACTTGACATCGCTTGACTGCTCCGATGTCAAAAAATGGATCAGCACACAAATTGCACACGCTGTACATCGGCGGTGGACGGATCTGCACCCGAGGATCGATCTGGCGAGCAGCTTACCTTGCGCTGGGTCTTGGCCGTGAAGAACTCTTTCACCGTGTGGGAAGTGCAGATTTCGCTCACCAGCTCCTACAAGACGAAAGCGAGTGCGAATGGCTTAGCCCATCGTTGCAGGCCTCGTTCCGCTAGCTGGACATTGCGCTCTGGCCGGCAGAATGGCAAGCTGGTGCAGCTCTGAACAAACATCGGCTCGATATTCAGCAGAGGCTCAACCGGTGCACTGTACTCACGTCGAGGGACTTTTTGCTTCGGGTGTCACTTGCATTGAACTCTATAGGCTCGAACCCCTCCGTCACGGCCACCAGATGGGCAGCGGTCGTTTTGCCGATGCCAGGCGGGCCAGAGAGAAGCACAGCCTTGACGTGAAACTCGTCCTTGTCCTTCGGGAACCCATCGCGACGGTATTCGTCCCTGGCATTCCAATATCGGCAGATTACCACGATTGAATGGGCGTGTGCCAATGGTGGCAGCAGTGGATATAGTCAGGCTCGCGCACGGGAGCCTCAACTTGCGAGAGAGGAAGAGCGCACTCGAGCTTGCCTTGGACAAACGTCCTTACCATCCGCGCAGCCACCTGGCCAGCTTCTGGACGAGCCCTGGGTTTCCAACCAGCTCGTTGATTGTCCGGGGCCGGTATTTTTCTGTCCATAGCTCAGCATTGGGTTGCTGGTGCCGCATGGTGCCTTGTGAAGAGCTGCTTGGTATCAATGTCGTGTTAGTGCCTCGGTTGGCAGCGAGCACACTTACAGCATCATCTCTGAGCCCCCACCTGTTAAATCCGCTGGAAGCCAAAGTCGGCGGTGTGGGGAGCGACACAACGCTCTTGCCCTTGTCGCCCTTCTTCGGCGACTTGAGCACCTCCTCGTCCGACTTTGGCTTGGATTTACGGATGAGATCGAGCAGTCCGTCTTCGTCGAGGGTCTTGAGCTTGAGCTCTTTGATCTTGGCGATCTTCGATGGACCCGGCTCATCGCCAACGACCACATACGAGGTCTTGCCGCTGGGTGCGCCGGTGACGCGGCCGCCGTAACGCTTGATCAGATCCTGCGCATCCTCGCGAGAGATCGACGACAGCTCCCCCGTAAACACAAACGACAGACCCGCCAGACAGTTCTCGGCGCCAACAGGGATGTCCTTTGAGCCAGGTGCAACCGGACCAGTCGACTTTTTCTGCCAGAACTTGTACTTTTTTGGAGAGAGCGGGGCATCGCCGGTGCCAGCTGACTCGGCAGGAGCCTTTGCGGCCGCTGTCGTTGGCGAGGCTGGTTTGTGTTGTGCTGCCGGAGTTTTGGCAAGGCTGGAGGCAGACGGTTTGGCGGGCTTTTCGGGAGTGGCGTCTTTCTTGTCCTGGTGGGGACTCGGTACTTCTTCATGGGCAATGTGATGCGGGTGCGAGCGCGGGTGAGGATGCGATGCCGTCGCCGTGGTGGACTCGGGCCGAGACGGTGCCTCGGTGGCCAGGCTTGCATGTGGGGCTGCATGTACTGCGTCGCTGCTCCACGGTAGCACTCGCTTGTGCGGATCTTTGACCAGGGGCACTGCCGATCATCGATAGCATCTGGGCGTTAGTTCCGCTCAGCCGCAAAGGGCATGATCAACGCTTGCGCTCAGTCACCGCCGACAATTACCGGCGTCCAAAGTCCTCGCGGCAGCGTCATTTAACTTGACTGCCTTTTTGGCAACGGGAGTGTCATTCATCTCGCTGTCAAGTGCAGGAAGCGTCGCCAGGATGGCCACTGACTCGGCAGGCTTGGTCGGTTTCGAGGACTTGACAGCAGGTTGAACGTTTACCACCTGAACATCTCCGTCCAGATCGATAGCCGAAGAGGGTGCTTCAGGAATCTCGACAACTGCCTCCTCCATGGCATCATCCGAGTCGTCAAAGGTGATGATGGCATTGGCTTCCTGCAAGCAATCGTCGGGGGTGTGAGGCACGATCGGGCGACGGCTTGCCGAAGGACACGGAGCAGCTGAGAACCTACTCGTTTTGGGGGACTGGTTGCCGCGGGCTTGTGGTGAGCCAACACTTTGTCGCTGCGTTGAATGCGCTTGCTGCCAAAGAACGTGCCGGGGTCAACGGGGTTCGCCTCGCTCTTGGCCCTGTTGGTCTGCTCCGATTGCGCGCTGCGAAGTGAGAGAGGAACACTTTCGTCAGGGCACTCTGGCATTTCCAAAAGGCAAGTATAGGAGCAAATATGTGCATATTGCGGCTCGCCAATGCGCCACCATGCGCCGCCCGAGTCCGACCGGGCGTTACCTCTTGGTCGCCCCCGATGCCAGTTTGGAGGGGATCTCCCTCTTGTCCTTGGGAGGCATATCGACATGCTCGGTCTTGTTGCCTACTTTCTTCTCCTCTCTCTCTTCTTCAGCATCGTCGTCATCGTCGTCGTAAATAATCATCCGACTCGATTTGGACTTTGTCATTCGTTTGGGCTGATCGTCGGCCTGTGTCCCGGCTGGGTCTTTGCGGCCTTTGGAGCTTGACCTTTCCGATAGAAGCTGTCAGCCAAACGCCAACCGGAATTCTCTGACCCTAATAGATGGGGGCCGCTGACTTGTATCGGGCCAAAGTCTCAATCGCATCGCATCCACGAGCATCAGGGACTTACTTTGAGTGCTCTATCTCGGGTTCGGACGAAGGTTCGAGCTCTGCCAAAGAAGATATGCCCGCATTGCTGTGGCGATAAGCGACTCGTGCCAGCAGAGACAGAGGCAGAGGCATCACCAATAGGCTTGCCCAGCCTCGGCGCTCATGGACGGACACATGAGGGCAGTCATGGGCTCGGCAACAGTGTTGTACCTTGCTGGGCCTTGCCGGTTCCCATCCCGGATCCCTTGAGAACAAAGTATGATCGGATGTCGTTGGTGCCATAGCTGGCGTGTCTCTTGGGCTGCAAGTTCAAGTCCATTGGCGCGGTGTAGATTGCCGTTGCATGCGTCCCGGATCGGTTTGAGCAAATGGCATGTGGACAAACGTTGATGGTGAGTTGGAGGCTGATCAATATGCGCGGCTATTGAGGCTCGAGTGGCGCTGGGGTACTGAAGCCTGTCCCTGCGCAACCAGCAAGCATGCCTCTGAAAATCACATACCGGCATCGTTGGGCGACTGGATCTTCGCCAGGATGAGTGGTGGACAGGAGTGCGGTGTGGCTGATTAGATCATCAGAACAGACATACACCTCACAGCCGATCCCCTCGTTCAGGGAGGGCGCATGCCCCTGTGGACACCGAGCGTCACGGCTGAGCAACCGCATAGCGGCAGCGGCTACGGACTCACCAATGGGCGCTGGATCTGTGCGTCGCCGCCGATGAAGTTCGACGAGCAGGTTCTGTCGTTGCGAAGCCTGGGCAGACCAGATCGCGACAGGAAGACCGCAGGACAAATATGGACACATTGTCTCGGAGAAACCGAGGCGGATTCCGGATCGATCCGCCGATCCAGCCAGCACTCGTCCTGGCTTTGTGCCCTTGCAGATCCAACCACGCTTTCACAATCGGGCCGGCCCGATCTGGCGTCTGCTCCTGATCTGCAAGCTCGCTCGGCACCGATCGCCGACATTAGCCCGCTTCGATCGTCATCTGATACCAGATTCAGCGACCCACTGGCTGCGCTCCCTCCGCCAGCAGCACATTCGCATCGACCCGATCGCCATGGACAAAAAGTTTATTCACTTCGGGCAGATCGACCCGACGCAGCAGCTCGCTCAGCTGGAAGAGAAGGGCATCAATCTCGATGAGCTGCTGGCAGACAACCCCAAGGACATCAAGTCCTCGAGCGCCAACTACGAGCTGTCGGCCTCTGCGATCAAAGCGCAGCAAGAGCAGCAGGCCATCTTGGATGAGTTCAACAAGAAGCGGCTCGCCCGGTCTCTGGCCGTCCCGACCGACGACGGCAGAGTGCGACAGCGGCTGATCGATCTCGACGAACCACAGACGCTCTTCGGAGAAGGGGTAATGTCTGCTGCATGTCGAATAGGCAAAGACAGAGAGCGACCATGCTTGGCTGACTTCTCGAGACGATATGTGATGGTCGCTTGTCGCTTGTCGAGGAACGATCGAGGTCGTCGACTAACATAGCCTGGCGCAAATGTCGTTGATGATGCGAAACAGCCTGCAGAACGAAGAGAGCGTCTGCGCGATCTCCTTGCGCAGAGGCTCCATGACCAGTCAATGGATATCGATCAAGTTGGCACCGACGACGAATCTGATGAGGACGAGGACGATGATGACGAGGGCGAGGAGGTCGAGGAGTTCTTTACCTATGGTATACCCGAGCTCATGGAGTGTCGAAAGAGCATTGCTCACTATTCGATACCACGGTAGGCGCCGCATGTGGTTGTGCTTCATTCCGCCCTGCCCGGTTTCCCGAGCATGGAATGATCCAGCCTAATGTTCGGGGTATTCATCCTTCCCTCCAATGACAGGGCAAAGGAGCGCCTCGCCGTCCAGCGAAGCGAGCTGGAGCTACCAATTGCACAAAGAAAGAAGTACCGCGGAGAGTGGTATGCGCATCTCAAGGTAAGCGCTTCTGGCATCTGTGCACCGACATCGATGCGTCTATGGCTGTCTGAGATCGCTGAGAACAGCCGCAACCCCCATGATTGCTGCGACAGCCATGAAGCACTGCCCATTGCCTGAGTGGCTAATGCACTACACCTGGATACGATCGCCATTCGAAACCAGACCTTTGCGACCTTCACCTCGCAGCTGGGGGACGACCGACCGCTGAGCTACTGCGTGTTTTCGCCCAACTCGCGCATATTGGCGACAGGATCATGGAGTGGCGTAATCAAGCTCTGGGGCATTCCGAGCTGCGAACACACCATGACGCTCAAAGGTACGATAGCAGATGGAAGCAAGGGGGTCGCCATGTGATCGCCATGGGGTCGCCAAATCGACAGCGATTGCACACCAAGTGACCGCATATCCACAAAGACTTACACATCAAAATCTTTGGCCAGGTCATCGCGAAAGAATCAGCGGTATCGCCTTCCATCCCGGAGCGACCTTCTCTCAGTCCCGCTCGGAGTTGAATGTTGTCAGTGGAGCCACTGATGGAACCGTCAACCTGTGGTCACTCGACAGGTAAGCTGAATCATCGCAGTTGAGATCAGGCTGGTCATTGCAATTCGCGGTGCAGGTAACCAGAATTGTGGGGAACTCAGTCTGATTTCCGCCTGCCTTCCAGGGAAACCGCCATAGCAAAGCTGGAGGGACATAAAATGAGAGTGGCCCGAGTGGCAATCCATCCATCCGGGCGATACATTGCTACCTCGAGGTAAGCTTGCGAGGCACATTTGATGGTCACATTCCGGGACAGGATGCCGCCAAGCTCGGCGTTCCGGCGGGCGAGTGAGAGGCGGGTCGCTTGTTTGTCGGATGGAAAGCCTCACCTGTCCCTCTGCCCATCCATCTTCACCACAGCTTTGATCGCACTTGGCGCCTCTGGGATTCCGAAACACAGAAAGAGCTGCTTCTGCAAGAAGGGCACTCGCGGGAAGTCTTTGGAATCGGATTTCAGTGCGATGGTGCTTTGATAGCCACAGGGTGAGTCGACCGGTCTCTCCTGCGTTCCAGTGAGCTCGCCCGGCATGCAGAGCGCTCGCGCACTGGAAACGAACGCTGGAAATCGGGATCGTGAGAGTGTCCATCGCAAGTCGACGATTTGCCCACTCGGCAAGTCCACCGAGACTGCGTGCCACTTATGCCATCTGTCTCTGTCACGCCCTCGCTCTCTCCCATCAAATCACCCCGAAACGTATACCATTCCTATGGAAATGCTGTGCAGCGGCATGGATTCCATTGGTCGAGTGTGGGATCTGCGCACCGGCCGATCCATCATGACACTGCAGGGACACATCAAGTCGATCTTGTCTCTGGACTGGTCCCCGAACGGATACCAGATCGCCACCGGCAGCGAGGACAACAGCATTCGAATCTGGGATGTCCGCGCGGCAAAGTCCTCCTACAACATCCCCGCCCATCAGAATATTGTTACTCAGGTGCGATACTGGAACGGCACCTCCAATCGCTACCCTGACTGGAACGGCACCTCCAATCGCTACCCTGACTGGGAATTTGGCGGTCCAACCGAAGGCGAAATGGACACAAGCGGCGATGTCGACGATGGCACGAGCTGGATCGAGGAACAACGATTCCGGATCGTCAATGGTTCGTTCTTGGTGTCGTCGTCGTACGATGGAACTTGCAAGATATGGACCGAGGGCGACTGGAAGCCGATCAAGGCCCTTGCCGGTCTCGAAGGCAAAGTGATGAACTGCGACATGTCCCCAGGTAAGGTTGCGGGATCTCAGAATACCAGTCTCCAGATAAGCCCATCACCGCCCACTGCCTCGATGCACGCGTGGGATGTCGGCTGCCGTTGTGGGAGAAACCACTTGAGCGACGGCCGTGTGGGGCTGTTCCATCGTCTGGCGTCCCAACCACGCTTACTCACAGCCTACCGCTCTCGTTAGATGGCCAATTCTTGGCGACGGCATCGTATGACCGCACCTTCAAGCTGTATGCCTCAGAGAGCATCGCCGTGTAAAGCCAACGCCAATATACAGCCGCTGTTGCCAAGGCACCCAGCATCGAGTCAAGAGCCTCGTCGCCTCATGCGGCTCGCATGTATATACCGATTCATTATGTGCTACGAGGCATCCAAAGCAGAACAAAGGAGTGAGGAGAAGGGAGAGGATTGCAAACGGAGGTGGCTATAGAGGGCAGCGGCGGGGAAGGCGGAAGACAGGGCGGATTACTCGTCGTCGTCGTCGCCGTCGCCGCCAGCTTGCGCCAGGGCAAGCTCGTTGCCAAGGTTTCGTGGCTTGATTCTGGGTGAAGGCAGCAGTGCCGCAATGGCCACCGTTGTGAGTAAGATCGAAATGGTTATCGGGGTGTGGAGATGATAAGGCCAAACATCCGACGAACGACTGCTATGATCGAAATAGGCTACATACGTCTGAGCAAGGCGGTGTCGCTGCGCTTCGATTTTCTGTGTGGCCGGGCTCATGAGCTTGTCGGTCGGACTCGAAAATCTAATTGCGACAAGATGCGATTCAGTATGCAGTTCGGTGTGTCGTCCACAACCAAGCAGAGGCAGGGCGGGAAGAGTCGTCGCCGCAGTAAGCTACATTGGAGTAGCCATGGCGACTGCGAATGGCGGTACTGCGAGAGAACTGCGACCGTACCCTTGGCTCTTGCTGTTGAACTTGGCAAAGGGACCCTTCTTGATGGGCTTTGGATACGGCTCTGCGGCAACAGGAACGACGTGGAGTACAGGAGCTTCCGACCGAGCCTGCTGAAACGACGGCTCGCTGGCGATCTTGCCGCCAAGGCCAGTAGAGCCAATATGCTCGTCGTCGTCATCACCGTCATCTTCCTCGTCTTCGTCCACGCTCTCTTGCTCGTCGCTTTCGTCGGATGACGATTCAACCACCGTCGGCTGTAGCCGCGACGACGACGGCCGGCCGCGAAGGACAGGGATGCGGCTGGGGTTTGAGAGCGAGGACGAGGGCTTGTTGGCGGAAACCGGCAGGGGCGCTTTGAACACCGGCGTGGTGGAATCGGAGACGGTGGAGCTCATGACTAAGGCAGAGCCGCTGGGCGCTTGGAGGAACAGGCGAGGGCAGACGATCGGGTGCGAGTTGGAGATCGCTGTGGGGCAACAGGGCGCGGGCTCTTGGACGAGCACCAGAGGTGCTGCGCGCGAGTTTCAATTATGCCTATAAATAATTTGGTGCGACCGAGAAGAGCGCGTTCTCGGCCGACGTTCTCGCGAGGAGCGTTCTCGCTCGCCAGTCTGTGTCACCTCGTGACCCACAGGATGTCAACACGTGACCAATTCGCCTCATCCCGGTTTTTAGCCCGAATTCGATCCGGATCAAATTTTCTGGATCGAGTGTGCTGGATCTTCTGGTTTGTGGCTCGATTCGTTTTTATTCTCGGCTTTCCGGGTTCGCCCGGTCATGGAACGGGTTGGACATGCTCCGCCGCGATCCTCCGCCGCCGTCCGTCGTCGTCCTCGGCTCCAGTCGTCCGCCCCCCCCCCAATCCCTCGAGCAAACCAGCCTGACATTACCTTCCTGCAAGATGGGCTCCATAGCGAGCTCTGCTAATCCGATAGTTGATCGCGATCACTATTCGCATGAATGGAAAGAGAGAGCATTGCATGTGAGCTGCGGTGTACAGGCTTGAACCATATTCGAGTCGGCTGGGTGATTGAAAGACTCATTGATCAAACCTCAAGGGCTCATACCTCTGTCTCCGGTGGTTGATTGAATCACTTGGCAACTATCAGTAGTTTAGTGGATATTAGTATTGGCACGGCCTCCATTGCAAGGTTGAGGCGAGGATAATACTATGCCAGCTACTGACTTACCTTCAAGGCTGCTTATAAGCTGTGATTGGCCTGAGAATGCATGAGTGGTTCCTGAAAATGAGATCGAGAGCATATCGTTATCATCCAATCGGATAAACAGAGCGTCGATCGCCTTGTCGCCCTTACCTGAGGTATTGCTTGCCTGGTGTGAAACCCAGCCTATCCGCTCTCACGCTCGTGTCAGTTGGCGGGATTATATGGAGAATCGTGGCTCGAGTGCACTGCTATCCGCTCACACTGCAACCAGCACATCGCAATCACCCAATCCAACTCCAACCGAGTTCCGGGACCCTGACCCGACCGTGATTGCCCAAGTATTTCGGAATTGTATTGATATTCCACAAGAATTTATTTAACGGGATGGGCTGGCTGGCTCTGCCGCGGAAGCCAAACCGGACGGTTGCTGTGAGTTTGCCGGAGCCGGGGATATGACAGATTCTTCCGTGTCGAACACAAATCTGACACCTGTGGGTGACATCGAAACAAGAATTTTATGGTCCAGCCATTTAGATGCCATGTTCAACTTATCATTTTTTTAATCCAAAGTTCCGACGGTTGAAACGATTTTGGAAACCTTGATGAATGCGTGGGCGCTGTTCGACTTGAGTGTGCGACGATTGGGGCGGGCGAGCCGATCTGCAAGCCCAGCGGCTCGATCACTAACAGGAACAAAGGATTCATATTCCAGGTCGTGAGGTCGATGAGCACTTGCGCTCCCGTTCGGCCGGACTTCTGCTTGTGCCAGGATCGAGTGCATCGTCCTCGGTTGGAGGGTCTTGGTTTCCAGCACCGGTGGCCTCGAGGGCCTGCTTTATGGCTGCAACAATGTCGTTTTTACTCTGGGGACAGGGGAGACTTTGAGGATTTGCACTGTTCCTTGAGTATTTCGACAGTGGGTGCCGGGTCGCCCATATTCTGGGCAGTCCACTTCGGGGTTGCCATCCCTCTTGGGATGGTCGATGGGAGGTGGTTGACTCCCTTGTGCAAAGTGTGTGTGTGTGTGCAAAGTGGTGTGTGTGTGTGTGTGTGTGTGTGTGTGTGTGTGTGTGTGTGTGTGTGTGTGTGTGTGTGTGTGTGTGTGACGGCGAGAGGCTTCTCGCCTTCCCTCGGGGGTCTCTCGCCGACCGAGGTGGCCCCGAGAGCGCGTTTTTCGTTCTGATAAGGAATTTTTCATAGTGTATCATGCGTCCACATCGAAACCGAACACAGCAAGCACAGCAAGCACATTGGCTCGTGCAGGGTTAATGGAGCGGGATAGGCGGCGACGGCGGGAATGGGCGGGTCCGGGCAGATCGAGGCGAGGGGTGGCAATGGGCGTGAGCAAACGAGCCGGCCGTCTGTCGGGCGGGTGGGAGATGCTATTGCTTCGATCACGCCAGCGCAACCGCAGCCATGCTCGGCACCAGATACTATCGGACATTTGATGAAATCGAAAACGTCAAGGTCAAAGTTCGTCTTGCGATCGTCAAGTCGACGCACAACAGAGGTCTGTCGCACTGCCCGAGCTCCTGATTGAGCCAGTGGTGCGAATTCGATGCAACGCCTTCATGGAATCGCACCAGCGACGCGCACTGACTTGCCACTTACCCCAGGACCGCTGAAGCAGAAGGGGTCAAAGCACTCCAAGGGATCGCATTCAAAGCTCCCAGCAGTCGAGCAGTCGATCTCGTGGCAGCAAAAGATCTACAGCCCCGCGTATGTCTTCTGCCAGGCACGAGCATTGCAGGCTCCGAGACAAACTTCCAACAGCCATCTCCTCCTCTGCGCCGCAGCGACTTGATCCATTTCCAGGAAAGCGGAATAGTAGCGCAGCTGTACCCGAATACGCCTTCAGTCGAGCAGGTTCTGTCCAAGAAGCACTCCAGGCAGGCCAAGGTCGCCAGCCACGGTATCCAGGAACAGGGTATGAGGGCCACCATGCACTCAGGCATAAGTCCGTGGCCCGACAGGACACTCATACCGTCGAATGGGCACCTCTGCCGTTATCCAGATGAGCCCTACATATTCACATACGTGCATCAAGACGAATACGCGGCTGGTGTGGCGACGGCTGATTTGGTGATTGGCCCCGATGGTCAATCGCGGAAACTGAGGAGCCGTGAGTAGTGCGCCTGATAGCGCCGCCGCTTGCCGGCCGCTTGCTCGCTTGATGATCGAGCCCCTCAACTCGAGACACCTGTCCGCACAAGCCTGTTTCTCACGATCGGCCAGCTGCATATCGAGAGCGTTGTCCAACTGACAGATCTTTATCCCCTCCCCACAATCCCTCGTCTGTCAACACCATTTGGATCCAGCGACGGACTCTCATAAGCCAAAGGACCAAAGCCTGTTCCAAGAAATGTTCATCGTCGCTTGCTTGAAGCTAGATATACAGTAGGTGGACATTCGAGTCGCTTGAACTCGTCAAGTCCAGAAGAAACTGATGTTACCATGATGGGTCGCTGCCACAAACTATCATCCCAGCAATCGAGAGACCAAAGTCGTCCACGGCAAGACCGTCAGCGAGCCTGTTGTTGTGAACCATGTCCTCTGCAAGATTCAGGGATTCACGAATGGCTTGGTTGAAATGACAGTGAGTACCTCAGCCACAGCATTCGGGCCCTTGATATTTTATGAAATGTCCATGAGCGATCGTCCCGCGCGGCTGACTCACCCCGTTGCTCGGGTCAAAGCCAGGGCTCACCGAAGGCGACACACCCTATCGGTTCAGCTTCGGGGCCAATGACTACGAGCTGTTCATCAAAAACGACTCGCAGGAGCTGACACTGGCTGATGAAGACCGCGAGCGCACTTTCTACCAGGACTTTTACTCGAGGTGGGGATTTTGTTGATCCGGAGAAGAGTGCCCAAGGCCTCGACAGCCTATCGCGATCTCCTACTTGTGATCTGAGTTACCGGGAGAACTTGATTGCTGCGAATATCCATGCCGAGTTTATCAGCATGCGCTGTGCGAAAGGCGCCCGAATCGTCATCGCCAACTTGATTGCGCTCATTCCCCTTTCTTGAATATCCAAATGCCCACCCAGGCGGTCATCGATCCGCGCACTCGCTATCGGGAAGGAGTTCTCGGTAGTTCCGGAAGAATTCTCAAGCAAACTCTCCGTTATTGGCGAGATTGGAAGTGCCCGCGGCTTCCCGACCGACGAATTATTCGTGGAGTTTGCAGTCGAGTTTGACCCAACGACCTGGGTGCTTCCCGAGGCTATTGGACTCGATCATCTCACTGGGCGGTCGAGTCGGTCGCAGTGCCGGTGGAGCAAGGATGACCAAGAGTTCCAATTTGTTCTGGGCTTGCCGCTGGAGGTTCACATCTTTGCCCGGAAACAAAGTGAGGATTGGTATCGCAATGTTCCTATGAACGACAAGCAGTGGGGCCGCAGCTATCGTGCCCACTCACCACCCAACTCATAATGAAACCAACCCTGTCAACAGATGCGCGACCACCAATTATATTTTTCCAAGTCGGTTCGATCGACAGCTGGGATCGGTACACCTTCCATGGATACGGATATCTGCTCCTTCCAGACACACCAGGTGGGGTACAACTGCTACGCTGTCGATGCTAAAGTCTTTGCCAACCTAGAGCTTCAAATAGAAAATACCCATGATGACGGCTGAACACCATCTCATTCGGACGATAGGGACACACATGCTCAATGTGCCGACCTGGAAGCCGGCGCCAACGCAATCATCAAAGATGGCCGAGTATTTCCTTGGAAACTGGCCAGAGGTTCAAACCACCATCTATCCTGACATTCCCACGCACAAGACGGTACGTGCAGAGTGCTGCGGCACGGGTCGCTGTCGATCCGATTATAGGAAACATGAATCAGTCCGCACACTTTATCACTCACCGACCGCGCTTCACCGCCCACCAACAGATTCCGGCGCTGAACCACTGTGGTACTCGAATCTGCACATCTGGGTCTTTGTCACTCCGGCTAAATGTGGCCAAGCAAGTGCATAGTGCACGCTCTGGCGAAGGTGCTGTGGACGATAGGTGAGACGATAGGGTGTCTATGCAACAGGGCTGGATTGGGTGCATGTAGGCAGATAAGTGGAGATTCAAGTGAGCTCCCTGACAGACGAGTCGGACGTAATCAAACCTCCCGCTATTCTCCGTGTCGATAGATTTGAGTCTGAGAAGTCAAGAGCAATATCCGGTAAGGGATCGAAACGGCGGGCTTCTCCGCTCATTGGGGATATGTTCCATGCACTAACACACCCATCATCCGCAAGATGCACTGATGAGGGCCAAAGCGAGACTCGAAAGCATCAGAGCCGAAAAGACAGGCATGTGGCAGGGATCTGGACAGGGTCTGCGCCATACGAACAGCCAGTGACATGCTGGAGAGGTTTGGAAATACAGACATATCACTCTTGCTGATATCGACGCCAGTCTGGCTGCCAGATCAAATTAAGATTGAGAACGGGCACGATGCTGCCGATGAGACCAATTGGAGTGGTTGGCGAGGAGCCCACTGGTGTCCCATCGGCTCTGGAGAGAGATGATGCTTGTGAGACTCAAAGCCTCACAACCGGGGACCCATTTCAGACGAGCGCAGGGTTTATGGGGCCCGTTCCCGTCTCGGTTGTGGCTCGTATCTCGAACCCTGCTTTGGATGCCAAAGTGATTCTATATCGGTATGGTGCCAGCCGAGTGTATTGATGCCTTATCGGCCAAAGAACTCGGGTGGAAAGAGTATTTCTAGGTGCTCGTAGATATTATGGTGGCCTAAGGCACTGAGGCGAGAACGGATGGGTCCACCATCGAGAAGCATACTCCATGCACCATCACCCTCTGGCTCGGTCAACAGCTGCACTTCATTGTGAGGCGGTTCATTCCAAGAGGCCCCCCATCATGTATCGTGCAGGCAACCCATCCACTTCCTATGTTGATTCCTTAAACGACCAGTCCTGATGTATGTACCATCCGCGCTCGATGTGGACTCAGGCCATGCTGCTGCCCTGGACCGAAGCGACGTGGGTCGAGTCGCTGGTTGAGCGTCCAGATGAAAACTTGAGAAGCTTGGCGATAAAAGTGTTGACGACGCAGAACAGATAGATGTCAAAGACCCAAATGAACGTCGCGATAGCATTTCCGATTGTTTGAGTGGGATCGTTCATGGAGAAGACCAGGGAGGCAAGATAAGTCACGAGCTCAATCGCGATGACTGCAATCAAGGCCTTGCCCTCCTGCTGAGCGCCCTGGAATTCGGCGTTACGGTTGGGCTTTCGATTGGCGGCGTTGGCGGCGTTGGCGGTACTGGCCCCGCCTGCAGAGCGCTGGAAGAGCTTGACCGAGTTGTTGAGTTGGTGGAGGCGGTACATCATCAGGCCGTGCAAACAGATCAAGTTGGCCTCGAGCGCCATGTTGAAGACAAACTGATAGTACGTCGACACTTCCCACGAGGTGATCCCATAGATCATGAGGAGGAAGTAGAGGTCGTTGACGCCGTAGACGATCGGCATGATGCCAAAAATGAAGAGCCAGGGATACGTGGGCTTGTTGTTGATCGTCATCACTCTCAGCCTCAAGACGTAGGCCCATCCGATGGAACCCGAGCCGATGCAATCGCCCAGGGCAAAGAGGAAGCTTCCGAACTGCGTGCACGTCCAGTTGGTTGCGCATGGGCTGAAGAGCTGTGCCAAGTTTGACACGCAGAAAAAGCACGAAAACACCGTCGCAAGACCCATCAGCGTATGAATTTGCACTCCCTGTCGAATACTGAACACGCGGTTCCACTTGACGAACTTTGTCGAGTGGATGGCCAGGGTTGCGGCGGCTATATAGGTAAAAAAGGCAAAGATTTGGGCATCTTAGAGCACGCTTGGGTCCATGTTGGTTCGGGGTTGCAGCGAATGTGAGGCTTCTGGGGAGCAGGATCTGGTCTGATGAGCCAAAGCAGTCGGTCGGAGGAGGACGAGAAAAGTGCGAGTACCTTGAAAGGGCTGGGACAGCAATCATAGGCCCTGACGGACGTCATCAAGCATCCAGGTGGATATGTCATCATCCTGATACTGCTTGGAGACGAGCGCCAGGGCGACGTCATTTCGACGGTAGGGCACGCTCTCCAGATGCAAACCAGCGATATGGGACTTTCGCCGACCGATTCGATGTGATAGAGGCTGAACTGGCTGCGCGCACTGTGCAATCATATCGAAATCTGTCCAAAATATGGAGCATCGTTCTTGTATTCCGCCGAGTGTCTCATCATGCTTCTGGAATGGGCAAACACAAGTCTCATCAACGGCTCCTATGGCTGGATGGCCCAATACCTCCCCCAGTATCAATTCCTGATCTGGATCGTTGGGGATTGAGCGGCACATGGCCAAGCCATAGGCGATCGACACACATGGACGTATTGGGATAGCGCTGTTACGTACACTCGGATGTATTGAATATCAATTACAATGCACTTTGGTCGTCGTCATTTCATGGGGTCTGCATGACAAGTCCGATGAGCTTTGGTATTCTGGCGTTCGGGATGTGAGGACTTACCACCCGCTAGATTGCCACGCTTGCTTGCATGTTCAGCGGCGTACCAGATTTCTGGAGCGACACTCCGGAGGAACTTGGAGATCAAGGCCACAGGCCTTCGCTCTTGAGGGCGGAGATGGCAGTTTCGTTTCCCTGCTCCGCGGCATGGCGGAGCCAAAATATTCCAGTATCGGCGTTGCGCCAGACGCCCAAGCCGTTCATATAGCAGTAGCCGAGAAATTGTTGCCCTTGCGGATTGCCCTGCTTGGCGGACTTGAGGAGCCACCTGACTGCCTTTTTGTGGTTCTGGGCAGCTCCGAATCCGTAGTGAAGGCATACGCCAGCCATGTGCTGGGCATACGAATCGCCCGCGTCGGCGGCTTTCAAGAACAACTGGAGCCCCTTTGAGTAGTCTATCGGTACCCCCCATCCATACCGATAGCATATCCCCAGCCTGTATTGGCTGTCTCTGTGGCCTTCGCTGGTGAGTTGCTCAAAGATGCTCGCTGCATCCTTATAACTCCGCGAACATCCGAGTCCGTTCTTCAAACACAGGGCCACAAGATGCTTGCAGAGCCAGTCCCGACCTGATCCGAATTGGCACAACTTGAAGAACTGACGGGATGCGGGTGATGTGCACGAGGCCATACTCCATCCGATCAAAGTCTCTTGATCCCCGATCGGGAATTCCTTCGACTTGTTCTCGCGAATGATCTTGACCCCTTTCGGTTTGTCTTGGGCGGTACCCCGGCCGAGATAGTGCATCCACCCGACCATGTGCGTGGCGATGGGCTTGATGTTTAGATTGGTGGACTGGATGCTGACCTCCTGCCAGTGCCTGAGGGCATCGGCATCACATTGTCTGACACTGTGGCCGATGAATGAAAACCAACCCCAGAGGAATACAATATGAAGCCGGCCGTCGTCGCTGCCCTGGTCGGCAGCTCTGGAATACCACTCGATCGCCATGTTGAAGTCCTGCTTGACGCCTTCTCCGCCCTCGTAGCAACGACCGAGGGCAATTTGGGCCGGTACAAACCCACGACCCGCAATATCGCGATATAGCTCGACGGCCTTGGTGTCATTCTGGTCGACCCCGACGCCTTGATACCACTCGGCCAGATGGAACTGTGCCATGAGGTGATCCGCGTTGGCGGCTTGTGTCAGAGAGTCGCAAATCTGTCGTTGCTTGAGTTTCTGCTCGGATTTGTCAATGCGGTCGCTATCGAGATCGACTTGGAGGATGCGGGCCAGGAAGAACGAGGCTGCAGCATTGCCTTGGGCTGCCTGAGCGATGATCCAGGTTCGATCGGCTGTGCTTTGACCCCTGCAATGCAGCGAGAGGGCGATCTGGTCGCTGGGTGTGAGGCCGATCGTTATCTGTCCGTCTGGATAGCATATTCCTGCATTCTGGCACCAGGTGTGGAAGCTGGCCAGTTTGGGGCTCAGGAGGGGACGGGCTCGATGGCACACTTGGAGGAGGGTTCTGATGGTGCTGTGATCGAGGGCAAGCTGGAAGCTGTCGTTGAAACAGACGATGGTGAAGATATCTGGGCTGTGGTCGTCGATGGCAAGGCGAGCCATGTCGGGGGAGATATGGATATTGGCGGCCATGGTGTGTGGATGATGTGGAAGAGTCAAACGGGGAATGGAATGGAAGTCGCGGATGGAGGCGGCAGAAACGGCAGAAACGGCAGGGGTGGGAGAGAGGGGCGAAGCAGGGGATTCGATGGCAGCGAGAACAACACAGCGAACAAAGTATCCTGGGCCCGACGCGGTATGATAGTCGCCCGGCCGATTCCATTCGACACCTCGGTCGGTGGGCTGTCGGGTGTGATCGATGTGGAGTCGACTGGACGGATTGGCATCAATTTGCTTGAGCTGAAATCTACAACAGAAGTGGGCTCGGACGAAATCATAACGAGGGGGTTTAACTCAGTGGTAGAGTGTCTGCTTTGCATGCAGAAAGCCAGGCGTTCGATCCGCCTATCCTCCATGAATGTTTTTTGGTTTTATTTTGGTTTTGTTTCTGGATGCCTGTGCCTCCGTGCGGCCGCGTTTCGATTCCCGATGCGGCGGGCTTTGCTGTTTGATCCGCTGTTTGCTTACTCACTTTCGCGAATGCATGCCATTCTGTTGGGCACATGTGCGGCTGATCATTGCTTCCGGATATCAATCAGCGCGATCCATGGACACGTACGCACCATGGGTAGCCCAGCCGAGACGAAGTTGACTGCGACAGCGAGTGGCAGCAGCATTATGATGCAATGTGGCTACATCTGAATGGGCTTCTATTGATAGCCACCGCTCTCCACCATGATGTCTGGGTGTCTCGTTTATACGTCTCCCACGGGTGTTGGCGCCACAGTTGTGGCTGCACTTGTTTGTTCGCTCTGACCCTGTTTCTCAGAACGGGACTCGTCGGATGGCTGCTTCGGATATTGGGCAGCAATTGCCTCGGCTTCCTCTGCCTGTCGCTTGAGCTCGGCTGCCTCCTCCTGCTTGCGCCTGGCCTCGATCTCCTTTTCGATGGATCGGCGGATGTTCTCCATGGCGACTCTCCACTCCGAGTGCGCTTGAGCGATCTTCAGGAAGTCTTGGTTGATATATCCTCTGAAGGTGTTGAACAGCTCCTCGACTGTCATTTGATCCCAATCGAAAGAAAAATGTATCCCTTGTTACTATCTCCCACCATGCTCTGTGAGTGACCCGGCAGCATGAATTTTGGCGCTGAAATAGGCCTCTCCACACCCGTAGCTACGGCGACGCTCCCAGAGACCTATCTCACTCACTTGTTGGCGGATCTACTCAGAACCAAATCGATCGAACGCATTCGGCAACCCAAGTGTCAGTTCACATGCGTGCCTATCATGCACTCATTCTGAGCGCCACTTGGCCTGCATATGTGTCCTCCCTACTCCAAGAACTCACCAGGCTCCTTGATCGTCTCAGGCTCGATATTGGCCGTCTCTTTTGGAGCGTCTGCACCATTGGTCGGGTCGGTCTTTGTACCTTCAGCTAACTCTGGTTCCTTCGAGACCTTGCTGTCCATTGGCTCTTTTGCTGGGCTGTCTTTGTCTTTGTTGTCTTTACTATCTTTGGGATCCTTTCCGTCCTTGGGATCTTTGACATCCTTGCCATCCTTTGTATCTTTGGCATCCTTTCCATCCTTCATGTCCTTTCCATCTTTCGTTTCCTTGAGTTCCTTCACCTCTCTGGCATCCTTTGCATCTTTGACACCATCCTTCACATCCTTGCCGTCTCTAATCTCCTTGACGTCCTTTGGCTCCTTGGCGTCTTTACTGATGGTTTCTCGAGATGAGTCTCTCGCCAGCGGTGGAATGCTTATGCTCATGCGCGGCTTGAGCGGATTAACCGTCGGTTAGTCCAGGCATCGTCGCTTGCTCGGTAAGAGCGATGGTCCGTCATATCACGGCAGCCGCACATCAGATATACTCACCGCATTTCTCCCTGGCCCCCCGCTCAGCTTTGCAAGTGCGGCATCGGCTTGAGACTCAATCTCCTCCGCCACTTCGATGACACTCTGCAATCCATCTCCGCCGCTGAACGTCGTCGTCGTAATGACCGGAACCGTCCAGGCAGCAGCGTTTGTCAAGGTCGGCGTTCGCTGGACGGCGTTTGGTCGAGCATCTAAAGCAGAGTCATGGGACAAGACCAGCTCTTCCTTTTCAAGCCGAGGGGCAATGTTGTTTTCGTAGAACCCCATGTTCTTGATAAAGAAACACTCGAACAGCGCCTCAAAGAGCTCCAACGGAACAATCTTCAATTCCAAAGTATCGGCATACGCATATAGGTCGTGTTGATGGGACAAGACGGCCGTCGAATTGATCAGTAATCCATCGCTTGGGTCTCACAATCGCTCTCTGTGTGGATAGTGCCCTACTGGCATCGACATCGGCATCGGCATCGCCTCCATGAACCCTCGTCCTGACTTACTTCAAACTCCAGATTGTAGCAGCCCTGATCAGACACTCCCGGAAGCTGGCTCGCAAACACCTCGATGACTTGGGGAATCGTGAGTGTACTTGAACTCTCAAGAAAGCCATAGTCCTGCGATTGCGAGCGGCACATGTAGTTCGCCAAGTATCGTCAATGCCGTCAGCAACCAGCTGTTCTATTTTAAACCAGAGAGCCGCCAGCGTGGTAAAGCAATTGCGCCCATGGTCGCCGTTCCCACCTTGAGGATATAAATGAACATGCGAATCGTCAACGTCTTGTCCCCGGTCGAGTCCGGGAGGGACTTTTTCGAGTACTTTGCCAAATCTTGATACATCACAAAGATTCTGTCCTGGTAAGCCTCGGCCATTTCCTGGGATGCGCGACGATGGTTTGAATGGTAGTGTAGAACCGTCAGCACAAGCCTGCCAGGAGCGAAACCCACACTATGAGCCATATTCCGCCAGCTCCCCCAAAGACTCGACCAAAGGCGTTGGGACCAAATCTAGTCGCTCTCGCCACGTCGGGTTTGGACTCTCTGCTCCGCGATCGTATCTGGCAGGGCACCGCCTGAGCTTGGACGTACCTGCATCGTGTTTGATTTGAATTCCTTCAGGACATCGCCGAATGCTGCGATTTCCCGCTTCTCGGCCTCGCTGTAGGCCGGAAGGAGGTTGTTTTTGATCAGATGGGAAAATGATGCCGCCAGTCCGGTCTCGTGGATGGATAAATCTTTGCAATTTCCATATGCCAATGCTCCGATCTGAATCAGCGCTTCAAGAAAGTCGTAAAGAATAAACCGCTCGTGTGGCGCGTGTGGATTCTGTTGTAGATGATAGAAGTCAATGCTCGATCAGGCAGAGTCGTGCAGGTATCCGGCGGTACAGTTGGCAGCATTGGCACATATGACGACAGATTCGCACAGAGATGCACCCCCGACATCGCCAGCATCATCACCGCCAACATCATATGGCCACTCGTTTTCCTTTACAGTCCAGCTCACGCTCGGTGGTTTGTCCGAACGTACATGCAAGCGGCTTCGAAATAATGTATCGCTTGAGTACAGGGCCGAGTGGGACCTGTTCATTTCGACTGGATGTGACCACCGGGAACCACCACCATCGATAGCAGACCATCAGAGTTGTGACTTGTATATCATCGAGGCATTCATTCATACACACACTCTGCCGGTTTCATCTTGAAATCCGTGTCGATAGCGCACATCAATCCATTCCAACAAAACAATGGGCACCACGCTGACATCTCCGCACCACTCGCTTGATCGGGCCCTGCGCACACCCAGTGTAATTTCAGACACCTACCTAGGGGAAGCCCCTGTTTGCGGAGATTCGAGTCGATCAAAAGTCGCCACAGCTGCAGTCTCGTCATAGCCAGCGATCCATTCTCGAGCTTCTCTCCCATATTACAGTAGTTTTGATACAAGTTTCGAAGTTGTCCTTGAAGCGAATGGATGCGACACGCATAGGAGTGTTTGCGTCAGTTCTAACGCCACTCAATCCTGTGCTCTACGGCTGTGCTGATTATCGGCGGACCGATGCTCTGGTATGTGAATTACCAATATGTCTCAAGACGACGCTGTTGATCAGCCTGGATTCTTCTTCGGATGCTTCTTCAGCCCTCTTGAGTCTGAACACAAATGGGCACTCTGCCACAGAGGGGTGTGGGTCTCAGTAATGCTTGCTTCTCCATAACTCCCCCCTCTACATCTGCGCATCATTGAACGGCACTGCTCCCTCCCACTGCGCCTACCATTCTGAAACTTTGGAAAGCTCCCCACCATTCGGTCGTTTTCAAATCTTCCAACATAGCGCCTTCCATTGTCCGAAACATAGCTGCCTTTGCCGTGCTAAGCGCAACGATTTCGAGGGAGGAGTCAACAGGCATGCCTTGCTGCTCCATCGGAACGGCCGATTTGCTACCCAGGCTCCTGTGCTGAAGCCGTGGTGCTCAGATCCCAAGCCATACACGACTCCATCTGCTTCGCTCATCTGGCTCATCAAGCATCATCGACGGGCTCTGGTTCATTCACCTTCATGTTTTCCTTCCATTCGCCTTCGTACTGCGCCCCACTGGCATATTGAAACACGCCCCATCCATGTCGCTTTCCATTAAGCCACTGGCCTGGAGGGGACAACAGCCGCTCATGGTCAGATACTTTCAGTGTCTGGGTACCAAGGGGCCGTTCCCCCCCGGAATCCGGCGCACCACACACTCGATCTGCGCGACTAATGTGTCGGAGCCGTCACTGACCCTCATATCGGTTGTGGCTCGGAAACTGGTGCTGTATGATTCGATCAATCTTCCATGTGTAGACGCCGTAGCCGTTCGGAAGCCCGTTCTGTCGAGTTAGGATGTAAGCAAGTGCACTCCCTGATTCTCCCCCCCCCCGATGAAGCGGGAAATATCGGCATTGGCACACTGCTTGCCATTCCTAATTCGTTCACACCGACCTCCCATTCGCCGGAATACTCTTCATTGCGATCTTTCCAGATCATGGTGCCGCGTCCGTGCTTGACGTTGTTCTTCCATCCTCCCTCATACACGTTTCCGGACGCATAGACCATGGTCCCATGCCCTTCCTTGATACCGTCGCGCCAGTCACCTGCATTACGGATTCAGGAAGGTCGCCAGCAATGGTCAGTCGAACCACGGCAACGCTGGCATCTTTGTCGGCGGCAACGCGGCCATTAGCCTTACCGGAGTAGCCGCTGGGTCCTTCGCGTGAATACATCAGGACACCCTCGCCGTTCATCTTGCCGTCCTTCCACTGGCCGCTGTACGAGGCGTTCATCGGAGCGCAATCGAACCTGCCCTTTCCAGACCTGAGGCCATTCACGACCTCTCCGTCGTACTGACAGCCGTTTGTCCTGAAGCAAATTCGCACCTTACCGCTCAGCTTTCGAGCCCAGATGGCCCAGTCCTTCACCAAACCGTCCTTGTGACGACGTCTGCATGCTACTCCGCCGATTGATTCCGAGATCAGAGGCTCTCACCATGAATACATGCCAGTGCCCGTGGCTTTGTTGTTTTGAAAGTCGCCCGAGTACTTGGAGCCATCCCGCCATGTAAACGTGCCGGTCCCATGCATGTATCCGTTCACAAGCGAGCCTTCGTAGCCGTTGCCGGATATGAACTGGAGCTTGCCATCGCCGTGGTACTTGCCCTGGCACAGCTCGCCCGTATAACTCTCGATGATCAGCGGCGTCAGCGTAAATGCATCCATGTTCGCCGATCTGGGTGCTCGCTTGACAGAGCGAAAGTCTCCGTGCCGGTCGACCGGCCTTGCACCTGGCGCTTTCTTCCCGCCAAAACCCTGGCTGGTCCAATCTGCACGCGCAGCCGCACAGATGCTTTGCGTTTGCGAGTATGCAGGACGGGAGCAAGGTGAGAACGGCTGATCCCTGGACGATGAGCCGGGGCTGTCTGTCTGTCTATGTTTGATGCACTGCAGCAATCACCTGGACTTGCATTCATCGCTGCTTGGGGGCTAATGGTCGCGAGCAGCCCGGTCATTGTCTTTATGACGTTGGCTGGTTGAGGTATGTGTTTTGGCGCTGCCTCTGTCGGGATTTTTTGCTCCTCTGGACGCTATGCAGGCTGATTGGGGCCAATCACCAGCGCCATTCTTGGGCTGCTCTCAGTCCACGACTTGACTCGCCCAAAGTACTCCCAACAAGCGCACGAACATCCCGCCCTCGTCCTTGCTTTCTGACACACTTCCGTTGGGTGACCCAAATCTTCCGATTCCATCAGTGCACTCTTCCCGAATTCTCAGATCCCCCGCCCAACAGCCATCGGGCGAGCAGCGTCCCTGTTATCACGTCGAAGCGTCTCGCGTTCGCCTCGAAGACTCAACAGCCGCGAGACCCAAGTGGTTCGGACGCAATGAGGACGCAGAAGGAAAAGGACATCATCAAGGATCTCAAGTCCGCCTTGCGGACCGACTCGAACTCGCAGGTCAAGGATCTGCTGATCGAATGGGAGGTTGTCAGCAAGAAAGATGTTCTCGCCGAAATTGGGGTGAGTGACAGCCTGGGGGGAGATTGGCCGCGATAGAGGCGGATTCTGCTGGGCAATGGCCAACAGCGGTATGCAATCGAAAGCGTTCCTCCTCCACAAGGGCGGACGTAGCGCTGGAAATCTTTGAGCGGCGGAGAGCGAGGACACGGGCCCTCGTAAAACCACAGCACGGTGTGTCGATGAGAACATGGGTCCGAGCACATTTGCCCGCTCTCACGGCCGCTGTGCAAGCGCTCGCCTCTAACGACTCTGTTGCAGGTCCAATACGCAATGAAGGAGCGCCCACTCTCTGAAAAAGCCCTGGATTTGGTCCTGAAGAGAGGAGCGATCGCCGGCAACGAGTATGCGTTTGCATTGGCAGAAGTACACATGGGTAAATGATGGGAGCAGTGGCGAGATGCTTTGCTGATGCGTCGTTGATGTTTCGTTGATGCGTCGTTGATGCTTCGTTGATACGACTGCGGCGAAGCGATTGGCAGGCCGCCCCTCCCCGCGGCCTCCATCCGATACGACCTTCTCCGTCCACTGGCCTCAGAAGCCGATCGATGTGATTCAGTGGTTCCGAGTCAGAACCCACCAACTGACTCTGTTCCGTGGATCCAGGTGTCTGCCATTACTTTGCCACAAAGCTCGACGAAAGCTTTGCTCTCCTTCAAAAGGCACAAAAGTATATTACCAAGTTCTTGGATGACTGGGAGTCCTCGCACTCGGCGGATCTGCCCCCGCCTGCCGAGTGGACCAAGCTGCGGGACTTTGCCTTCTCGCTCGAGGCTGCGGTCCTCTATCGCAAAGGCAAGTACGCCGAGTCGATTCGGTCGCTCGACGCAGCCGCGAACTATCAGATCGTCCTGGACCTCCAAAAGTTTTCCTTCTTCAGCTTCATGAAGGCCAGGTCGCTGCTCAAGCTCGACCGGCGGGAGGAGGCACTGGAGGTGCTCTATCGACGACACGGACAGGAAAAGGCACTGAACGAAGTGGCGGCCATCTCGTCAAACGAGAGCATGACCTTGCCCGTGCCGAATGTTAATGCTGCTGCCAAGACGCCTTCGAGAACCCCATCGAAACGCAGCAGCTCGGTGCATCTCGAGACCAACCCGCCGCCGGGCCATTTGGGCGTGAGCCGGGCATCCTCCAAGAAGGACGAGTCGGACCTGAGTGATATCTGCGAGTTCACTATGAATCCCGTCCACTGCTGCCACGATCTACATATCTTGTTGCTCAACTCGCTCAAGTCGTCCTCCGATGCCCTCGAACTCTACAAGGAAGTCAAGGGCGACGGGAGTGGCCGGATCGAGCCCTTCAAGGAGTACATCAAGAAAGTCAAGGAAGAAGACGTCGGCACCACCCTGATCGAGACCTGGTCGCCGCAACTGTCCGAGCTGGAGAGACCCAAGTAGCCCGATGCAGGTATGGGGTCTGGTATTCGTCTCGTCTTGGCCCTATGCACTCTAGCGGATTGTCGATCGCAGCTCCCTCGCTATTTCGCAGAGTTCGCTCGTCTAACTAGCAGCGATATGCTCTCCGTCGAATGCAGCTCGTATCTGTCGACAACAGAATGCAGCTCGTATCTGCCGACAACAGAATGCAGCTCGTATCTGCCGACAACAGAATGGCTGTATCATTCGAATACCGAGACGCCGGCTGCTCTTCCAGCTTGGAGTTTGTGCAGAGGAACTGGAGCGTCTGGACTTGCAGCGATTCCGTTGTCCTGGCTCCTGAATACACATGCTCGTTGCCGCAACCGACTTGCACATGTTCCGGCGGGCTCTTGCCGTTGGGCTCTTGCTGTCGGGCTGCCCATGTGAGCCCCGGCCCATGCTGCCGTCGTCTGCGCTTGAGCTGGCGCTCATCCGATCGAGGCTGTCCGAAGCCTGCCTCTGCCCTCCTTCCCCGCCTCCTTTGACCATTTGCCACAATGCTGCTTTGGTGCGCTCTGCGTCCTCGCCTTGCGAGCGACGGTATGCATGTCGCCAGGCAGCTGTCCGCATCGACGCCGCTGGCCCATCGCCGATTTGCTTCGTCAGAAACCCGCAAGCCTCTGCGTTGTCTGATCATGGGCTGTCCGGGTAGGCAACAGTGATTCCGCTGTGGCTGCGTATCATGCACCGAGAACTCTGTGCTTGCCGACAGCAGCACCTCGCCAAGCTTGTCGATAGTAGCACCTCGCTGAGCAGCTCTTGTTTCTTCATAGGCTCTGGAAAGGTATACGGCCGGACCCCGGACTTGGTCGACACAGCCCAGGCTCATCGAACCTTCGATCGCTGGACAGGGCTGCAGCAACCGGTCCGAAGAGCCATATGCCTGCGCTGATAGCCCACTCTCACTCTCTGCCCCGCCCAGGGAACCCAAACGAAATACACCACCCGAACCTTCCCGATCGTGGCGCTGTCGTCAGGCGATCTGTTGCGACGACACATTTTCGAGAACACCAGCATCGGCCAGATCGCAGCCAACATCATCAAGACAGGCGGTCTTGTCGGCGACGATGTGATCAACGAGTTGATGTTTGAGGAAATCGACCGCCTCAAGGACCAGGTCAGCATTGCTGTCGGGCTGCCTCGCTCGTCCTGTGTTGTCCGATCTCGATCTCGCCCCCCCTGGCCCTGATGCAGATGTGGGCCGATCAACAGAATCTACAAATCCGCCTCCAATGACGCTATGGATTTTGCAACACCGACGCTCTGACCCGCTGTGTCGGTGTCCTCTGGTCCGAATCATACTGATCCTCGATCGCTTGATGTCGTCAATGCATTCGAACGGCCGCACCAGAACTGGATGCTGGACGGGTTTCCAAGAACCATCAGCCAAGCACAGCTGCTGGATGCCCATCTTCAGGCAACGGGACAGCCGCTGGACGTCGTCATCAACCTGGATGTCCCGGAAGAAGGTACGCCCCCTCCCTGGCACCGCTTGTCCGTCGGCTGCTGTCGAGCCACAGCCATTGGACACTTGGATATGGCATTGTCTTGTCCAAGCCGACACATCCCCGGAGGCGGCGTCATTTTCCAGCTCAGGCAGGCTGTTTCGATGAGCAGGATCGCATCTACCCGACTGTGTGCGGTGTTGCTAACCTGTGTTTGTTTGCCTTGCAGTGATTCTGCAACGAGTTATAGGTATGAGCGATTCGTTCGCAACAGTTCGTGGCAATCCATTTGTACTTGGCCTCTCAAGTCCGTCGGCTGGCATTTGACATTCGCACTCACGGCATGCAATCCCCCCCCCCAATCTGCCAGATCGCTGGGTTCATGGACCAAGTGTAAGTTCAAGTGACCCCTGTTGCTTTCCTGCTGGCTTAGATAGCAACCGGCAACCAGGCTCACCTTCATCCCGCCCTGTGACCGATTCGGTTGGCTGTGTCGCCACTGTCTTCCTCCAACTCCACGATCGCCAGGGACGAACCTACAATTTGAGCTACAACCCACCCAAGAGAGAGGGCCTCGATGATGTGACGGGCGAGCCCCTTACCAAGCGCCCGGACGACAACATTGTATGTCCGATGAGCTGCATTCGCCCGAGCACCTGTTACACTTTCGAAGTGGCAGGTTATGCTGGAGCTACAGAGCGGCCCCCACCCACAGTTTGCGACATATGTTCACTTCCGCCGCCCCTCACCTCCCGCTTTCTCTCTTGAAGGAAACGTTCAAGATCCGGTTGGAAAAGTACCACGAACTGACCCAGCCCCTGATCGAGTACTACCAGCGCCAAGGAACGCTCAAGACCTTCTTCGGCCGCACCTCGGACGAGATCCAGCCCCACGTCGAGAAGCTTCTCCTCGAGATGGGACTCAGCAAGAAGTTGGCATGATGACTTTACAAGTCATGCTCCCCGACCAACCAAGGACGACACCACCCTGCATGGTAGCGAGCGAGGTGTGCTAGTGAATCGCGATGAATACATGCTGTCTCAAGAAGAGCAACCCCACCTCGCTACTCAAGGCGCAAGTACGTCGTGGATGACATCGACGCTTTCTGGCTCTCTGTTGGCTCAACCAAGCAGCCGCATTCCTGAGAGTGGATGGGACTGGGGACAGGGGCAGGCATCATGCTCAGAATGACTGACGGAGCCACAGTAGCTGAACAGTCTATCCAATCGTGTTATACGAGACAACAACAACGCGAAAGGATTGAAGAAAACAAGAAGCGAAATGGAGAGCAGGAGAAACACTGACGCCAGCAAAGAATTGGGGACGAGAAAGATGTGCTGACAGATTGAACGAAAGAACGCAAAACACAACCGCAAAGCCGGAGAAGTTGTATAGGATGCCGCGCTGTGCGGTGCTGCTGGGGGGGGGTCTCGCCGCTGACTTCAGGCGTGGAAACTGGCTGCAGGGTGCTGCATCGGGTCTTGGGCTCAATGTGCCCGCACAAGGGTATCAAGGATGGCCGGGAACACGTCGAGGAAGGCGTTGTCACCGAGCAGCAGGTCGGAGTGGCCGTATCCGCGAGCAATGTGGACTCGGTAGAGCGAGGGATCATTGTGGCGAGCCAAGGTCTGCTGAGTGGCAGTGCTCGTCTCTGGCAAGAACCTGATGACGATCGATCGGAGAGACGGGGGCGAGACAACCGCAAGAGTCAGTTCGTGCAGCCGTCCAGGATCCGCAGAGTCAAAGACGGCCATCTCAGGCACCGCCGCCGCTCTTTTGACTCGATTCGCAAGGGCACGACCCAGCATGCATGATGGAGACGTGTGATGGTGCCGCGACGGGCAGTTTCATGCGACCGAGGGCACACGGCTTACACGACGTCGTTGGATCCGTGAATAAAGGTGATCGGGAGATTGAGCTTTGCGGCCAGCTGTACCTCGCCCGAAATGTAGACTCCGTGTCCAGTGGCCGAGACCAGTTTGCGGTTCCTGATGATATGAGAAAGTTGGACGGCGGCCTTCAAGTTGATGACATCGACGAATTCCTCCAGATGACTGTGGACGACAGGACTGAGGCGGCTGTGGGTCCACTGGCGGCCCAGATGGATCGACAGGCGCTCGCAGTCCGGGTTATGGCATCGCTCGGCCAACGGCACGAACGGATTCCAGCTCAAGAGAGCGTCGGTGGCAGACGAGACCAGGGTTGGCGCGTGGACAACACTCTCATACAATGCCGGAGCGTTAGGACCATACAACATCTGGTTCTTGAGGAGTGTGCTCAGGCTCGGGACGACGTAGGGCGCCTATGGATACGGGGATTGTATGAGGAGGGGACGTCAGCGGCCCAGCATCGAGTATGAGGCCCCACATACCCAAGAATGCCGCCCATCGCAAGCCCAGCCCCCTTCTCTCCTACGGATCAGAGCGGCAATCAACGACTTACACCAGCCAGGGAGGTGATGGACTTGATCTGGCTCGAGGAGATGCGGCCATCCAACAGGCCCATGAACAGCGCCAAGCTTCCGGACGAGTGGGCAACGACATGTGCGGTGGCGCCATTCGTAGCCTCGCCGATCTTGGCAAGCGCGCTGCTGATGTCGCTGGCGACGCCGTCGAGATCGTGCTGCTCGAAGCGAGCGGCAAGCAGTGCCGAGAGCCGATGGTCGAGCAGGAATACATCGTGCTGACGCTCCAGCAGGACATCGAGCAGACTATGCTCCAGCAGGGAGCTCTCGAAAACGGAACGCGAGAAAGGCGCACCATGGATCTGCGGGACGGGAAGATGGCTTTGGGTTGGCACATGTGCCCTGGAATAAGTCCGGGACTGTAGCGAGCGCGACTGCGGCCGCTGGTACCTACCAGGAGAACAGGTCCGCTCGCCCCGCCAAGGTGTCGGGTAAGAAGTGTCTCGACGCCGTCGCTGGCGCGGATCTTGAACGACTCGGGGGATCGGCGCTTGGCGTTGGCGGGTTGCAGCAGAGGCGACGGTGTGGCGAAGATCGGCGTGGGCGACGTGCGGCTTGGGCCGGATCCAAAGATGGCCGAGTAAAGTCGTCCGAGGAAGCTCTTCTGACTATCCTGCAAGACCACAGGCGCAACGGACATCATCGATTGCGGCAACGGTGTCAGTGTCACGAAATGCATGGAAGAACAGCGCACGACATGCAGCGATGGCAGTGATCATCGCTGACTCAACAAGGCTCTCAGTGGATCAGCATCCATGTCCTAGGAGTGAGTAGGGCGGCGAGCTGAGTGCCCATCCGCATCTCCAATATCATGTCCCGGCCGCAGTCGCACATCGCTTACCAGGAGCTCCAGAAGGTGGGTCTTGATCAAATCCGACCATGTAACCGACAGACGCCCCTGTCCAACAACGGCGCCCTTGTGTTTGAGAACAACCTTGAGATCCTCGACGGCGTTGAAGAGGCCACTGGTCTCGCGGGTGGCCTCAAAGGCGTACACTTTGCCGTTCGTGTCGATAGCCTCGAGGTGCAAAATGGTCTTGGAGTCTCCTGCTGTCGCTGCACTCTCGGCAAGCAGCCCTTGGCTATCCGAGAATGCAGCAGCCTGGCCACCGCGCTGCTCTTTGCCAAAGACAAACTGGAAATGCCCTCCAGTGATCAGCAACGGGTCATCGGACAGGGCCTTGCACTGCAGCGAGCCGGACACTGTGTTGGCCTCGTTGTCAAAGTCGAGGAATGTGGCAGGATCGTGGGCTGTGATGAGCAGCAGGACATTGATCGAGCTGTCGCTGGATTCTGGTCACAAAAATGCAGTGTAGCGAGCACGTCTGAGTGAGGGCGATCGACGCTGCTGAAGAGACAAAGCAGCAGCCATCGAACAGCAGCAGATACTGAGCAGCAGCATGCACCACAGCTGGTGGATCGCTCGGGGACGGAGGGGCAGGCATCGGTGGCCGACACTCACCTCCGACAGTCGCCTTGGCAAGGTCGATCCGGCCAGTGAGATACTCGCTGGTGAAGAAGCTAGGCTTGTCGTCGACGCCAAGGGCACGGAGACGTGCGCGCTTGACGTTTTTGGATGGAACGCGGGGGTTCTTGAAGTCCAAAGTCTTGGAGGGCAGCTCGTAGTCGATGGTCCATCCACGTTCTTTCGTAGCAATCTCGCACATTCGCTCGGCCAGTGCTAGCGGACACCCAAAACAGCGTCATTAGCCGGTTCGATACAAGTCGGCGGCGCAAAGCAAGATCGGCAAGCGCAACATAGAAAGGCGGGGTCCAGGCGTATGTCTACGATGCCAACATCGGACATGACCCTCACTTCATCGTGCACGGACGATTGCAGCAAGAGTCTCCTACAACTAGCCCAGGCCACAACTTACCAGAGATGGTAAGGAAAGGGTTGACACCAAGCGCCATGGGGAAGACAGCAGCGTCGCTGACATAGAGCCCCTCATGCACGGCCGTGGTTGATCTAGAGCTGGGACCTTTGAAAACCTGGAGCAGCGGGGGTCGTGAAGAAAGTACAGCAAGGCGGGTGTTGTGATCAATACACCGATTCATATCTGATTTTAGGCCAGAAGGCACGCGATAGGCATTCCGAGCACATCCTCGCCGTGCTGTCCCAACCTACCCTCGACTTCGAGTCCACAACTCCGGCAGTGCTATCGGCGGCCATAGAGCAGCCGCCAAGGGGATGCACGGTCACCAAACTCTTGTTGGCCAAAGGGCTCCAGATGGGCAGGGGCACAGCTGTTCCGCCAACAGAGTGCGAGGCGTCGGTTGTCTGCGCAAAGATCTCCTGGACCTTGAGGGTCTTTCCAACGTCGGGGAATGAGAGCTGGACGTTGTCGTTGAGGAGCTTGATCTCGCCGTGGCTGTTGTCGTGAGACATCACCAAGTAGGTCTCGGTATGGAGGGTAGCGCCGGTGTAGGGCCCAAAGAGGGTCGTCTGGAGCTCGCGCAGCTGGCGACCAAGGAAGCTGGAGTTGGCTGGGGGCTCGTTGTGGTTGACGATGGCCGACGCCTTGAGGCCCGGCGCCATCAGCGGGCCCAGGGCAGCCGGGATGGTGCCATCCTCGATGACGTAGCCGTCGTTCTCAGTTCGCTCGCCCTTGCGCATGTCGATGATGCCTGTGATGCAAGGGCCGGCCGGGGCTTGGGGAGTTGGGTGCGTGGTGCCGATGGCATTGACGGGCTCGTTGCAGTTGTAGTTGAAGGCCAGCAAGTCGCCGTTGCCGCTGAACTGCTGGCCGACCCGATCGCTGAGGTCGAGTCCATGAGCCTTGGAACGCAGCAGGATCTCGGTCGAGCCGATGGCTCCGGCGCCGAGGACGACGACATCGGCGGTGACAAAGAGCAGCGGCTTGGTGCCAAAGGTGCACGAGTCTGCGTCGAGACCAGCGTAGAAAACGAGCCACTTGCGGGTCTCGGGGTTGTATTTGAGATACTCGACCTTGACTTCACAGTATATCTCGCATCCGTAGTCGTAGGCGCGCGGGATGTAGTTCATGAGGGTGGTGCCCTTGCTGCCGTCGTTTTCTCCCGTGCAGTCGTTGCCGTCCAGGGTCGACTTGGGCTGCCAGATGCCGGCGTTGTTGACTCTGCTTTCGAAGGCGACGGTGACGGGCGGACGATAAAAGTGGTCGTGGACGCCAAGATGCTGGGCCTGTTTCTCAAGAACCTTGAGCTTGGTGGGCGTGGGGATGTGGTCGGGGTATGGCTCGGGCTGGAGCAGCTCCTGGGCTCTGCGAAAAGCTGCAAAGGCATCAGTCGGGCAGTAGCGACAACGTGCGCCGACAGACGGGCTGTGGATCTATCGACGGCATCGACTACGCCGCAGTTGCGAGCATGTTTGAGCGAAGCGGAGCCAGCGATTCCTTTCCGGATCAATGCAGCCCTGGCTCGGACACGGCGCCTCGCTCCGCCAAACGCTTCCGCTGCATCGTCCGCCGCTCACCTCGATCGATGCCCTCCTTGTCATTGCGTAGATCCTCGGGCCATACAGGCTGGGTCCAGACTTGGCTGTCGGCCCGAAGAGCCACGTTGGCGTTGATGAGAGATGTTCCGCCCAAGCTGTTGAGCCAGAACCAGCCACCGGCCCATCGCACACGTATGATCAGATCGGCAGGAAGCGGCGGGCAGGCTTACTGTGGCGATTCGGTGAAACTGGCTCCATTGCCTCCCCTGCTTGGGGGACGTGTCCTCCACCGCGAATGCCCCAGCAGACCCATCGAAATCGACGCCTCCACCGCAGAGTCGACGAGGACCACCGAACAACCTACCCGTGGCCGACGACCGCATTCTGCTGGTCGCCAAAGTAAAAGTGGAAGAGACCGGTGTGCTCTCCAACCGTCTCGCCGGCAGCAGTGACCTGGATATTTGGAGTGCACTCGAGGAGAGTCCGAGGATATTCGCCGGGCCATCTCTCCTTGCCTGGACGAACAGTCATAGACGAGGCCGAGACAGATACATAGAGCAGGGTCGTGTAGAGATATAGCAGAGTTAGGGGCGGAGAGTATGTTGACCTCGAACGAGGCCGAGATCGAGACAGGGCCAGGATTTGCAGCGATTTGTGCTCTCTCAGGGCAGAGATTTCTCCTTGGCAGCCCAGGACGACCACACCCAGACAACCGAGCAGAGGTCCGATAACGGGCATTGTCCGCCGCGGAGACATGCAGTGAGCCCATGCAAGTGAACCTATGCAAGTGAATCCCTGATTGGAGCCTGATCAGGCCGATCTCCAGCGACATGTGCGCTTCTGGGAACTTACCCCGTTCAAGGAGTGCCACGGACTTGCCGGTGGAGGCAAATCGGGCGGCGGAAATGCTACCGCCGTACCCGGAGCCGATGACGACGACATCGTAGTGGGAGTTGAGCTCGGACAGAGGCCGAGAGAGTCTGGGGAACGAACTCATTGCTGGTGGCCTGGGCAGTTGTGAGGGTTGCGGGAGGAGAGTCGGGGCAGGCCAGAGCAGGAGAGGTGTGCGCGAGCCAGCACAAGAAGACAGGGAGGGGGCGAGATGACCGACACGAGCCAGCGCCACAACCGGCAGTGGCTTGCGTTGACTCACCGGCCGATCTGGGCAACGATGTGGGTCTGGGCGGGACGGTCACGGCCTTTGACCTCGATCAGAGACATGAGGAGGGCCTGGGCATATGGGATGGGCCGAGCCAAGATAGCTGCAAGTGATGCGCGGATCTGTTCTGGAACGACAGGAGCGATCCCATCGCAAAGCGGACTGCCGCGATGTTTGAGCGAACTGACGTAGGAAGAGTATAATTGAAAGACTGCTGACATAAAGTAATAGAAAGACTGTAATGGGGTGACTGCAGACATAAAAGCAATCGAATAACTCAATCGGGGAGCATATTGGTATACATAGAATCGACTAACGAGGAGGCACGCAATCATATGAGGTGCAGCACGCCGGGTTGGGTGCCGGGTGGAACTACCAAAGGGCCGGACTTTGGAAGAACGCCAACATCGCCGGGTGGAAGAAGAACAAAACAGGCAATCGGCCGGGGATGCCCGATCATAGAAGCCGACAGACAGACGGACGGACAGACGGACCACAATCGGTATCACTGCCAGGACGTTGAAAAACTTCTCCAACGATGAGGTCACTTAGGCAGAGGCCCGAGCAGGCAGGCCAAGGGTCTGGCCAGCTCCAGAAGTCAAAAACGCTTCGACAACTGGCTCGTAGTGGAAGGGCTCGGTGGCCATCATGCCCGACAGCCGATGGAGCAGTGTAAAGACTCCAAGGAGAGTCACCAACTCCATCACTCCGGCTGGCGACTTGGTGCTCTTGAAGAGCGCCAGGTTGTCCTCGGTGCGGTAGCTGCGGTTGGTCGAAGCCGACTCGCGGACAAACTTGAGGGCATGGGCAAACGGGGCCGAGGCAGTCGAACGACGACCCAGGCCTGCCTCGCCGAGGTCGTCCGTGGAGATTTGCAGGACTTGGTGTGCATAGAAGGCAGCATGGCCCTGCAGGAGTGAGTTCTGGGCCTTGGTCGCATAGGCATACCAGAGGCGAGCCTTATCTTCAGGACTCCACTCGTACGGCGCCTCGTTGGTCGACTCGGAGAGGGGCTTGAGCAAGAACTGCCACATGGAGAACACGATGGCTCGCTTGGCATCGGCATTCAGCAGATTGGTGATGTACTCGGGCTGGAACCCAAGACTATCCTCAAGCAGCTTGCCAAGCGGGCCGTGGCCTGGGGATGTGGCGAGCAGAACCCGTCAGCACTTACAGCAAGGGCACAGCTGGATGGACGGATGGACAGATGGATGGACGGACAGGGAACTGTGATCAGGATGCGGTGCCGACCCCCTGGTCCTTGGCACCCTTACTTACCAACCGGGAAGTTTTTGAGCCACTTGGCCTCAATCGAGCTTGTGCCAATGACATTGAGAGCAAGACGATAATAGTCGAGCACGCTGTAGAAGCCGCTGCTGAGCACATGCTCCTCGGCCTGGGCTTCCTGGACGAGGCTCTCGTTGGGTCCGTTTGGATCGAAGCTGGCGGGGCTGTGGCGGCGTCCATGCCAATGGCCTCTGAGGCGCTCTTGGGCCCACAAGATGTTGCCGGCCTCGAGCTCCATGCCCATCGAGTCCTACAAACCAAGATTGATCAGCGGGGTGCTCCAGACTGTGTGCATAACGCCAAAGGGGCTCGGAGTTTTGACCAATGCAAAGAGATACCGACAGAGACAGCATTGGCCCAGCCAATGTAGCTGGAAATGCACGCAATGAGCTGGTAGTTGCGCTCGTCAAAGTGCATGCGGGCATTGCGTTTCATATCGAGAGTCACTTTGGAGGGGATCGAGGTAGCCGAGGCCACCAGCTGAAGAGCAGCAAAGTCCTTGGCCGAGAGCGGCTCCTCGATCGGGCTAGCAAGTGCAGCAGTGTTGTTGTGGTGAAGGGCTCTGAGCTGGGCTCTCCAGGAGCCATTGATAGCATCGCCTGGTGATGGTGGTGGTAGTGGTGATGGTGGTGATGGTGATGGTGGTGATGGTGATGGTGATGGTGGTGGTGAAGGGAATGAGTGGGAGTGAGCGACAGGTTCTGGTGTGGGAAGACAAGTGCAGCCAAGTTTCCATCAGAGCAGCGATGACTTCCACAAGATGCCAGGGCAACATGATCCTCACCGAGAGCCACAGCGTGGGCAGCGCAAAAGTAACTGTTGTCCAATTGTATTGGAGATGATGTATCACACGGGACCGGGTCAGATTGTTGGCCAGAAGGCTCGTTGTGACAGCTTGGTCTGACCTGCACATACAAGTCCCTGCAGACACGAGCCGCTGCCGGCGACCCACCAAAGACAGTGCTCACCATTTGTACTGAAGACTGCTGGTCAGGAGAACCAAGCGGCGGAGATGAGGCGATACTTGGGCAGCCTGAGGTGAAAGCGGGACGCAGTGAACCATGGCCGGATGTAAGAGACAGGCAACTTCGGCGGATTATCCATGCCGAAACTCGTATGACGATAGCGATGGAGATGGAGATGGAGATGGAGATGGAGATGGAGATGGAGATGGAGATGGAGATGGAGATGGAGATGGAGATGGAGATGGAGATGGAGATGGAGATGGAGATGGAGATGGAGATGGAGATGGAGATGGAGATGGAGATGGAGATGGAGATGGAGATGGAGATGGAGATGGATATGTCCATCTTTCCGGTACTCACACCAATGTCAACAAAAGGGACACCCAGCATGACAGGGGTCGTGTACTGGTACACCATCAGGGCAGGCTTCCAATAGTCGTAGATGGGTAGGCTCTTGTCGGGCGCACCGGCAACGTGCTTGATGATGCCGTTGAATTGCTATCGGAGAGAGAGAGGAGAAGCCACGGGTCAGTGGGCGAGAGCAGAAGCACCAATGACCAGCCATGCCAACTAGACGATACTGAGAGCGTCCCCTCCAAACAACACCGCGCATTGACAAGGTGCCTCCTCCCCCCTGGGACATGTCGCCGTGCTCACAAACGCACCGCATGTTCTGCTTCGACAACCTCTCGATCGCGGCAGCTGGGCTGGAGCAGATCGGCGAGGCTCGGGCGATCGGCGGTAGCGCCACCAGAGATGCCACACTCGTTGTCGGCACAGGGACTGAGGGTTTCAAGGATCGAGGCAATCGTTTCCTTCTTGTCGCTGAGGGTAATCGGAATACTATGCAAGGGGAGGGCAGTAAGCGAGGGAACAGGCTCTGGGTGCCCCGGTGGCCATATGCGACGCTGCTGCTCGGTACGTCAAACCCAACAATGCATCTAGAGGCATTCGTTGGGACATACCTCTTTCCGAGCACGGTGTCCACGGACTGCGGCTCGACCTTGGTGGTCTGGATCGTGGCAACCCTGGGCTGCTTTCGACTGGCAAAGCTAAACAGAGACATGGTGCGATGAAGCGTTGGTCCGGAGAGTCGGTGAGGGGAAGGAGGGCGACCAAGATGGACTTGGACGAGGTTGGCAGGACGACGACAACCAGCGGCGTCGGTAGGGCGGCCCCGACCTCCTCGGCACCCCTGCTCTCCTTGACCAGCAGCTTTACAGTGCTCGCCGAAAAGGAAAGACCAAATAGGAGGTGGGGGAGTCAGGTTCGCCCGAGTGGATGCTTGTCTGCGACTGAGCCCGGAGAGACAAAGCAGGCACAGCAGCCACTCAGAGCCAAGAGGACGAGCCAACACCCAAGTCAGCACACTAATATTAGTGTGCTGGCCGACGCTGGCGGCTGCACAGCAAGAGCCGGCCTCCCAGTGGTGCAGCCGAGCAGGCCGCAGGACAGACAGGCCCGTGGACAAAGACAGGAGGCAGCGGAATGGGGCTGCGGTGAGCGGGATCAAGGCCGGCCTGGGTATTCGGTGCCGCCTGGGGATCACAGCGTGCGAGACCTGTGGCTTTGGGCGGCCGACAGCGACCCATGGACGGATGGGGATGCGGGCAACTGCCAGGTTGCTGCCGGGAGAGGGAAACGAAGTGTCTGGAGGGTGAACAACTCTGGTCTGCTTGACAATACCGAAGGGGGACTGCGAACTTGGTCGCATACCGCGCTGTGCACGAGCTTTGACGACGATCCCGATACTGTTGGTTGTGCATTCGGTCGTTGTCCTCTGGGGTTGCTTGTCGCTGCTGTCGGTCGCACCGGATGGGATTACTGCCCTTGGCGGATCGCTCCCTCATCTTGCAGGACCGCAGTCGAGAGAGCCCCGATGGCGATCAATGAATGTGCATTCAGAGCCAGAACGAGGCTATCGATACAGGATCTCCCGTTTCGCCTTGTCGGTGTTGTGGGTCTTGAGGATGCGTCGGATCTTTGCTTGTCGTGGTGGGCTCACGCCTTCATGCACGAGCGGGCCCAGGGTCTCGATGGAAGCTTGGTGGCCTTGCTCCTCGCTGACGCTGCTGCCTCGTGGTCGCTTGCCACATGGATATCCCCAGTCACTCTTGGTGAGCGACGGACACATCGGCGCACAACACACCACCGTTCTGCAAATGTTCAAAAAGGCCCACGGGTGTGTCCTGCTCTATTGTGCACACAGATCCCAAGCTCGCCGCAAACAGGCAAGCTACGGCAATTCCATCCAGCCCAGATCATCTCGACTCGACTCGACTCGACCTGATCGAATCCGCCATCAGAGCGCTCCTTTTTACTGCCGGTAGTCCTCCAGGCGAACGAGGATCTCGACGAAAAAGAGGCGTTCGCTGGGATTGTCGCGCCAGCACTCTTCCATAAGCATCCAGATGTCGTCGGGAACGTCGTCAAGTCGCTTGGGTCGCTGGCCCCTGCGACAGTACAGTGCGATTTGCGACTCATCGATCACCTGGCCGTCCCGGCCAACCCAGATCGGTCCTCCGCTGCACAGGACCTCGTACATGGTGATGGCGAACGCATAAATATCGGTCTTTGCAGTGGGCCTGCATGGTCGACGGTCGTCCAGCATCTCGGGCGCCATGTGGTCCACTGTGCGGGGTGCACGCAACTCCGGAGCGCTGTTGGCCTCGGCAAACCCAAAATCAGTGATCACGGCCCGGAACGATTCGTCGAGGAGCACACTCTGCGCCTTGAGGTCGCCGTGAAGAAGCTTCTCTTCGTGGAGGTAGGTCATTCCGGAGGAAACTTGGTAAAGGAGCTGGAGCTTCTCGTCGATGGAGCAGCTCCTTCTTGGGGAGGATACGTACTGGAGAAGCGTGCCGTTGGGCATGAAGGGCGAGACCATGAATGGCCGGGCAAAGTAGCCATCGATCTCGCCGGCGCCAATGAGAGAAAGGACGTGGGGATGGTCGAGCTTCCACCACATCTTCATTTTATCGGCGAATAGAGAGAGCTCCACTCCACGGTCCAGCAGCTCTCGAAGCTGGCGAACGATGACCTTCGCCCCGTTGTAGCGGCCGGTATAGACGACACCGAATCCGCGGGTTCCAATCGGTTCAGCAGAGTGGTCAGTGATGTCGTTGAAGGTGATGCGCCAGCTATTGCCCTTGACAGGGCGATGGGACTGTTGAGGTCGAGGCCGTGGGGCGGCGGCACTTGCTTTGGTAAGGTCCTGCAGCCGAGCCAGAGCCTCAGCAAAGGTTGGTCTTGCTCGGGGATCCTGGTGCCAACAGTGTTCGATAAGGCCCCAAACGTCGTTCGGGAGATCGTTGATCTTCGCTGGACGGTTTCCCCTACAAATCTGCATCTCAATCACCCGGGGGCGCATGGGCTCGCCGTCGGCAGTGACCCAAGTATCCTTGCCGTCGTTCAGGGTCTCATACATGGTGATGGCAAAGGCAAAGACGTCCGTCTTTTTGGTGTGGCCGGACGGTTCCTCATCATCAAGCATCTCGGGAGCTATGTAGTCCAACGAGGAGCCTGCGAGTGCGCTTGGAGGCGAAGGAGGGGTTTGGTGAGCATAGATAAAGCCAAAATCGGAAACAACCGATTGAAAATCACCGTCGAGTAGAATGTTCTGTGCCTTGAGGTTGCCGTGGAGAATGCTGTGGTCGTGCAGGTAGGACATGCCCGAAGCCACTTGCGTGAGCAGCTTGAGTTTCTCGGTGAGGGGCCGGACGGTGTTCGGATCGGAGACATAGTCGCGGAGGGTGCCATTGGGCATGAACGATGAGACAATGAAAGGCTGGACGGACCTCCCGTCGGCGTCTTGGTCGCATGCCGCAAGGAGCGAGAGAACATGAGGATGGCTCAAGTCATGCCATCTTTTGGTAAGGTGACGAAACGCGACAGGCTCTCTCTGCTGATAGACCCTCGGAATCTCCCGGATGACGACCTTGATGTCGTTGTAATTGCCAACATAGACCTCGCCGAAGATGCCACGGCCGATGGGGTTCGCCGAGCGGTCGGTGATGTGGCTGGGCGAGATGTACCACGCCGGCTTGTCGCTCGCAGCCGAGCTGGAGGACATGTACCGGCTTGCCATCTTGTGTTTGACCGGAATCGAAGAACGCCGGGCTGGCGGGAGACGAGCGACGGATGATGGAAGCCGGAAAGAGCGAGGAGGCGGTCAAGGAGGTGTGGCTTGGCCATTTCCATATCAGTTCAGCACGTGATCACCATTTCGCCCTGCAAGCCACGAGACCTGCGAATCTGCCGTCGATGCGATCTGCAGCATTGGAAGCGATTTATTGATTTACACGGCTCGGCCTATGCATGCGGGGATCTACGTGCTTGAGCATGGGTGTGCCCATGTATGCGGATATGATAATGGAATGGGGGGGGGTATATGAAGGCGGGAATGCGACTTGGGCCTTTGTGAGGAGGCGGCGGCTGGGGAAACAATGTCGCCGTCCATTTACTTCACCAGACCGAGATACGGAGTGCTCGGGTCGATCAGCAGCGCCGAGCCAGCATCCGTGGTCAGAAACTGAGCCACCTCGGGCTCGAATCGCAGCGGATCCGGCGCCAGGGTCACCGAGAGCCGGTGAACCAAGGCACACATCCCCAGCAGCGAGATGAGCTCGACAACCCCCGAGGGTGTCTTCATGACCTCGAACAGCCGCATGGACTGGCTCGGGCTGTAGTCGCGCGTCATCTGGGCCGATTCGCGGAAGAACTCCAGGGCGGCATCCATTCGCCGGTCGCCGAGGTATCCGTTGCCACCGACCATCGTGATAGTCGAGACTGGCACCTTCAGCCGGAAGGCCAGGTACCCGGCGTGGGCTTGGACCAGGGTGTTGCCGCTGTGCGCGGCGTAGGCATACCAGAGCAGCGCCTTGCTGGCCGCGGACCACTCGCATTGGCAGTGCGCTCCCGTCAGGTTGTCCCAGCTGGCTCGAAGCAGCACCTGCCAGAGAAGGTAGCAAACGGTGCGCTTGGTGTCTCGATTCAGAATGACCTCGACGTAGCTCGGTTTGAAGCCAAACTGCTCATGCAGCCAGCTATTGAGCAAGCGGTGGCCTGTGGAACAGAAGCGGGATCCAGGGCATCGGCACGGTGCGGATGGGATATGGGCAAGTGGCAAAAACGGCACGGATGAGAATTGTGGTTTCGATTTGCGCAGCCAGATTGTCTTTCGCCAGTCGCTGTCCAAGTCTGCCACCCATCAGCGCTGTTGAGAATACTGCTGGCATCTCTCTCCGTCCTTTCTCAGCAAAACGACGCGCACTTACCGGCGGGGAATCCGCGTATCCACTGAGCTTCGGAAGAGTTGGAGCCTTGCATACTCTTGAGAATCTTCAGGATGTCCCTGGCTTTGGAGATGCCATGCTTGGGAATGTACTCTTCTGCCTGGGCCCGCTCGCGGAGCTGATCGTGCCCCTGACTAGGGTCATAGTTGAACGGTGCGTGTCGGGACCCGTCCCACAGACTGTCCCGCAACTGCACCTTGGCCCAAAGATACGATCCAGGGTCGAGATCGATACCCATGGCATCCTGAGGAGCATTGGTGTATGGGTCAGTGAGTCAGCGCTGCCACAGACGCTCTGAGAGCGACCACCTGCGTTTACGACGCAACTATCTCGATCGCCCATGTTGCTGCGGCAGCCGCACAATGGCACCTCCATCTGTCGCTCTTTCGTGGGACACTCTACCGAGAAGGCATTGATCCATCCTGTATATGCACAGATGGTGGCAATCTGCTGGTAGTCTTCACCCTTGTAGAAACTTCGGGCAGTCGATTTGTGCTCCGGGGTGACCTTGGAGGGAATCTGGGCGGCGGAGACGGCAAGGTGGAGAGCCACAGACTCCTCCTTGGAGAGCCGCGAGTCGGACGGGCTGATGATCGGCACCGGGTACTCGCCGGTGTAGGTCTTTGACCGCCACAGGTGCGACCGCGCCGAGCCACTCATAGCGTCACCTGGAAGAAGGAAGGAGGGGAGATGCGAATGTGGAGGATGGTTTTGGGTTAGCGAGAACATCGCGAAGGACGAGTTGGAGGTGGATGGAGTTGCATTGTGCCGCATTGGACATCGTTGAGTTGAGTGGCGTAACGACCGGGGAGGAAACTGGGTGGCTCACCCAGTCCCGCCATTTGCATCCTCGATCGGCCAGAGGAGCGATACGCATGCAGCACCGTGCGATCCGAGTTACAAACCCATCTCAGGGATACCCACCAAACGAGGCTGAACGTGCTGCAGAGTAAAAGCTGTGTGATGCCAGAATGGAACGGCAGACAAAAGGGAACCCGATTGAGTGTGCATTTGCGGTCAATGAACATGAGGATTGGATGAGAGAGAGGGCCCGAGATTGCAGTTGAAGTGGGGGAGAGGACGAGTGGTACATCAAACAGCGGCGGTTTGGCGACCGTACCATCGATACTCCAGACTGCTGGCCAGCAGGATGGCTCCGCGGAGAGTCGGAGTGACCTTGGATTTCTGAGAGGAGTTATGAACGAGACCAAGTTTGGGATCAGTGCCGGCGAGAGCGATGGCGAGTGAGAACCAACAATCAGAGACATGAAGAACAGCACGGTGTGGGCTCAGATCAAGGACCAACAACAGCTGCAACAGCCGATGGCGCTGGGAGGAGATACGTACGCCAAGATCGATCGTGGGCAGATGCAGAAAACGAGTGGTAATGAGCTGGTAGCATCGGAGAGACGGGAACCACATGTCGTAGACGCTGAGGCTGGGATCCGGTGAGCCGATGAGATATCGAAGGATGTCGGAGAAGTGCTACGGTAAGGCATCGGGTGAAAGAGATGTGTCAGCGCTCGAATCCAAAATGTCACTACTTGGGTCCTGAGTCGAACCGAGCAGAACAGAGCCGGGTAAAGCTGAGCCGATAGCAGGGATGTACTGGGGGGGGGGCACAGCTCACCTGGTTGTCCAGCATGATCAGGTCCAGTCTGCGCCGCCTGCTCCTCAGAAGATCGCTGAGGGTTGGATGCGCGAACTTGGTTGACGCCGAGTGATGCGAGCTGGCGATGCTGGCGGTGCTGGCGATGCTGACGGTGCTGGCGGCTCCAACAGTGCTGGCAGGCTTGGCGGACCATGTTGAGGGCTGGATGAAATGGCCGTCTGAGTCGTAGTATGGCGAGGTTCCATCGATGTATCGCCTGATCCGGTCGAGGCGCGAGGCGAGGCTGGAAACCGTCGAAGCCCCATCGTTGGCCGTCGGGGTGGGCGGCAGGGGCATCTGGGGAGGAGGCATGCGCGGAGTCGCCAGCTTCTCGGGAATGGCGATGTACTTGTCCATCCAATGGCCATAGATGGGGCCTCTCAGGCCTCCGTCTATCGAGGCCTGGAGGCTTTCGACATCCGACGACGCCGACGACATGGAGTGGGCGGTTTGGAACCGCACGGCCGCCGGTGTAGTTGGGGTGGTCGAGACAGGAGAAGCCGAGGGCGGTGGGCTGGAAAGCTGCTGCTGCTGCTGCTCTTGGTGTTGGTGTTGGTTTTGGTTTTGGTTTTGGTGTGGGTGATGGTTTCGCAGTTGGTGGCCCAGGACAAACTCGGGCGATGAGAGCGATCGCACCATAAGCGCATGGGCCGACCGCCGGTGCAACGACGATGCAGGCGACTGTGATGATGGAGGAAGGGCGGACAGCGGGGTGGACAGCGGGGCAGATTCGAGCGAAGATACACTTGGGGCAATCGTCACGGCGTCGGAATCGGGCAGGGACAGCGAAAACGACGCCGTCGACATGGTCTCGGTCGAGGAGTTGAGGGCGCTCTGATGGCGACCGAGGATGTACTGGATCAGGTGCCCCTGCTTGTTTGGGCTGCCCTCTGGAGATTCTGGCAGGGGCGGCTGGATGGAGCGACCGATGGGACGGCCTCGGTTTGCAAATGGCAGGTCAGGAAGATCGGCAGGGCCCTGGCGGATCATGGCGAGGACGGCTGAGCGGCAGTGAGAGACGAGAATATGAAGTGGAGGAGCAGCAGCGGATCGATGGATAGGCGGATGGGCGGTTGGAAGACAGAATGCGAGGACAAGTGGTCAAGACAGAAGCATCAGCCAACAGAGCCGGCGATGCAAGGGCAGTGAATCCACTGCAGTCGCAAAGGGCGACATGGGGGTATTTGAGTGCTTTGGGGGACGGCAAGGAGAGAAAGAGCCTGCACAACGACAGGAGGAGCCCGAGCAAAGGGCAGGAGGGGCCCGGGCGAGCAGGGCGGACATCCACACAAGCCGATGGCTGGAGCGAGTGGATGGGCAGAGACAGGCAGGAGGCGCGGTGCCGACGGACAAGTCGATAGGCAGTCATGGGTATCGAAGCGAATCGGGGATGAAGCAAGTCGGAATGAATGTCGTTGAGAGCGAACAGCAACGAGATAGATAAAAACCATAACAGTGATCATCACAGACAGTAACGAGACAAAGAGTAACGTGCACAAAGAGTGACAGCTACAAAGAATAGCGATCACGAAGAAGAACAGAGCACGCACGCATGTGGCGACGGGATTGGCAGGGTGGGCACGCGAAGGGGGGGGTCAACGGACGGATCAACGGACAGATCAACGGACGGATCAACGGACGGATCAACGAGGGTGGGGGCAGTTCCTGGCCGAGCCAGTGCAGAAAGCAACGGGTGGATGACACCGCTGGGAGCCGAGACGCAGTTGCGACATGCGGTGGCATGCCCCTGGGCCAGTCGCCAAGCGCACACCGGGGCTGGGCGATGAACACTGCCGAGTCCCGAGCACCAAGTCGATTGGTGGAGCCAAGCACTGGCCTCGAGTGGAATACCAAGCAAATGGAAAGCCAGGTGGAAAGCTTACGCCAGCCAGACATGTTGCCACCAGCGAGCAAGTCTCTCCGGGTGGCTGGAAGGAGGCCCATCAGCATGAGCATGAGCATCAGCATGAGCATCAGTATTAGCATCAGCATCAGCATCAGTATTAGCATCAGCATGAGCATCAGTATCAGCATTGACATCGACATTCACATCGACATTCACATCTTCGTCTGCATCGGCAAGACGCAAAATTGCAGCGCCCCGGCCACCAGGCAGGCACAGGCTTGTCGCTTGGCGGGCCCAGACTGGTCGCAGATTGCTCCTCGCACAAGCCGGCCAGTCAAGGACAAAGCTGGGCAGGTGGGGGAGAGGCCGTGGACGCCAGCGATAATGCAGTCGGACGCCGACGCTGATGCAGCCCACGCCAATGCAGATGCAGCCCACGCCAACGCAAATGCAGCCACGCAAAGCTGCCTTGTGCTTGGGCCCGTCCTTGGGCCCATCCTTGGGCTCGTCCTTGGATTCCGTGTCGGGTTCTGCACTGGGTCATGATTCGCCATGAGCGACTCGCAGCCAGAGTGGACTCGTCACACCGTGCTTGCTGCTCACACAGACCGTGTGTGCGCAGCACTGCCACTGCCACCACGGAACAGCTGCACAGAAGAGCATCCGTCACGTGTCTCTCGTCGCTCCACGCCCATGATCCATGTTTCATGTTCGATCTGCCCTGCTCCCCAGGCTCACATCCGCATCTGGTCAGCCGCATCTGGTCAGCCGCAATGCTCCCTGACACTGCGGCAAACCTGCAAGGTGCAGTCCGCTCGCACAGCGCCATGTCCCTACAGTCGCGACCGCAACTCATACGACTGCTCGTGTATCTCACCTTTGCGCTCCTCCCACCCGACCCATAGAGCTCGCTGCCAAAGTGATATCGTCCATCGAGGCCCGCGAATGGCCTGCCGAGACATTTCGTGTCCTCCAGGCTCTTGCGGCCAAGCTCGCCCAGGATCATGCCGTGACTCATCGACCAGCCCCAACCCAGTCGCAGATCGACATCCTTGCCGGAGAGCAGCCCCTTTGGGACATTGTCGACGACATTGGTCCGCGCCAAGTTCCACTGCGCTTCTCAATAGCCATACATTGGCGAGTCGCTTTTCTTCAGGCTCACCAATTCACTTCCGCACAGGTGTTCGCTTGTGGAATGCACTTCTATCGAGCGCTGCTCTCGGCTCCGAGTCCCTCGGCAGTCACGCCGCAGATGGTAATGTCAACGAAATCCAGTTCTTGTCGCCATACATGCAGGGCAAGGCTGTCAAAATGCCAGCCACAGCGCTGCTCGCTCTTCTCTGTCGTTTCCAGTTCACAGGCTACACGGCGTGCGGCGATACACTGACTCATCTCTGCTGATTGTGGCTCTGGCCCATCCCAGTTCTACAGACAGCCTTTGATCTTGTCCGCCTCTCGTACTCCCAATGGGCCTACTACCTCGAAGTTTCGTCAAGACTGCCTGATACAGCATGTGGGTCTGGGAGTGGCAAATGGAGCAAGTTACTCATCCGCGTCGCTGGCTTTCCCAGCGTTGGCCTCTCTCTTGTCTGACCCGCGGCATATCCCACTGTTAATCGCACCTCGCACCGCCGATCGTGTGAGCCAAAGCCCTGTTCAAAACAGTCAAGATCGGGCTCCGTTCTGGCCGAGAACGCTGCAGACTCGGGCAACACTCTGTCGCCGATGAGATCTTTGGCCTTTGTTCGGTGCTCCTGGCCTCTGCTCCACACAAACAATCATCCATTCTTCAGAAGCGCTCGGCGTTACTGCTGCACGCCTTTATGGCCGAAAATGCAGGTCACTCGCACTATCGCCAGCTCGATCTGCCGATGTGTTTCGGTGTGCCTTCATCATCGGCTCTGAGACATGCTATCTGGCTTTGGTTTGACTCATCGCAGATGTGGAAGCACGCTGGCTCGCCTGTGGCCTTCCATTTGCTCAACAAAGCAGGTGAAATCTGGTCGTCCGCGACCATCGACGAGGTATATCGCAGCAGATCGATGGGCGGATGGATGGATGGATGGGTGGATGGATGATGGATGGGTGGATGGGTGGATGGGTGGATGGTTGAGTGATGGTTGAGTGTCGACCAAAGCCTCGCCGCTTCTTGACACCCTGCTTGGCCTCTCGTTTGTTACAACCAGATCGAGCAGGTCATCGAGATTTGTCTCGACTGTGCAAGATGCGAATCCAACTCTGCTGCAGACACCATCCAGTGGATCAGAACAGCCCACACCCTTGTCACAAGTACCTCGCTAGGACCCATAGCACCATTGTTGGATTCTTCTTGTCCGCCCGAAGGAAGCTTTACCCGACCCAGACTCCAGCAACTGCGAGCATTGGTCTTGATACGACTGTCGGCAGCACTGATGGCAGGTGGAGACCCGGGGTCATCGGCGACAGAGAGCATGGAGTATATCCAGGCGGCAATGAGGGTATGTTACCAATGCACCCATCCAGAATTGCGGGCAAGCTCCAGCATGCGTTCGGTCTTGGAGCCGTCCGTCGTCGCCTTCATCTCCATGTGCTGACCCGGCGACCGCTGTGCGATCGCAGGACGATCCACTCAACCTGGAGGCCCATTGCGTCAAACTGCAGTTGCTGCTCGCGCAACAAGGGTCACATCGAACCGAGATGGTTGCAAAAGGTATCTCTGGTTCTGTAGGCTTACTATCGGTGGGCTGGTATGCTTCTGGCGCAACATAAGCACTGTGGGACTGGCCACAGCCAAGCTCGGGTGGCATAGCTGGCGCAGGAGCCGCCTATCAGAATGTCCGGACAGGCCCAAGCAAACAGATCGAAGCAAGCGATTGAACCCATGCTGATCGAAGATCTATCTGAGTGCCATCACTCGCCGCATCCGACGCCCCATTTTCACCGCTGTGATCTCTGAGTACCGAGGTCTTCCCTTTTGCGATACTAAACCTTTTTCGTGCAGTCCTGAACAGCATCGTGGAAGTTTGTCCGTTCCAAGTGGAGCACATGCAAATGTAACTAGATTCGCACAACCAGCTCCAGTAATCCCTCGAATCTAACTTGGCAATCATGGCAGGTACATCGACAGCTTCCATCGGGTGGCCAAATCCAGGTTGGTGCCTGTGTCGACTCTGGACCTCATAGATCCTACTGCATCCTGTCTTGCAGCATCGAGCCTTCACCGATATGGGAGCCGGGATGGTTCCTCTCGCAGCTTTCTATCGCATATACATGACATGTATCGGGTGACCAAGTCCACTATCGCCATCGCTGGTCCCTCTGCCAGTCAAGAGCTTGCTCTGTCCTTTCTGGACTCTGTCTCGACCCATCTGGCCCTCCAGCCCCACTCGCCCGCTCGTCAGGCATTCCGTGAGCAGCTCATAGTCGCAAGGCTCTATCAACTATCCAACTCGCCCATTCGGAACGCCGACGAAGCCTCGAACCTGATCCAGCAGGCGCTCTCAGGTGCGCTAGACATATCAGTATTACCACCAAGCCGATTCCATCATGACTAACCCCCCCCTTGCTGTTCTTCTGTAACGAACAATAGCAGGCGAACTCGAGATGAGCGACTCGCTCTCATGGACTTGCCAGTCCATCCTCTGGCATGGCGGATGCAAGGCTTTCGACGTGAGCCACCATGCGTTGCTTGTTTCCGACTCGGTCGACCAGAGCCACTCACATCAGCACCCCTGTCCAGGCTACCAGATACGAGGAAGCCCTGGTCTGGTTTGTCGCAGGGACGCAGTTGATGGCTAGCCAGGATCCCGGCCAAATCAAGAATTCATGCAAGTGCCCCCCCGGTCCCATGATAGCATGTCGATCCCTGGGAAGGGTGGCCAACTGACATTCAACCTTGAAATGGGAATGGAACCTCCAACACAATATCCTGCCGCCCACACGGTGTTGTCCACAGGGGCTCTGCACATGAAGATCGCTCAGTCCCACTTCCATCTGGACAAGTTGGCAGTCGCCCTCGAGACTCTATCGAAAGGTACACTGTGGCTGCAGATTGAGTTGTCGTCATCAACACACACAGCTCTCGTTCTACCCCCCTCCGGCACTCATTCCCTACCGCTTGCACGGCGACATGCCTGCCAGCCGAATCGATTCTCGCGGACCAGATCGAGACCAGGTTCTGGACTCTCAAGACCGCCATCCGGTTGCCCAATTTATCCGAGGAAGCAAGTGAGATTCTGTGCGGCTCTATCCCCGGCTCGAAGTGGCCTCGATTTCTTGCGCATGCTCACTAGCGAGGACGTGCTCAGTTTCAAAGGAGTTCCAGGCTATCTTGGATGCTGGCCAGATGGATGTGTACATGCTGGCCCTTCGTGAGTCGTTTTTGGTGAGCCAGACAGAGCTCCATGTATCCCAAATTGCATCGTTCGACATGTCAAGCCGTATTGCTGGCAGTCCACCATCAAAGTAACCCATTATGGCCGGTGGCTTTCAAATGATCTCACTCCAGGCCAACAGCAGGTACAAATGCATTCGGTTACCAAAGTCGGGGCACGATAGGATCGAGTCGGCGCATCTGCACGGGCTTGGGCATCACCCAACCAGACTCGTCGCTATGCTCTGACCAACAGGACTGCTCTCAAGACTGGCCTGAGGCTGTTTGCGCTCACCAAGAATCACGGCTGGATGAAAGCTCATGCGAACGAGTTTGCTGTCGCTGTCCGGTGAGCACACTACGTCCATCGCCGCCACATCATCGCAACGGCCACCATGCCAGCGCAACTGATGACTGCCCAGCTGTCTGATTGAATTGGAGTCTCAGGCACTTGTGAACGGTTCTTTGGAGCCCAGGTAAGCGTCCTTGGGAATCAGGGTCGACATGCAGACGAGGATATTGTTGTTCATGCGCTCGAATGCAAAGCACTCGAACTTGACGGCGTACTTGCTACCATGGCCAATGCAATCCCATCAGGCCAGCTCCGCAGACCAGAGACGCAATCTACAGGAGCCTCAGCAAGTACATCCGCCAAGGTGGGCGTTATGCTGAGCATAAACCGAGGCAAGCCGGACTAAGAGCCTCACCTGCCCGGAAACAAGCCATCACACCTGCCAGAATACTGACCCGGGCAGCAGCCTTTCTGATTCTGTCTGCCGGTGACGGTCAAGACCCAATGCCCCTGCAGAGCGAATTGCAATGGTTGAGACAAAAGGCAAGTTTGAACATGGCGGCCCGCTCTGGGTTGTCGGTCAAGGCGTCGGGTCCCGTCCATCCGCTCTGACATGGTGCATCCCTGCCGCTCGTGGGTATCAGACTTGGAACATCTCGGTTTCAGCAATGGCAGATCGAGAACTTGACTCGCCGGTCACCGTTGCAGAGCTGTTCGGTGTTACCGCCGAGATCATGTCCTCCGCCAAAGGCTCTGGGGATGACGACCAAGCAAAATTGATACTCTGCCGGTATCTGGAGACAGTGATGCTCACTCGCCACGGTCTCCAGGCAACGGATGTGCCCACCCTCCAGAGGGCACTGGAGCGCATCCAGAGACTCTATTCGGACCACCCGGTGGATAGGCTCCGAACCGTCGCCAGCGGAGAGAGCGAGCCCATTGATGTGGCCCAAGAGCTGCTCATTTTGGAGTTTCACATACGAGGTGTGGCCACAGCCCGTCGGCGGACCAGCGTCGCTAGAGTTGATCTTGGGTTGATCTCATCGCCTCTCCTGCTCATAACCATCGCACGCGTATTGCTCTGTTGGGAATGGGGAATATGAAATCCGGACGAACAGCCCACCAGGGGAGCTGGACAGATCTGCCCGAGGTCATCAAGGTGAGCACGATCGTGGTTGCGACTGAGGGAGCCAGAACGGAGCGATGTGTGGCTGATCAAGGGCACAATTCAGCTCGCAGAGGAGCGACAGCTCGATCTCGAAGGATTCAAAGCATTGGTCAACATCGTGCTCCAATACGAAGGTTGTCCCTCTGGAGGTATTTGGCTCGGAAATGCTGCTTCACTTGTTTTGCTTCCGCCCATGACTCGGCGCCACCACAGAACCGAGGCATTGATCCGAGACACAGTCATGTACATGGTTCTGCAACGAACCCTGGATCTCCAGCTCAAGAGCCATGATCCCAGCTTCGATCTGGATGAGTTTCTCCAGTGGTGGGTGCATTTTCGCAGACGATGTGTCTTGATGACCGACTTGATTCCGGCGCAGCCCAACTCAGGTCCGGCGCTCATGTTGCATATGTATTGTCGTTGTTTGGCCTTTGTTGCTATGGGTTTCAGGCTCTGCTTCCTGATCGAGGTGGCATCGATCGACAACATCCATGTGTCCCTGTCCCTGTTCGAACAGGCCCGCGAGCTCCTGAGGGTCTCTACCAGCCTGCAGCCCTCCGAGAGGATCTCTAGCAATCATGTTCTTTGGCTGACGACGACATCGTGGTGGGTGCGAGCAAGCTGCTCGATGCGATGGCACTGCTTTCCAATGCCGGAGTGCGTGATAACACACTTTACTCTCCCCCCGGACTGTGCGGCAGGAATCATGGCTGTCGGGTGAGTTATCCATGGGGCGGGGGCAGTGTTGGATTTGTGCCTGATACTGTGAGCCGAGCCTGATATCGTCGCCGCTAACAGGAATATGACTCTATTGCGCCTGCAGTTTCTGAGGCAAGTACCCGCAAGTTGAGATCGAGCGCTGTGGGCAGCACTTGCAAGCAGCACAAACGAGACAGCGAACTGGCCCCAGCTGCTCATTCGGCCCCGTTCGACAGCGTTGGACAGCTCGACACCGCAAGGAGGCTGCTCAATGCCTCCCTGGCGCTGAGCAAATATCTGGATGGCCATTCAGCCCTCGTGAACAAGGTCTGGCGACAGCACACTTGCGGGAGGGAGGGGATCGTTGCACTGCATGTCGACAGGCACACTCGGCATTCGATGTTGCTCCAAGTCAGCCAGGTGATGCTGATGCCTGGGCTCTGTGCTGTCGATGCCGATGTCGATGCCGATGTCGATGCCGATGTCGATGCTGATGTCGATGCCGATGCCCTGGCATGCCGGCGTTGGTCAGCAGATGCATCAGGACTATGCCGATATCCTTGCCCGATATGAGCCCCAGGCGGTCTGAGTTCGAAGTGCAGCGACGAGGGCCAAAAGCCAGCAAGGCGGGGGGAGGGTTTGGGGATCTCTTGCCTGCATACCGCATCGCAACGCCCATCTCGACGCTGAGGCATCGACAGCCCCGTTGCCGCATCATGAATCTGGAGCTGCTTGGTCTCTGGAGCCGCCCATCGTACTGCATGCCGCCTCGCCATCATGTCCCCGAGCCAATGCACAATCCGTTCGTGCAGATCGCTTCGCTGTCGTCATGCTTGCGAGATCCACCAGCCCTGCCTAGCGACCAAATCATCCTGCTCCTCTCCCTGCCCTCGCCAAAGGGTGGAAATACATTCAGCACCGCCTATCTGTCCTCGCTGCCGGTTGCCGCCTCCGAGCTAATATCCTCCGTGCGTCTTCCAGACCCATTCACCCAAGACTTTCCCGAGATCATCGAGGACCGGCTCGTGGACGAGTATGTGACCGTCTGTAAATTCAACAAGCGAGGAAATCTGCTGGCGACCGGAAGGGCCGACGGCCGCTGCAACGTTTGGGACTTTGAGACCCGAGGGATTGCCCGGTCGCTGCGAGGACATGTTCTCGGCATCACAACGCTCAGGTTCGACCCGCTACCATGATTCTTTCTGCAATGATGAGGCGGAGAGGAAAGGAGGGAGAGCATGCAGATCGATGGCAGTCGTTCATCGAAAGCTGCTAGATCTGATATTCTCTTGGCCGTCATCCCGTTTCCATCCTCGGCTCCTTGGTGTGATGAATCGTCGACGTTTGCATTCGCATTCGCATCGATCGACATGCCAGCTGGTCCAGAGACGGAAGCCACATCTTGACAGGCTCAAGGGACTGGAACTGCATACTCTGGGACTTGGCCAAGGGGACTCGCAAGCAGACCGTCCGGTTCACCTCGCCTGTCGTGAGCGCACGGATGCATCCGAGTGAACGGTAAGCATTCCCACCCACAACTTTGCCCGACGATCAAGCACCCAGCAGCGCCATCGATTGCTGGGTGCCAACAGAGTCCCAGCCACCCAGATCGCACGCACAACGTCGACCCTGACCTTGCATGCGATGGCTGATGCGATGGCGGGCGACAGTCATATCTTTGCGGCATGTTTGCAGGGAGCCCTCCCGGTGCTGGTGCGAATGTCGGATGATCCATCGCAGGAGGCCGAGATCGTTCCTCTGCTGCAAGACTTGAACGAGCACACCACCAAGTAAGTGCCCGTGTCGATCGTTCGCCCCGTGGAGAGCATCCTCGACATCGGCTTCGATTATCAACGCCTTCATTTACCAACGGGGGGGGGGCTGATTGATCTCCATGCGGCATTCGCGGTTGCAACCGCTTCAGCGCAAGCATCGACGGTGTCAGCTACAGCGCCATCAGCTTCGACTATGACGGCAACTTTATCTACATCGGGACGTCCAAAGGTGCCATTATCATTGTCCGAACCGAGTCTGCAAAGGCAAGTATGCGAACCACCAGCTCCAATGGACACTAGCGGTGGCTCGCTTCGGCACACTCCATGAATGCATGTGGATCATTTGATCACCTTGAGACACCTGCTTCCGCCAATGCCGGCCAGTATCGATGGCAAGTACAATGCATCAAGACCCCCTGGCCTTACTGGACCAACTGTCTTGCCCGATAGATTGTTCATTACGTCCGAGCAACAGGCGGAGCAGCGATCAAGAATTTCCACTTTAGCCGAAAGAGCAGGTGCGGTCGCCTCTGCACTTTTGTCCTCTCGATCGTCGCTGATCTTGCTGGGTACCCAACGATCGTACACCCCCGCTGATTTTCATCACTGACGGCGCCAACATCGGGGCGGATGGAACTCCCAAACTCTCTCTGGATCCAACAATTCAGGGACCTGGTTGTCAATGCCAACGACCGCATCATCCGCGTGTTTTCGATACTGTCGTCGTCAGAGCAGCCGCACATGGAGCCCGGGTACAAGTTCCTGGACTCGGTTGATCGTAACCAATGGATCCAGTGCGGCTTCAGTTCCAATGGAGAATACGTCATCGCAGGTGAGCAAACCATCGCCTTGGCGTGGCTCGCTCGGCCCTTCTCGGCCATCTTAGATTGCCCAAGATACCGGCTTCCGACACTTTCTCACTTCCGGTTGCCCAACTTTGCCACTTTGGTCGATGGATGCTGACTGCCGCTCTGCTGTCGTATCGGGCCCAGGATCGAGCGGTAAACACATCCACAAGATCTACATCTGGGACAAGGAAAGTGGCAATCTTGTCAAGATCCTAGAGGGACCAAAGGAGGGTCTCCTTGACTTTGCGGTACGGCATCTGCTTCGCTTTCACAACCAGCTGAGCCTCTGTCGTGCGCTCAACGCGACGCAGTCCGTTGCTCATTGTCTCGGAGTCGAGCTGTGGACAGCATGCCAGCATGCTTGGTCGGCCCTGTTCGCGTCCTTGGATATGGGGCGATGTTGATTGCAGAAAGGCTCATGTTCCTCCTTCCTCCATGTCTACAGTACCATCCTGTTCGTCCAATGATGGCAACGCTCTCGGGCTTTGGTGTTGTATACATATGGTCGATTCGGTATCCTGAGAACTGGTCGGCCTTTGCGCCAGGTAACGAGTCACCCGCCCGACTGTGGATGTGGTGCTGGCACGGAGGACAACCAGAGGAGGATTTATGGGGTCTTGGTTTCGGAAGTGGAGGTGCTCGAGACCGATATATCCATCGCGCGCTGACACATCGGCGATGCTCTTGCCACCTATCACACCACCATGCCAGATTTCAAGGAGCTGGAAGAAGACACAGAGTACATCGAGCGGGAGAACGAGTTTGACGATGTGAGTACCATCAGCAGTCCCTCTCTCCTGCTATCTTCGAGTGCCCTTCAGCCTTGAGTCGTCGAATGTGCTGATGCTGAGTGCGGGCTGCCATCCCTTCGTGCCGCAATGCAGATACCCGAGGACCAGGACCGACCCAAGAACAAGGACGAGACAACCGAATTCGTCGATGTCGAAACGATTGTCCCTGTCGCGGCGCTGAGTGACGATGAGGATGGAGTAACTGTGTTTCATCCTCCGATGCTGCATGAGGAGCACGACGGACATGGACGACCAGCCCCAAAAGCGTAGCCGCATCGATAGCGAGCAGAGTGACTTTGTTGTGATACAGTTGTTTCCCTCCCTCCTCCCCCTTCTCACATTGGGGCGTGCGCGAGAAAGCGAGGGAGCGAGGGGAAAATCTACAGATAGAGCGACAGGTGAGTCCTGAAGAAGCCCTCAGGACAGCTGGGTATTGTTGAGAGAAAAGTCGGCATCGCCGGGACTGCTTCGCCAGTTATGGCGGCTACGTCTTCGGCGCTCCAGCGAGGCGATATGAACCATAGAGTCGGTGATGGTGGTAACGTCGTGGGTGTGAACGTCCCGGAGCGACTCGCCCGTGCACCAGAGCGAGTGGGTCTCGGACTGAATCTCGCTGGGGGTGATGCCATCGCCCGAGGATCCATGCTTGCTCTCAGAGCCGCTCGGGCTCGTCGGGGCTGTGCCGCGCAGTACAACACCGCTGAGAGCCATGCGGTCTTGGCTCGACGATTCCCCCGCTGGGTCGATACGTTCGCTCCGAAGCCCATGGCCATATGCATTTGGGTCCGCATCTGTGGCGGCGCGGGGATTGAGTCGCATACTTTCGGGGGACGAGTTGCCGAGAGTATGTCTGTTGACTCCTGTGCTGTTTCTTGCGGTCGAGTAGGAGCCATGGCGGTGAAGATCCCTTGGCGAATGGGCAGGCCGATCTAAGAACGCAGTAGGCTGGAATATCACGAAGCCATCGGGACGGTCAACGGACGGTCGCCCATCAAGCTGGATCCTGGGAGGTGCATAGTCACGCTCCTCCGGCGGGTCTGGAGTTGAGTTTGCTGAATAGTGCTCGGTGAGGCCACGGTTAAAGTGTCTGGAGTCGACGAGCTCCTCTGAGACCTCATCGCGAGACGATTCGCCCGAGGTAGCGGCCTGTTCAGTACGGGGAGGCGGTTTGCTTGCGTCCTGCTTAGAAAGGTCGCTCTGGTGGCTATCCTGAGGTTTGCGTTGCGGACGATCAGGGCAGTCCAACGGCTGTGGATCCCGTTGATCCAGATGCATCTCTGGTCGGCAACGCCGATGTGATTGTTGGTGTAATTTTGCAGTCGCACCGGTCTGCACCGAATCAATTTGCTTCGCTGTCGCCGCTCCAGCATTGACTATCGCTCGTGAGGATGCCGAGCCCATGGCTTGAGTGGTACGCTTGGATCTAAGCACGGACGGTTGCCCTCTCGGTTTCGCTGAGTCTGGGCTGGCATTGGAATTGTTGTTGGCACCAACAGGAATGCCCGGATGCTCAGACTGCTGCCGAGTTCGTTTGGCTTTTGACCTCGACATCGTTGGGGTTGTGATGCTGGTCTCGGAAAGATCGGCGCGTTTGCGTTTCGAGCCTTGCTGGGCCGAGACTACGGGTCGGGAGCGGTTTGGAAGTTGTTCCGCAGGAGAAAGCGACAAGATTCCAAGTCGAATCTGAGAGTGTGATTCAAGCGATGCAGCGTCGTCAAGGGGACAGCCAGGAACTGCCTCCATTTCGCCGGACGTGCTGGTGACATGCGTTTCAGCCCGACTCGATCCAGAGTAGTGGGTGCCCGATTCCTGGCAGTGCCGTATTTCGGCAAGGGTTGACGGCCAATCGGGAAGGTGCGAGCAATCGGCCTGGATAGATATCATACGGATCCTCCTGGAGCATTCGAACATGACGTCGGCGCTTTGCGAAGCGTGAGGGAAAGATCAAACCAGCAGACCATGAGTTTGATGCAAGGCCCAGAGCAACCGTGTCTGGCCAGAGCTGCAGATGCGAAACGAACATACAGAACTAATCTATCGATGGCCACCTGGGCGGTCTCCTTGAAAAGGCGCAGCTCCTGGCCGATGTGTCGATACGACTGAGCATGTTCCAGACAAAGCTGGTGGTGTTGCTCCAAGGTTTCCAAAACAGTGCTCAAGTTCTGCAAGACAAGCTTGGTCTTGGCCTGCCACCTGCTCCGGGATTGGGCTGATGGGCCAAGATAGCGCGAACCAGGGGATACGTCGAGATGGTCAACGACGGCAATCTCCAAGAAGACAGGATGCATTGGAGGTTGTGGTGTCCTGTTTGGCTGGGCATCGGTTGCCGACGCAGCAAATGGGCGGATTGGACGCACCTATCAATGGTGCTGTGGACGAAATGGAAGCCCGCTGCTTTGGGCTGAGCCCTGGGTCATCTTTTGTCAGTGAGAGCAGCGAGGACAGGTCCTCGAAGATGTCGTCCAGAATCTGGAAGGGAGCTGCGAGATCGGTAAGGCATTCCCGGGACGTGGCACCGACAAGCCGCAACTTCCGAGGAAGGGAGCTGTGAACAATGGCAGCGCAGGGTGTGATCGCAAGCCACAGACCTCAACGTTCTCGAAGCCGTCGAAGGCCACGACTGACGGGACCGAGACGCCGATATACCTTTAGTTGCGCACAATGTCGATCGAGGAGCTCCGTCAGACGGTCCAGCTGGTGGGCGGCATGAGAAACATCCAAGAGAAGAGCAAGTTCACGAGCGCTCTGGATCCGGAGAGACGAATGGACCAGGACGGAGGGCGGGATGGCGAGGACCCTGATTGCGCTGGAGCTCGAACGGTCTGCGAAGCCGGCTGATGCGACGCCGGGGACGAGATTGCCTGAGGGGGCGAAGAGGGCGGGGGGCCACAGATCGGCCATGGGCGTCGAGGAGAAGTCGATGCAGTCGATGGAAGTGTTAAGTCGATGGATTTGATGGAGGTGTTAAGTTGATGGAGTTGATGGAAGTTTCAAGTTGTTCAATTTGATCGAGCTCGAGTTGTTCAATTTGATCGAGTTCGAGTTGTTCGAGTCGATGGATTTGATCAAGTTCACGGCGGATCCGGGCGAGGCGCACAACCCGCCCCGGTTTGGATCGGACCTTCGAGAAGGCATCCGCCGTCCGCCTCTGCCCCGGTCAACCCAAGGCATCCGCTGTCGTCCTGCCCGGCGATATTCTGCTTGACTCCGAGCGTCTGCCCCGCCGTTGTTTCATACGGTCCATCCGCCCGCTGTCCAGAAAGCGACGCTCCAGCATCCGCAGCACAGGTATGTCCGTCGATACCTCGAGGACAGCATCCAAGCCAGTGCCGGCCATCCCAGCCCAAGCCCAAGCTCATCATCGCCTCCCGACTTACATCTATGCTCTGCTCCCCAAGCATGATCGACATCAAAGCCATCTGCTCTCTCCCCAACGAGAAGCTGGTCAAACGCCTGCCCATGTCGCGGCTTCCAGGCGAACTCACCTTTGACGAGCTTTGCGTCATCCTGCACCGCCTATTCCGACCCCACCTTTCGGCATCGTCCGAGAACCTGGTCCTGAAATACGCTGACGAAGGTCGGCCACGGCCAAAAAACTGGCTGCTTCCACGACGGCTGCACTGTGTCCTCTGACTGCAACTTCAGTTCCTATGCACTAACGATTTCCGCTTATTGTTTCAATGGAATATCCGGCGCCGATGCTGAGCAGATGGGGATTTGGTCTGTCTTGAGACCGACACTGGTATGACGGTGACGCTTCGGCTTCGTTGGTTAGCACAATGCTTGGACTGCACCTGTTCTTCGTTGACATGGATACTGTCGCTGCTTAGATATTACCCACGCGCTGACTCTCAGCACAATCTTGAAAGTCCATGTGTTTGGTGAGTGGTTGGGCTAATATCCTGGATGGCTTTGAGGTTTCAGTGTCAAACGATCGCCCTTGGTCGGTGTAGCCAACCGAATGCTCGAAGCACCCGTCCGCTTAACACCAGTCAATGCCTAGACAGCTGACGGAAATATGCTGCGACCCCTGATACAGACAAAGTTGCCCTTCCCTATCCTGGTCGCGCCGGCCTCTCACGTTTGTTGGGCGACGCCGATTCGGTTGAGGCTGCCAAAGCCACCCTGCTGTCGATGAAAGGAGAGATCGAACACTTGCTGCAGGTGCTTCAGGTCGCCGAGAAAGGTGGGCATATGCTGGGTTGATGGGCATCTGGTGGACATCCAGTGGATCGTTCGGATGCCACTGAGATAGATGGCCCCTTGGCAAAAGGCCAACGATCGTCCGCGCATGCTCTCGATCGCATCTGATCATACACTCGCACTGGGTATCACAGAGCCTCGTCCCGTCCAAGATAAAGCCACGACGACCCCTCCGATCGGCCGCCTTTCCAAGTCAGAGTTGTGTGAGTCGACTGTAGATGAAAGTTGCAAGATTGAGTCGATGGATCTGTGGATAACAACGCTGACACATGCCAAACATACCCATGTAGCTGAGTTTTTGCCTGCATCGAGTGCAGCGATCAAAGACACAGGCAACCAGCAAGCGTTGGTCGATGGCAGTATCCCCAGCCAGACTCCACAGCCTCAGTATCCGCTGACTCAGGCCCAGACTCAGGCCCACCTACAGCACAAGCCCCAACAATACCAGCAACCCCAGTACCAACCGCAGCAGCAGCACCAACTGCAGCACCAGCAGCAGCAATATCCTACGGCCTATGCAGCGGCTTCTGCTGCCACTTCGGCCTATGGAGCTGGTGGCTATTCCCCTCAGTCCTATCCCCAGTCTGTGCCAGCTGGACAACCTTCCAACCAAGCGACCGGCTCGCAGCCTGGCTACGGATATCCCAACGCAGCCCCCGCTGTGTCAGCGCAATATCAGCAAGGATATGCGCCTGCTCGACCGCCTGTGGCCACTTATGGAAACGCCGGATCGCTGACTCCCACACAGGGCTATGTCCAAGCATCAGCGCCCGACCAACCCGCAGCCTACAGCAAGCCCGCTCCCCCCGTACCCCCACTGCCCCAAGCTCCGCAGAACCAACATGTCCCGCAAGGTCCAGCAGGCATATATGGGAATCAACAAGCTCCTCCCGTGCCGCCGGCTCCATATCAGACGGGACAGACCCAGCGATACTAAAGGGTGAATGTGTAGTAGTTGGCCAGAATCGTGAGACAAGCAAAAGTGGGACCGCAGGGAAAGTCTTTCAAATCGGTGGAATGCAGGCCGAAACACAAACAAAATAAAGAGTACGACATCGACAGAAGGTGGACTTGTGATACGGGATTGCTGCAGCGAAGGTGATGGATCGAACAGCGCCTGAGAAAGACCAGAACCGACAGAGGCACCTCAAAGAGAGAAAGAGAGAGAGAGAAATGAGAAATGAGAAATGAAAATGAAAAATGAAAAATGAAAAAAAGGGACACCTCTGCAAAGAGGGGAGAGAATGGTCGGCCCACGAGGATGTCGAGAGAGGCCGAGGGCAATGCACCGAGAGCGCAAAAAGCGCACATCCATATATCCACGGCGAGGGCCGAAGCGCAAACTGCGACGCGCCCTCG